AAGCAGCTCCACCAGAGGGGAGCCTTTGCCATGCTCTGCTTGCTGCCAGGGTGATCTGAGCAAAAAGACCTGCCTCATATCGCATTTGGGCTTGTTGTGTGGCATATCGGCCTGTTCCCATCAGCATGGGAAGGGTGTAATGATTTTTCCTGTTAGTATTGTCTTTAGCTAAAAGTTCACATTGGTCTTGGAATTCTACCTTCCAGAGCAGATAGTTGCCCCCTGAAAGTGTAGCTCTGGCTAAATCTCTCCAATCATTAGGCGTAATCCAGCCTTGGGTTAAAGAATCCAAGACCGCAAGGGTGAAGGCCGCTGTGGGACCATATTGAGATACTGCTTTTTTTAATTCTTTTAGGGCAGATACTGGGAATGGTGCATGGGCCCTATTGGCTCTCAGTGCTAGGGCCGATTGGTCTGTGTCTGTAACACTGCTATGCGAGTCAGAGTCATTTTCTTCCTCACTATTATCAGTTTCTATATCTCGTCTTTGTAGACGTGGTGGCTGTCTTTTTTTATTTCCCCTAGTTGTGGTAGTAGCTTGTATTTTATCTCTTTCATGTTCCTGACTTGGGGATTGAGTCCCGCGTCTAGTTCGCCTCCTTTGTCTCCCCCTTTCCCTAATTGATTTAATGTCGCCCTCTTGTGGACTGGCACTAGCTTGGGTGGGTTGAGTTGTCTCCCCACCATTGTGTAAGTTATCGTCACTCGCTCCAGCTTGGGCAACTTCTGTTACAGGAAACAATAAGGGATGTGTTACTCTCAAGGCCTCTGTATTGGGAGGGCAGGCAGTCTCTGTAACTGGGAACATCATTGTGGGCTGACCACCTGGTGACCCTGAGATAGGCGCTATCTTAGAGAGTGGCAGGCCCGTGACGGCCATCGTTCTAGGGGGGTTTGCATGCAAAGTTTGGAGCTCTAAGGAAAGCCTTTGTATATCCTTAGTCAGCTGAACCTGCTGTTGTAAATCATGAAATTGTTCCTCTAATGAGAGAAGGGCAGAAGACGGACCGGGTGGTCGCTGAAAACTGGTGGGTAGTTCTGCAGCAGCAGGAGCCATAACCCGGGGGGAATAGTATTGGGCAGCCTCTTCTGCTAATTGTGACCAATCAACTTCCTGGCCACTGGAAAGGTCAGGGTAAATAGGGCGGTATGGAGGAGGGGCCGTGGCGGCGCCATTTTGAGGACCCTCGTGGTCTCCAGACAAAGGGAGTGTCGGCACATCGCCATCTTGAATAGGCTCTGGGATCTCAAGGACAACAGAGCTGGGAGGGCTGGGTGCCTTAGATAAGACTGGTGGTGGCGGAGTACAATTGCGGGAGGCAGCTAACGCAGCCTCACCCTGGGCAAGCGTCTCCGCGAGCTGGGGATCTGCGTGACGTTGTGCCAGCAGCTCAGAGATTAAAGTCCAATATGAAAAAGCAGTTACAGGAACCCTTTTTGGACCAAAAACTTCATAATAGTCCTTAAGAGCATCTCCTACTCTATTCCACCTGTTTAAATTAATCGTACCCTCTAGGGGGAACCATGGACACACTGAATGTATGAACTGAAAATACTTTATTAGTTCTTTTGTCTTAACCTTGATCCCTCTAATCTTGAGAGCCTCCCTGAGGCCAGTCACGAACAATTCGTGCTCACTGAGTGCTTGTCCCATGTTAATGCCGTTCACCTACCGTGATTCAGGCGAGACGTAAGGTGGCCGTCTGCACAGATCACAGGACCAATGTCCTTGAATCAGTCACGCTGGCCAGCGCTTTACTCCTGTGAACGGTCCCGCGTCGTTATCCCTCGTGCCAGGTGAGGTCCCTTCGTGGTCGCCACTTGATCCGGCCTGCGGATCAATCTATGGGTCTCAACCTGGAGAGGGGATCGGGGATGGGGGCAGGACAAGAGAAAAGAGAGATGGAGACAGGATGAGATTCCAATCGAGTCTCGTTTATTTTCAAAATGGTTACAACTTATATAGGGTGGGGGCGGGCCATAGGCAGGAAGAAGGCTTAATCTGATAGGTCATCATCATATCCGGATATATGATGTAAGCAGGAGAGGATTATGGGTAATGTAGGCAGGCTGAAACAGGAAGTTTGCTTGTCATGTGCATTGCAGGCAAGGGGAGGATCATGGGAAATGTAGGCTGACACACAAAATGCCCTCAGGCAGGAGGGGCAGGGCAGCAGCAGCTATTTAAAACCGCTCCCTACAACAAATCATTTATATTCAACTGGAATCTCTGAGGGCTGAAAGATCATAACCTGGAAGGTTATGTGAAACGTTTTGGGGAGCGAGTATGCTACATTGCTACATTCAGCTGTCACCAGTGATTTTGTTGTGACAAATAACTACATATCTCAAGCAGAAAACAGTGCTGGCTCTTTCTGCTAATTTTGCAGGCATTCTAAAAATATTTGATTAAAAAAATTTGCACACATATAGTTGATCAATAAATGTCTGGTCAGTGAGTAAAAATGCTTTGAAACTAATGCAATTCTTTTTTTTTTTTTTGTCTTTTTCCTTATTTTATCGGTACCAGGGATCGAACCCACGACTGCCTGCTTGCAAGGCAGGCGCTTATGCCGCTGAGCTAAATCCCCAGCCCCACTAATGCAATTCTTAAAGAGGAAAAATGAGGAGAAGCTGAAAATAAATGTGACTAAAAGTATAATTTCCTTCTGTAGCTCACCACTGTTGCTAAAATATGTACAAATCAAGAAAGAAAAGGCTGTTACTTTCACATAAGTTTGACATTTTTAGGGATCCAGTCATGTTTCTGAATAGCATATAATAACATAGTGCTCTATTGAGATATGGCTAAGTAGTGTGGTAATGCAATTATACATATTTGGAAGTTTATACTTTCTGTTAAATAAGTAGATGTGGCACAATTATTTTAAAAATGAGACAGCTGCCTGGATTTGGAAGATATTCCGAATCGTATTTCTCTCAGTGCAGAAGCATTGTACAGAAAACTCATGGTAACGATGGTCTGCAGGAAAAGAAAGGGGTATTATTGTATCGGCCAAGGAGCTGCAATTTCACTTAATTTACTAAAGTTTAATATTTCAGCACAGCTGGGCTCAAGGCAATAGCAGAAGAGTCAGCCTTGTGCTAGGTTCCCTAAACACCCTTGCTACAAATGAAGTTACTTTTTATCAAGCCAATGGCTATCAGCAGGGGATTCACAAAAGCCCATTTTAATTGGAAAACCAAGTGTAAATTTGTAATGGAAATTCAGAGGCAGTGCTAAAATTTGACTGTTGGGAACTGTACCATAAGCTTTGTAATGTAAGATTTAGATTATAAGATACGAATTATCTTGCTTATTCTTGAAAGATAAGGAACCTGATGAAAATTGTGGCTTTTCAATATCACCTACATAGAACTGGTATGAAAAACCTGCACTGGATGACTTAATATTTGTAGGTTTGACCAACAGTCCTAAAGATACATGCCATGCAGTAATTTGAGATCCTGCAAAATCTGCGAATCAAAATACAAATTCAGACTGATATGCTTCCCTGCTGGTACTTGAATAATCTTCACTCACCAAACTGCTAGCATTCACCTTCCATTGGCTTTCATTATTCTTCATTCATTATCATGAATACCCTAACTTCCATAAAATGACTTTATACAAAGTGACCAAGAGGCTTGGCTGGCTCCGCCTCAATCCTGGAAACTGGGCAGCCAGAGGTATGTGTCCCAGTACCATGCCGAGCCCCTGGAGTTTAGATCATCACTCCCACCAGTCAAGGAATTTTTCAGCTTCCTACATACTTCACTGGCTCTGCAGGTCTTGGGCCTGCCTGCACCACTTCCAGTGACCCTGTCTCAATCCGGGGAACTGGGTGGCCAGAGCTGAGGGCATAGAAGACAATTTCCAATAGGCCCACAGGAAGCCTTAGAACAACACTTGAAACAGGGAAATATAGGAAAATGACAAAATGAAAGACCGAAGTACAACCTCTAACCAGCCCATCCCAAGAAACCTTAGGAGCTATGTACATAGAAGAAAATATATGCCAAACACCTGAAATACCTGAAATAATAGCAACTGAAATAAAGAAGCAACTCCGGGAAGTTTGAAAGGAATTCAAAATAGAAATAATCTCCAAGGTAAAAGAAGAAATGATAAAAGTAATGAAAGAGATGATAAACACATCTAAAGAAGACACAAAACACAGAATCTCTAGATGAACAATATAAGAAACAAACAATACATGAAGCATATTCAAAGAGATATACAGGAAATCAAAAATTCCATTGAAAGTTTTCAAAACCAACTCAACGAAAGTGAAGATAGAATTTCAGACCTCGAAGACAAGATTGCAGTTAGTGAACAGGAAAGGCAAGATCTTTTAAAAATAACAAGGAATCAGGAAATAACAATTCCACAGGTGCAGGATGATGCAAAGAAAAACAACGTAAGATTGATAGGTATAAATGAAAAAGAAGGGGACAACACAAAGGATATCAAGAGGATATTTAGACAAGTAACAGCTGAAAATTTCCCAAACATAAGAATGGAAACTGACGTCAGGATCAATGAAGCATATAGAACTAAAATAAAACTACACCCAGACATATAATAATCACCATTCAAGAAATCCAATATAAGAATTGAATATTAAAAATGTTAGAGAGAAAAGACAGATCACCTGTTAAGGAAAATCTATCAGAATCATAGCAGACTTCTCAGCAAAAATAATAAAGTTAAGAAGAGCATGGAGTGAAGTATTTCAGATCCTAAAGGAAAATGATTTCCAACCTAGACTGATGTACCCTGCAAAACTGTCCTTCAAAATCAATGGAGAAATAAGATACCTCCACGACAAAGAACAACTGAAGAACTTCATGATCACCAAGCCAACCCTGCAAAGAATACTGAAAGACAATTTAGATACACTTAGGGAAAAAAACCACTAATCAAAGCAGACAATTTTTTTTTACATTTTTTAAACTTTTATTTAAGGAGAAAAAGAAAAAAAACAGAAAAAGGGTGCAAGTTATACAGAATTTCAGAAAAAATAAACAGGAAATCACTAGTTAATACATTACATATTGTTATCTTAGAAATAGTTGTTCAAGTTACAAAATTAAAGCATATAAAGTGGACTTTCAAACAGTGAGACTGCAAACAGTTTTGTTCAATGATCCAACAAAACTCAGTAATATGGTTATCTATCTTATACACTTAAATATACACGCAATTATACCCTTTAGAGCACTTTCTTTTCCTTTCTTTTGTACAAAGACAATTACACATTTTATTACTCCCACAGTTCTTATTACTTTTTTTTGAAGAGAGTAAAACCAAATGTGACATAACAGAACAGAGTCAGTCAAACCAAAGGATGGACATAATAGATAATGTAAAAACAAAATACTAGGTGATCAACAATGGTTACCATATTGCCTCTAGCTATCTTAAGAATTGCCTATATCATCAGTTATAATAAAATTGAACAAAACAGTAAAGAATAAAACCAAAACATTGGAGACATTACAGGACTTTAAAAGAAGATAATAATCAACCAGAATGGGTGTCATAATGAATCTTGTTGTCTTCACAGTTGTTGCCTATACTTTTGAACTTGGTTCTATCAAGCAAAGCAGAAAAGAGGAAAATCAGTCAAAACAAGATGGTAAGGGCAATACAGGGTTTCAAATAAAGTTAATAGGAAATCAAAGTGGGTTATTATAATGTATCCTGCTATTTTTTATTTATTTTTCCCTTAATTAAAAAGATAAAAATAAAAAAGTAAATAATTTTAAAAAGAGGAGGTTGAGATAAAAGACAGCATAACAACAAAACAATGCAGGTCAAAGCATAACCATTTAAGCAAAATAGTGTTTCACCACAAGATATCCTGACATAAAAGGAGTTACCATAGTGTCTCTTTCCTTGAAATCTTTGAGTATAACTTTGTATAATGTAACACCAAACATATCAAGACAATGTAAAACCATTCAAGAAAATGACAGTATTACAGGGTATTTAGAACCAACTATCAGAAAGTGAACAATGGTTTCTTTATAATCTCCTTGTCTATAGAAGTTTTTGCTTATATTATCACATATAATAAAATCCAATAAGATACAACCTGTTAAGACCAATGGAGACAGAAGAATAAAAGCTTGATGGGACTTCAAAACAAGATGATACTAAATCAGCACTGGCTATTATGATGTCTTGTTTTCTCCAAAATAGCTGTTCCTACCATCCAATCCTCTCTGCCTCATTTCTGTTGAGTTCTTTTTCTGTCATTTGTTGTCAGTTTGTCTTCTTCATTTCGCTTTCTGCTCCATTTATTGTGGCCTCTCTGCCACTGTTTCTGGAATCTTGGTATTTTCCTTTATTAGAATATCCTGCAATATTCTCTGTAGAGTTGAATTGGTGGTTGCAAATTCCCCTAGTTCCTCTTTATCCTGGAAGCACCTTGTTTTTCCATCAATTTCTAGGGACAGTCATGCAGGATATATCAATCTAGGCTGGAGGTTATTATCTTTCAAAGCTTGAATTATTTCCCCCCATGCTCTTCGTGATTTGATGGTTTGTGCTAAGAAGTCTGCTGTAATTCTGATGGGTGTTCCCTTGTAAGTGATCTGTTTCTTGTTTCTGATGGCTTTTAATATTCTGTTCTTATACTGGATTTCTGGAATTTTGATTATTATATGCCTGAGTGTAGCTCTGTTTGGGTTTTAGGTGGCTGGGGTCCTGTATGCCCCATACATCTAAGTATCTTTACCTTTTGCTAAGTGAGGGAAATTCTCTTGGATTATTTCTGTAAATAGCCTTTGTAGTTCATTTGTTTGTATCCCTACTTCTTCTTTTATGTTCTTAATTCTTAAGTTATAGATCCTCTTATCATCTTCTAGCCTTTGTATTATTGCTGTTTGTTTTCTTGTTATTTTTAAGAAGTTTTTCATATCATGCTCTCACCTCACAAATCTGTCCTCCAGTTCAGATAATCTATCCTTGGTTTCTTTCAAGCTGTTATGCCAGCTTTCGATAGAGTTTTTAGTTTCCTGGTAATCTCTTTGAACCTGCTTCATGTATTCTATGTTTTCTCCATTTTCTCCATCAAACAATTCTCCCCTTTTCTTCTGTTCTTCCATTCCACCATCTGTTTTTTCTTGGGCGATGTTTAGCATTTCTCTAACTATTCTACTTATATCTTGATTTATTTTGTTAAAGTCCTCATTTTTAAACTCGTCTATGATGCTCCGGAGATATCGCTTTATGTCTATTGGTGCCTTGTCTGATATTACATGTTTTCTGTCCTCCTTTGCATTTCCCTTTCCTGAATCAGTGTTCTCAGGATTGGGGACTGAGGACCCTTTCTTGTTGCTTCCTCTTCCCATATTTTTGTTCCTTCCATTCCAGTGAATATAGGAGGCCCAGTTTTTTTCTCTTTGTTACAGTTGTTTGAATTGTGCTGGCTAAGTGTTCCTGCGCACTGCAGTGTACTAGGGAGACACAGACCTGGGCAGCCTATGCTTGGCCCACCCCTCCAGGTCAATCTACTGAAGGCTTCACTGCTAGAGTGTACCTCCAGGCACTGGGACCTGGTTTAGGCTAGCCTAATGGGTCTTAGTCAGTGGCGTCACCCAGGCCAAGCACTCACCATCAATCCTGCTTGAGAGGGGAAAATGAGACTAAAGTCACTGCAGCATCCTGTTCCAGCACATCTGCTCGGTCCCAGTATGTCCTTTGCTGGAGCCTTCTACTCTATGGAAGGGTCCCCATTCTGCTCACTCACTGCAGGTTGATGCAGAGCTCCTTACCAGTCCTGCTCTCACTGGGTTCGCCAATTCCCACTCTCAGAGCTTTCACGTGTCTCTCTCCCTACTGTGCTGATTTAGATGCAGCTCAGCAGTAGGAAATTCAAATCGCGGCTTCTAGTGGCATGGGTTCCAGCTTCTGTGCTGAGATTTTATCTGTTGCTGTTATAGCACCAGGATTGCATTTCCAGTTGGTTTTTCTTAACTTAGTTCATTCCTGTGTAGGCAGGGTATATCTCCCCTTGCTTAGGACTCCTCGTACTGCACCATTCCTGGATTCTAAGCAGGGTATCTCAGAGAGCCTCTGTAGCCACTGCTATCTATCCGCCATGTTCTCCCAAAGCAGACAATTAAACAGAATGGAAAGATAAAGATGCAACAGCAGCAAGATAAAATGTCAACAATAAACCAATAAATATCAGTTATAACCATTAATGTAAGTGGTCTCAATTCAACAATGAAAAGAAACAGATTGACAGAATGGATCAAGAAACAACACCCAACCATATGCTGTCTACAAGAAACCCATCTAACCCAAAAGGATACTCACAGACTGAAAATCAAGGGATGGAAAACAATACTTCATGCAACAGGGATCCCTCAAAAAGTGGGAGTACCTATTCTGTTTGCAGACAATGTGAACTTCAAACCAAGAATGATCAGAAGAGATAAAGAAGATCATCACGTACTGGTTAGGGAAAAACTTAAGAGGAAGAGATAACTATCTTAAATATATATGTACCAAATGTCAGAGTACCCAGTTATATAAAGCAAGTATTAATAGAAATGAAAAATCAAATTAGCAATAACACAGTTATAACAGGAGATCATAACACACCATCAACACCAAGGGATACTCAACCAGACAGAAAATCAGCAAATAACAGAACTGAATCATACCTGTGAACAAATGGACTTGATAGACATATGCAGAGTGTTCCATCCAACAACATCAGAATATAAATTCTTCTCAGTGGTACATGGGACATTCTCTAAAATAGACCATATATTAGACCACAGAACATATTTAAATAAATGCAAAAGAATTGAAATTATCGCATGCATGTTATCAGATCATAGCGCCATGAAATTAGAAATTAATGATAAAAGAAACTGCAAAAATCACATAACCACATGGAAATTGAATAACACACTCTTGAGCAATCAGTAGGTCACAGGGGAAATTAAAGAAGAAATTAAACAATACCTACAAGCAAACGAAAATAAAATAACAACTTACTGGAATCTGTGGGATGCAATGAAAGTGGTCCTCAGAGGAAAATGTATTGCACTGAGTTCCCACATCAGGAAAACAGAACGAATACAAATAAATAACCTGAGGTTACAACTCAAACATCTAGGAAAACAAGAGCAAGTCAAGGCCAAAGACAAAAGAAGGGAGGAAATTATAAAATCAGAGCAGAAATTAATGCAATAGAGACTAAGAAAACAATCCAAAGAATCAATGAATCAAAGAGTTGGTTCTTTGAAAGAACCAATAGAATTGATAAGCCCCTAGCCAACCTTATTAAAAAAGGGAAGAAAAAGCTCAAATTCATGCGACAATGAATGAAAAAGGTGAAATTACTACAGACCCTATAGAAATACAGATTATCAACACCTATTTTGAAAACCTCTACTTTCATAGGTATGATAACACAGAAGAAATGAGAGATTCCTAGAAACATATGAAGTACCAAAGCTAGGTCAAGAAGATGTAAAACTTCTGAGTAACCCAATTTCTATTAGTGAAATTGAAAATGTAATTAAGTCCTCACCTACAAAGAAGAGCCCAGGCCCAGATGGAGTCACTGCGGAATTCTACAAGAAATACAAAGAAGACCTAATGCCGACACTCCTCAAAATCTTCAATGAAATCAAAAGGGAAGCAATTCTTCCTAAGTCACTCTTGGAAGCAAATATTACTCTAAAACCTGAGAAAAACTCAACTGAAAAAGAGAACTACAGGCCAATTTCCCTCATGAACACAGAAACAAAAATCCTCAATAAAATATTGACAAACAGGATGCTGCAAATCATCAAGAAGTTTACACACCATGACCAATTGGGATTCATCCCAGGCTTGCAGGATCGTTCAACATACGTAAATCAATAAGTGTAATCCACCATATCTATAAACCAAAAGTAAGAATTACATGATCATTTCTATAGATGCATAAAAAGCTTTTGATAAGGTCCAACATTCATTCATGATAATAATCTTACAGAAAATTGGAATTAGTGGTCTTTACCTCAATATGATAAAGGCCATCTATGACAAACCAACAGCCAGTATCATACTAAATGACCAAAAACTGAAGGCCTTTACCTTAAAATCAGGCACAAAACAAGGATGTCCCTTATCACAGCTCGCATTCAATACAGTACTGGATATACTAGCCAGAGAAATTAGACAAGAGAGAAAAATAAAAGGGGTAAAGATATGAAAAGAAGTTAAATTATCATTATTTGTGGGTGGCATGATATTTTACATAGAAGACCCCCAAAATTCCATTGAAAGTCTCCTAAATATAATAAATAAATTCAGCAATGTAGCTGGATACAAAATCAAAACTCAAAAACCAATAGCATTCCTATACACTAACAACAAAATCACAGAGAGAGAAGTAAGAGAAGCCACATCTTTCACACTAACATCCAAAAAAATGAAATAGTTAGGAATTAATCTCACAAAAGAAATAAAAGATCTATATGGGAAAAATTATAATACACTGAAAAAAGAAATTGAAGAGGATCTCAGAAAATGGAAAGACATCCCGTGCTCATGGATTGAACAAATAAATATTGTGAAAATGATCATTCTCCCAAAACTGTTATACAGATTCAATGCAATCCCAATAAAAATACCATCAACATACCTCACAGAACTCAAGTAATCACTCCTAAAATTCATCTTGAACAAGAAGAGGCCTAGAATAGCAAAGACAGTTCTAAGCAGCAAAGGCAAGGCAGGAAGCATCACGATCCCTGACTTAAAGTTATACTACAAAGCAACTATAAACATGGCACTGGAATCAAAACAGAGCTGAAGACCAGTGGAATAGATTAGAAGATACAACCACAACTAAAAACGCAGTCAATCACCTTATCTTTGATAAAGGGGCCAAATATGTTCACTGGAAGAAGGACAGTCTCTTTAATATACAGTGTTAGAAAAACTGGCTCTCCATATACTGAAAACTAAAACTAGACCCATGCCTATCACCATATACTAAATTAAAGTCTAAATGGACCAAAGATCTGAATATTAAAACAGAAACACTAAATCTATTGGAAGACAAAGTGGGTAAAAAACCTTGAAGACATAGGAGTAGGTAGAGAATTCATGAACAGGAATCAAACCGCATGAGAAATACTCCCCAGAATCAGTAACTGGGATCACATCTTATTAAAAAGTTTCTTCACATCAAAAGAAATCTCCAGCATAGTAAAAAGAAAACTCACAAACTGCAAAAAAAATCTTAGTGAACTGTCCCTCAGACAACGGACTTCTGCCCAAAACATACAAAGAATTTTTAAAAATCAGACCCCCAAAATTCAAAGATCCAATCCACAAATGGGCATCTGGGATGAATACACAGTTCTCAGATGAAGAAATAAAAATTGCAAATAATATCTTAAAAAATGTTTATCATCATTTTCATTAGAGAAATGCAAATTAAAACCACACTGAGATTCCATCTCACTCCTGAAAGAATGGCCAGGATCAAGAAAACCATCAACAAATGCTGGAGAGGCTATGGAACTCTCTTGCACTTTTGGTGGGAGTGTAGACTGGTGCAACCATTGTGGAGGTCAGTCTTCTCAGAAATCTGGGATTGGAGGTCCCATTTGTTCCAGCTATTCCATTTCCAGGCATATTCCCAGAAGCAAACATTATACCACAGTGATATATGTGCACCCATGTTTATAGCAGCACAATTTGTAATAGTTAGGTCTTGGAAACAACGTAAGTGTCCATCAACTGAGGAATGAATAAAAAAGTTGTGGTATTTTTATACAATGGAGTACTACTCAGCTATAAAAATGATCACATTGAGATCTTTATAAATAAATGGACACAGCTTGAGACCATACTCATAAGTGAAATGAATCTAACTCACATGTATAAATACTGAATAGGCTCCCTAGTGTAAGAAATGTAAGAATACATAAAAGTATGTGGTAATCTTGATTCCCCAGTATATTGCTTTGAATTGCTTATCATGTTCTCATTCATTAGTTGGAATGGTTTTATTCTGGGTTGTTTGATTTTATTGTCTGTGATGGTATGAACAGCTATTTTGAAGAAAATAAGACATTATAATATCTAATGCTGATTTAATATCATCTTGATTTGAAGTCCCGTCAAGCTGTTGTTCTTCTGTCTCCATTGGTTTTATCATGTTGTATCTTATTGTATTTTATTATATGTGATAATATAAACAAAATTTTATGGACAAGGAGATAATATAGTAACCATTGTTCATTTACTGTTCGTTGGTTCTGAATACCTTGTAATACTTTCATTCCCTTGAATGTTTTTATACCTTTTTGTTATGTTTGGTAGTATAGTATATGAAGGTATACTCAAATATTTCAAGGAAAGAGACACTATGATAGCTACTACTATATCAGGTTTTCTTGTGGTGAAACACTATGTTGCTTAAATTGTTCTGTTCTGACCTGTTTGGTTATGTCCTCTTTTATCTTAATCTTTTTTTAAAATAAAAAAGTGACTGAGAAGTTTCATTGAATTAAATATATCTGAGTAGTTGAAACTCTTTCTGAAAGTTGAAGATGTTTCTGTTTTTTGGCATAAAGTTGTATATAGTAGAAGCAAATGATTTTTGAACAAAACTACAGTAAAAAATGAAAAGATGATTCAGGGCAAAGATACAAATCTGTAAGATTTCCATAGTCATCGACCTGAGGATTCGTGAAGATGACTCCAAAATATCGTGTCTACTATCTACATTTTTGTACATCCTATGTGTATATAGCTATAAAAGATGTGGTTAAAAATAGAATGATATTCAAATTCTAAACATTTTATTACAAGTAAATATATATATATACATATATATATATATGTGTGTATATGTGTATGTGTACATATATATTTACATATAGGTACTGTGGATCGAACTCACAATCGTGTACTTGCCAGGCAGCACTTATGCTGCTGAGCTAAATCCCCAGCCCTAAACCTTTTATTACAGTGAAAAATATATTGCCAATAATACCCAACAAAATACTTCTGGCACTTCATATGAACTTATCATTCTTGCCACTTTCTAAAGCAGTTCTGGGAGTCCTCTTTTGTGTCTTGTTTTGTGCCCTCCTGGCCAACTTTATGTCCTGAATCCACTCAAAACATTTCCTTTTCATGTTCATTTTCACTTTGGAGGACAGCCAGCAGTCACATGGTGCCAGATCAAGTGGATAAGGTGGAAAGGACACACTGTGATGTTTATATGATCCTGCTTTTTGCTGGGATGCAACTCAACAGAAGCATTCAACACATTTTTTATTCATAATTTTTTTATTCATAGAGACCAAAAGAAAATTTCCAGAACTGCTTCAGAAAAGGATAAGAAGCATGGGATAAGTGTGTTCAAAGCTAGATGGAGTCTTCTGAGGGTAACCAGTGGCAACATGTCTAGTAATAAATTTTTAAAATCTAAACAATCACTGTATATTTTGATCACCTCTTGAGATATCTACATACCTCTATCTATATCCATATTTACCTCAGTGGCATCTGTGAATAAGGATCCTCAACAGAAGAAAAGGAAAGATGTTGGGAGAAATACAGAAAACTAAAGCATCAAATTCTCTTTTCCTTTATTTGTGTGGCATATTTACCTTTGCATCTAGAAAGGATGGTATCTGATATTTCCAGGCTCCCTGATTGATTTTTTTAATATTAAAGATATGTGAGGATTTCAGAACAACAGTACTTTTATAACATTAAACTATTCCTTAGAGAGGAAATTCATAAGAATAAACAAGGCTACGTATTTTCAATAAATCGTAAGACATAAATCAAAGTAGAAATATATTAAAGAAATCAGTGACCTTGTATGAGGGACACCTCTTCAAATATATCTTATTACATACTTTTCCCACTGTTAGTTAAATACAAAAGAGAAGTCATTTCATATATAAAGCGCTTTTAATTTTAATAGTAGTATGACTAAAATTACAGGTAAAACTAAAGAGTTATTATTCACTTTGCAAAACAGATGTTTAATGTATACAACTCCTAAACCTCCCAAACTCCTCTCTCTGAAATCCCCTTAAAAGATCATAAAGAACTGAAAAGAGAAATGAAAAATATTTATCCTGAAACTATAAAATAATCATAATTCCATGCAAGAAACTCCTAAGAATGCCTTCAAAGGTAAACCAGTTGAAAAAGAAGCCCAAATTGTCTTGAGACAATTCCTTTGTTTATGACCTTAGAGTTGTAAGAAAGAAGTTGGAAAAACAAAAGACAAGGGAAGACTGAAATAAAAATAGGTAACTATCAGGGTGCATGGCAGGGCTGTGGGGCTCAAAGAGAGATAGCGCTGAATACTTCTGTTTTCAATGAACAGAGATTTTTTTTTTTTTTGGCTGGGATAGTGAATGACCTAAAGTTAATGCTAATATGAGAAAGAGAATGTTTAGTTATTGATTAAAGTCACAGAAAATTAAGTCCCTATCCTACATAAATGAACAAAAGTCTCTGTCTTGGTCAGCTTTCCCAACTCTGGATTACAATACCTGACATGCATAATTTAAAGGAGGAGCAGTTTAATTTGACTTACAGTTTCAAAGGATCAAATCCATGATTGTCTAGCTCCAAGATAGAAACATCATGGCAGGAAGGAATGGTGAAGCAAACTGCTCACTTCAAGGTAAACTGAAGGCAGAGAGAACAACACAGAGAGAAAGGAGCCAGATACCAGATACAGTAAACAAGGTCATGCCTCCATGACCCACAGAGTCACACCCAGAAGTGTGCTTTACTAATTTCTGGATGCTTCATAAGCCAGTCAACCTTGTTTAGCTTGATTGTGATAGCCTTTGAGCCATCGGCTTCTCCCAAGCATGCTAATTCCAGAACCTCTAAGGTCAGGCAGAAGCCCAGTTGTTTCAGTAGACTGCAGAGTGGAGGTGGGAAATGCAGAGATAATATACCAAATCCGCCATATTTTTCTCCCCAACTGTTTTTTCCTACCTCTTAATTCCAAACAATTCAAACTATATGCAAATAAGTAACTGAACAAAAAACTATCCAAGAGCAAGTCCATAATGTAAAACTAAAGTTCAATAAGACAAAGAACTTCCACAGTTCTTCCATTTATAATATTCCTGGCAAGTAGTAAAAACAGACATGCATTCTTTCAAAATAAGGAAGAAAAACTATGCAAAAGTTCTGCAAAATACATGTTAAAAGGAAAGGGAGGTAGCCAATAAAATAATAAGTAAATAATATGTTAGAATGATAATTTCTTTAGGAAAATTGCAAAAATATTTAAGCAACAACCATTTCATGTTTTCCAAGAAAAATGATTATTTTAAAACACTGTAATGGGAGAATCTAAAGAAGAACTGAAAGAAAGAACTTCAAGACAAGATAGTAAGGTGATCTCTTGATGAAAACTGATCTAACAATAGTAAAAACAAAAAAAAATCATTGCAAAAAATTATCTTAGAAGTGTAAGAAGCAGAACTTATACAACAAGAATCTGAACCAGTATAACAGAAATTAGATTGTTGACAATTAGCAAAACACACACACATAGAAAGGAAAGGGATAAGAAAAATATATTGATAAAGAAAAACTTGTATATATCATAAAGACTGATATTCAGTGAATAACAAGTAGATGTTAGGTAATTTTTAAAATTATGAAAATGAAATACTAAAAATATTGAAGGATATAATAAAAGAAAACTTTCCCAAGACAAAGAAATATGATGATCTGTTTTATTTCATGCTCCCATTGTCTGAACGTATTTTGTGGCACTTGTTTTAGTGGCACTATGGAAAATTGTATTAATTAACAGCAAACTTCATGACTTATCCTGTTCCAGAGGTTATTCAAAGATATGGGAAGAATCATAAAAGTATGCAGACAGAAAAAGTAGATAGAAATTAATCTTGCTTCCAACTTCACCTCAGCAATATTAGACTTAAAATAAACAAAACGCTATATGCAGTGTTTTAACCCCAAAATTGTATACAAAATCAAGATAATTTTCATAAATATAATTATTTTTTTACATGTAAAATATTTAATAATTCCCTATATGTAATCCTTGCATATGTCTCCTGAATAAAGTAACGGCTAATAGCCCAACCACAAAACATAAATCAAGTTCAGTCATCAACTGTATAGCAATATTTAAGTCAGCAATGAATCATATATATGATCATGATTCCACAAAATTATAATGGAGCTGGGACATTCCTATTACCTAAGTATTTTTATCATGTCTTTTCTAGGTTTAGGTACACAAGTACTATTGCGTTAAAATTACCTAAAGTATTGAATATAGCAACATGAAATATAGATTTGTAGATTAGGAGGGCTAGGATGTTGTAGTGATTAATTAATTTTCAACTGGAGTAGGAATGCCCAGTTTATTTGAAATCAGTATAGTTGTCAAAACAACATAAAAGGAGAATGGGAGGGAAGGATTTCAATTTGTCTTATTTGAAGGGCCTTCACTGCAGGTGATTTTCCTCACCTTCACCAAGGATGACTGCTGTTTTCTCCAGAGGAGCTCTGGTCTTTGCCTAGCTTCCCTGATGCAGCCCCTCTAGCCTCCAGCAGGGGCTACTGGCTTTAGGTGCACACCCTCTAGTCTTCCAGCACAGATGTCTTGGCCTCCTGTTTTGGACCCAGAGGGGCCATTGCCATGGGCTCCAGGCTCTCTACTGGATTCTTAATCTTTCTAGTCTGCAGACAGATCTATTGTACTCTTTTGTGTTTGATTCTGTGGAAATCTTGAAAATTTCTGTGTCCTGTACTAAATCTGATTCAGAGCACGTGTGACAGTCTCTCTCTCCCTCCCTCACTCTTGCTCTCACTCTTTCTTGAATTTTAGATATACATAAAAATCACATTCATCATAAAGAATTTGTACCTGTACATGATATATTTTGCTTCTTCTGTTTTTCTCCATTATCCTCCATTACCCTCAACACCTTTTCCCTTTTATTAACAAAAACTTTGTTTATATTTTTACCTCTATTCTTTCATTTTTTCTTTTCCTTTCCTTACTTTCCCTCTTCCCACTTCTTAATCCCCCTTCCCATTTGAATATTTTCTTCCCAATTCACAATATCTATTATATATTGATCCTTATTTATGTTTTCAGTTTCTCACATCAGAGAAACAATACAGTATTTTAGTTTTTTAATTTTGTACAAAGAGAAAAAACAAAACACAAAAAGGGTAGAAATAATACATAATTTAAAAAATAAACAGCAAGAAATCACTAGTTAATAAATTACATATTGTCCTCTTAGAAATAGCTGGTTCAATGCAGTATTTTAAAATGTGTATCTAGTTTATTTCACCTTAGACTATGGTCTCAAGATGAATCTATTTATATAGAAAGATCTCAAGCTTATCATTCTTTATGGCAGAGAATTACTCCTTTGTATACAAAAAAAAAAAAACTTCACATCATCTTTACCAACTTTTCAACTGATGAGCATTTAGGCTGTTTCTCAGATTTGGCTATTATGAACTGGGCCCCTAAGAACAAAAGCTGAGCATATATTGCTATGGTATGTTGCTTTTAATTCTTTTTGGAAGCTACAAAGAAGGAGAATTTCTGGGTCAAATGGGACTTCTGGTTTTTTGAGGAATTGCCGCACTGATTTCCGTAGTGATTGTACCAGTCTACACTCCCACCAACAGTGGAGAAGGGTTCCTTTTATGGCTCAGCCCCAACAGCATTTGTTATTGGTTGAACAGGATTTCACTATGCAGTTCATCCTGGCTTTGAACTCACTGTGTAGCCCAGGCTGACCTTGAACTCACAGCAACTCTCCTGCCTCAGCCTCTCAAGTGCTGGAATTATAGACATGTTCCACCACACCCAGCTGGTTGATTTCTTGATAATAGCCAGTTTATGGAGATGAAATCCTGGCATCTCTGAAAACTGGCATCATAATTTGCATCTCTCCAATGACCAATGATGTTGAACATTTTTTCATGCATGTATTTGCTATTTCTACTTCTACATCTGAGAAGTGTTTATTTCAGATGCCAATTTTTACATGGAGTCTTTAAATCTAGGGAGTCTGATTTTTTTTTTCAAGTTCTTTATTCTAGATATTAGTCCTCTGAGGAATAGTTGGCAAAAATGTTTCCCATTCTGTCAGTTGTCTCTTCACTGTATTGGTGGTTTCTTTTACTATGCAAATTTTTTTAATATGATGAGATCCCAGTTTTGATTCTTTGTGGTATTTCATGTTCAACTGGAGCTTTGTTCCTTAAGTCTTTGCCTAAACTGATGTCTCCAAGAGTTCTGTATATTCTCTCTGGTAGAGTTAGCATTTTTGTTTCTATATTTAGATCTTTAATTCATTTTAATTTTAGTTTAGAGCATGGTGAAAGACATGGGTTTAATTTAATCTTAATGTGGAAAGCTAGTTTTTTTCCACACAATTTATTAAAGGGGGATCTTTCTATCACTTTCTTTTTTAATTAAATGTGTTTCTTGTATGCAGCATATTGTTGGATCTTGCTTCTTGATTCATTCTTCCAATCTGTCTCTTTTGATTGATGAATTGAAACTATTTACATTGATGGTTATAACTGATATGTATTGACATCCTTGTCAAACTAGTTTTCTGTAATTGGCTCCCTTTTTTTCTTCTCTGTTTAATTACTTTCCTTGCCTATGGAATCTATGCTGTTGGGTTTCATGGAGTTGTAGATTTTTAAAAATCTCTTTATAAAAATAATCTTCAGAATGTTTTGGAGTGCTGGTTTTGTAGTCATGAATCCTCAGATATTCTTTGTCATGGAAGGCTTATCCTCTCATCAATTTTGAAATATAGCTTTGGGTGGTACATCAATCTGTATTGGAGCTTGTTTTCTTTTAAGGTTTGAAATACATCACCTCAAGCTCTCCTTGGCTTGAAGGTTTGTGCTGAGAAGTGTGCTGTAATTCTTAAGGGTTTTCATTATTGCTTCTTTTGTTGAAATTCTGAAATCCTGACTATTCCATACCTTGGTGTAGATTTTTTTTATCATGGCTAATGGAATTCTATGTGCCTCTCTTATCTGTAGGTCAAATTCTTTTTACATGCTTGGGAAGTTTTCTGCCATTACTTCTATGAATAGGTTTTCTATATCATTTGCATTGTCTCATGCTTCTTCATTGACTCTGATCAAGTTTATGTTATTCTTTGTAGCATTTAGCAACTGTTGGATTGGTTTTTCATAGGCACTTGGTAATTTGAAGAAATCTTTCTTTCCATGATTCCTAACCACAATCTTGTATTCTCTGTCTGATATTCTGCCCACACATTGACTCATTCTGTTGTGTATACTTTCATGGAATTTTGAATCTCCTGGATCTGTTTGAATCTGTTTCATGGATTCTATTTCTTTCCTAAGTTGGCTGTTGATGATGCCCATCATTTTCCTAACCTTCTCTATTTTTTTTTATCTGTACATGCTCTACAGTCACTAGCCATGTTCTTCATTACAGTAAACATTTATTTAGCTATCTTAGAAATTATTCTGACTTGACTTTCCCTGAAGCTTCATTCATCTTCTTTGTTATTTCTGCTATTCCAACCTCAGAGAGCCCAGGAGGGTAGCTTTTGAGTTGTTCCAACTCATTGCCCCCCTGGGTTTGCCTTTGGCCACCTGGAAGTCTGAGGTTGCATTTTGCTTCAGTAGCTCCTGTATCTTCTATTTTTAGCTTACTTCCTGAGCTGATGTTTGTAAATTGCTTATGGAAGGTAGCTTTGTGCTAGTACTGAGAATCCTTAGAAAATCACTACTCAGAAAAAAGTCTATTTCAAGAGTTCAACTTATTGGGGATGAGAAGTTGCTGCCTACCTGTCCTAGCTCCTGGTTTTTTGGCACTGGCCTGTACTAGTGTTTTGACCCTCAAGCAATCTCACTCTCTGATGAGAACAATTATGTCACCCTAGCTAACATAGTACAATCAGGAATAACAATAACATCAAACACAGAAATGGCAAACTATGGTAGCAAATTTGCCATTGTTATCCATATGAACAAGACACTACTCTTATATATCAAAATTGAAAGCAAACCAGAAAATTTTATACAGTAAATATGCCCTCAAGGTGGTGATTTTACCCTCATGGTAGAAAACTTTAAAAATTTTGAAGAAAAAAACAGAGAACAGAAAAGGAAGAGATAGAAGCAAGCCTGGAGAACAACTAATGATTGCATGAACTTTGGGAAACTGGTGAAGAAGAGAGGAGGGAAAGTGAGAAGAAAGAAATACGACAAGAACAGAACAACAACAAAACAACTAGAAGCAATATTCACATTCAAATAAAAATAAAATCATCAAGAAAAAATAAAAACAACAAAAAAGAAAAATTGTCTACTTTAGGGAATGTCTCTGCTATTATTGATAGAAAAAACCCAGATCCATGTTGATAAACTCCAACAAGCTAGCAACAGATTTAGTCATGTAGTGGATATTCCCAGCAAACCTGTACATTTAGTTCCATTGAAGTTTAGGCAGGTTTCTGAACTAAACAGTGTGACTAGAACATGATTTGTTCAGCTTGTAACACTCCATGTGCCTCTTGCCAGCTTGAACTTGGCTGCTGTCTGGCTTGAACTCTTCACTTTGCTGTTGACTTTCACTTTCAACTTTAACTCAGTGCTACCTGAGCCTGATACTGGGAGCTGCTGGTAGAGCCAGCTTGCAGATAGTCTGAATTTTCAGCTCAGTTGGCCCCTCTCTAAAATAGCTACCAGTAAGTCATCCTTCTCTTGGGGAACATCTGAATTCAAATAACTCACCAGGCACTGTAGTTTGCTACATGCACTGCTCCATTACCCTGATGCATTTCTCTTCAGAGGACCTTGGGATCCCCAGTATTCACTGTTCATCTACAGGTTCAAGCCACCTGTGAGACAAGGCTCAGAGAGAAAGCACAACTTGCCACCTCATTCATCTGTGTTGAAGTCTCTCTCTTTGCCCTCCCCTTTGGCCTCTGTTTTTGCTTCGGATCCTTTCTGGGTCCCAGGGACCCACTTCCCTCCTCCTTCTCTTCCTCACATTGCTATGGTATAGTGTCTGGACCCCAAATATCAGACACCATTTCTCTGCTGTTCATCACTCTGCCATTTTCCGAGAAGTCAACACACTTGTTAAGTGTTAAGAAATTTACTAAAAATATGTAAGTCCTAAATGAGTGGTGAATAAAAAGAAATGAAGGTAAATAATTTCAATCAATGGAAACAGAAGAGGAAGGGAGGAGATAAAGGGTAGAAAAAAGAAGAAAATGAAAAAAGATGATATAAATAAATTCAAATATATGTGTTACCATAGTGCATATAAATCTTACTGGTTAAAATAGAGAAACTCACAGGTTAAATAAAACTAAATCAAATAACACAAAAAACTAAAAATTTTAGCCTGCAAATATCATACACAAAAGAAAACTGAATCACAGCCAACACAGACATGGATGTGGAAAGCTTCATTACAAATAACGAGAGTCATTCCATAATAATAAAAGGCACAATTCACAAAGTAGAAACTAAAAGTACCAAATCTCTATGAACAACAAACAACATAATCTCAAATCATATAAAATAAATTTGATATACTGAACACTCCTTTTTCTCTTTCTTGAGGAAACCAAAGTGAATTTAAAAAGTAGATTAAATGATACATTCAAACATCATTGCTAAGTTAACCATAAAATATGCTCTAACAAGTCCTACATAATTATAGCAATCACACTCTCTGATCACAAATCAGGAAAATTATATACTAATTCCTTAGAGATTAATAAAACTATCCTTGTACTTATGTACACTGTCATGGTTTATATCAGTGGTGCCCAAGCCTCATGTGTTTACACTGTGCATTTGTGATTGGTTCTAGGTTGATGGTGTCAGTGCTACACCCACCTAGAGGTGGAGCCAGCATACAAGGTAATGACAGGAAAAAGGTGTGTCTCTCTCTCTTGCCCGTGTCTGCCTTGCTGTTTGCAGCTGCCATGAATTGTGGCCCTGCTATGCCACCCTGCCTTGGAGCCAACTGAGTATAGACTACAACCTCCAAAAGCTGTAAAAAATAAACCTTTCCTTTCCCAAATTTTGGCATCAGGCATTTTGTCTCAGCGATGAGTAAAAAATAACTAAGACATATACTTTCAAATAATTCATAGGTCAAAAAAGTGATCTTAATTAAATTCAGAAAAATTTTAGAATAACAAAAAGAACATATCAAATTGTGAACTGTAGAAAAAGCAAGAAAATACATTGCTTGAATGCATCCATTAAAAATTAGACATTAAAAACTCAATGAGTTGAATATCTAATTTATTCTCAGAAAATACCACAGAATAAATGCAAGGTCAGTGAAATAAGGTTCCAAAACTGTCATAAAAAATAAGAAAATTACATCAGTCCAAGGAATTTATTATCCAAACAATAGGCTATTTTAGCATAGGTCCTCCGCCTTCTCCAAAAGGGAAACCAAGACAAGACTTTGTGTGCATGTACTTTATTTAGAAATAATTCCCGGGGACAAACAGGGATAAACTGGAGAAAGGAAAACAGAAAAGCAAGCCAGTAAAGCAATGTATTATCAAATTGGACACTCCTTTGGGTGCCACATGCATGGAATTCTTTAAGGTACCTCATAGAAAGTGCTTCTGGACTGTTCCTGAGGGAAGATTGACATTTCTTTGTCAGCTCCTATTGCATATTGCATTTTCAGTTTGCACAAGAATGAGTGACAAATGTCCTGCCATGTGCTATGGTTCTATATCAGACCAAAAGATGCTTTCTTATCAATAAGGAGAGACTATGCTTTCCATTCCAGAGAATTTAAGGGAACCCAAAGAGACAGGATTTTCAGCTAATCCTTTGAAATATACCAACAGCTCTCAAAGTCCCACTCCTTTGCTGGGACTTTGATGGGTGCATTGAAGCGTATTGAAGACTGGAGATTCAGTCCTCCCTGTATCTTTTCCCCTTGACACTTAAATCCTAGGTAAAAATGTTTTGCAGTTGTACCTTCTTGAGATGAGACCATGGAGGTCTTCCAGCATTCAGAACGTGCTTTGCGTTGATACTTAGGTAACTTTATGCCTGCTACTTTCTCAAGCTTTTATCAGAATCCATGACCCTTTCTATGGTAATAGAAAGGGTCATGGATACTTTTCATAGCCCTTATCTATCTGAACTTGTACCTCACCCTTATCCACCTCAAAGGTACTCTCAGCACTCTTGATATCAAGGGTTCTCACCACTCTACCGATAACACCAAATGGGACCCTTGCTGCTGTGGAATGACTAAGTGATTGGGCTCCAAAGGCTCTGCCTGCTAACTGCCACTTTGGTATCAAATGCACCTCTGCTGGCTTCAAGCAAAGCCAGAGGCAAAGACTTGCAAGTAAGAAGCTTATTTGAGAAGAGATCCTCAGAAATAGGTATGAGGGATGGAAAAAGAGAATACACTTTTCAGTTGACCCATTCCTTGGGAAATAAAGCCCAGTCTCATTTGCTACCTTCCAAGTAACCATATGGAAGACATCTCCAGATCAGCCACCCACAGAGCAAAGAAGGAAAGCATTTGTTGCTCATCTTTAAGGGCTGTCTCCTGAGCTGTAAACTCCTTAACTTTCTGGGTCTGATGCATTCCTGTGGGAATTTGCCTATCACACCATGGTGTCAGAGAAGCCTCAGGAAGACGTCATATACTGAGCAGTGGAAGTATACCTGTACACTAGAAGGTGAAGCCTAACAGGAGACAGCAGACCAACCATAGGTCACAGACTCTCAGGGTCAGAAATTAAACTGTCTTGAGAAGTGGTAAAATCCAGTGGTTGAGGAAGAATCTCAAGGAAGACTATCTAGATTCATATCTGTTACAGATTTTGGGACATGATATTAACCTTTCTGTGCCTCAATGTCCTTACATACACAATGGGTAAAACAATAATAGTATGCACTTTGTAATGCTGTTACAAAGATGAAATGAGTTACTTTACATAAAGAGGTTAGGACAGGTGTATAATACACATTATCAGATAAGTAACTATTACATTCTCAGTGACAACACTGGAGACCAGCAGACAATGGAATAACACTTTCAAAATTCTGATGCAAAATTTGTCCTAATCTAACATTTTATACCAAGAAAAATAAAAAATGATCTAATTTCTCCTCAGGAGGACAATGATACATATTTTGTTACTGTAATTACAATGAATTAATTAATTCCACACACTATAAATCCTACACATTTTAAAATCAGAGTCAGGAGCATTTATTCTCATGATACCAAGGTGGTTTAATAATAGAAAATCTAATTTTATTTGCCTTATTATTTGGTGATTGAACTTAAATAATGATCATCTTAGTAACCTTTCCTAAATTAAAAAATCTTTGATAAGTTAGGATGGACTTGACTGAAAATGCTAACAAAATTATACAATAAATAAATGTTTTGAATCAAGATAGTCTCATGCTTAATTGCTTCATAGAAATAATTTCTCTCTGATCAAAATTTAAGATATCAATAAACATTTATTGAGTGAACTGTATTACTGATCCTGTGTAGTTCTGGACATGGCATTTGACTTTTTAACATGCTGAAAATAAGTTTCTTAATATCATCAAAACTTTAGGACTAAGTGAAGCCATCTAAAATATTTAAAAGCTTTATTCATAGTCTAAGAATCAGTATAACTGAAAATTATCAATTATTCCATTCCTATATTTAGCATTTGAAATGAGAACTGATTTTAGGGCTATCTCTAAGTATAGAAAGTGAAAAAACATTAGAAAATGTCTGTACAAGAAGACTAAACTTAGGGGAAAGTTTCTAGCTCTGTCGACACAAGTAATTTAACTTTTAGTGTTCATGATCTTCCATTTCAAGACTGAGGGAAAACACTTCGGTTACAAACTTGCTTCTTTCCATGATTCTGGTCACAAGTAGAGCACCAAACAAATTCAATGATATGGTTCGATGTTGACTTTATAGGGAAATTTGTTTCAGTGCTCATTCAGTTCAGTTTATGACCAGAATCATGGAAATACCAGAAGTGGTAAAATCCAAAATGGCGTCTGCACACAGCAGAGCTAGAGGATCCAGTAGTGATCAAAGGTCAAACCTCAAAGATCTGGAAACTCAAAGTAGAGTCACCAGTGCCAGTCTGCATTTGTAGGCTGAATAAACTAAATCAATACCCAAAGTCAATGGCCAAAACTGGAGCTCTTGCAGAAAGGGAGCACTCAGAAACCAATTAGTTGGTGCTAGGCAGTCTAGTGTGGGGCTCCCCTTAAACACTCACTCAGCTTGCTGACCCACATGTCAGTAATCCACAGACACACCCAAACTGTGCTTTATTAATATTTTAGGCAGCAGTCTAATTCAAAACAAGTTGACATATAGTTTCACAATTAGTGATCACAGACCTATTTCTTCTTTTAGTGTGATCAAATATTTTTTAAAATATAATATCCCTAACTCCCAGAGATCCACCATCTTGTTCTTTTCCTTGCTTTATGTTTTCCGTAGAATTTACAACCACCAAGTACTTTATACATTTACTTGTATATCATCAATCTCTTTCAATTACATCGAAGTTTTTACACACACACACACACTTCATCTGTTTTTCCCTATTCCCACATACTTGGGGTCTAGAACATGTAGAATATACTAAATAAGTATGTTTTACATAAAGAAATGAATATACTTTTTATTTTAAAGAAAACAAAACAACACAAAACAAAATAAAGCAAATCAGAACAGAACAATGCAAGTGATATAGGACTTCAAAACAAGACAGCAGGAAATCAACAATGACTACCACAGTGCCTCTCATGTTCTTCAAAATAGCTGTCCATACCATCACACACAACAAAGTCAAACAAAACAAAAGAGAACAAAACCAATTAAAACAAAACAATGCAAGCATTACAGGACATCAAAACAAGACAGCAGGAAATCAGCAGTGACTACCATAATGTCTCCTGTTTTCTTCAAAAGAGCTGTCCATACTATCACATAAAGTAAAATCAAATAAAACAAAAAAGAATAAATCAATCAAAACAAAAGAATGAAAGCATAATGGGACTTCAAAACAAGATGACAGGAAATCAACAATGGCTATCATAATGTTTCATTTTCTTCAAAATAGCTGCCCATACTATCAGACACAGTAAAAACCAACAAAACAAGACAGAATAAAGCCAAACCTTAAAAAATTATGAAAAATGATATAAGAATTCAAAACAAGATAATAGGAAATCAACAGTGGTTGCCACTTTCCCTTTTTAGGCATATCCTCCCCTATCACTTTCAAAATATCGATTATGCTCTTTGGACCCCAATAACTCCTTCAATTTTTTTATGCTAGGGAGATAACTTGGTGATCACACATATGAGTCCAAACCATTTCACCATGAGCATGACCTCCAGTTGCATCCATTTACCTACAACAGCTTTGAGATTATCCTAATTTATAGCTGAGTAGCTTTCCATCAGATGAAAATACCATGTATTTCTTGTCCATTCTGTGATTGATAGGCAAGTTATTCTCGCTGTTTTCTGGTCTTCTGTCATGTGGAACAATTGTTTTCTCTCCTTTAAGTCTATGCATTTCCTTTAGAGCTAAATGTATTTCTTGTATCCTCCAGCACTCTCTATAGGATTGGTTGTTGATCATGAATTCCTTCAATTGTTCTTTATCTTGGGAATATCTTATTTTTCCATCAATTTTGAAAGATAGTTTGCAGTGTAAATCAATGTGGGTTAGAAGTTGTTTTCTTTCTTTGAAACACTTTACTCCAAACTCTTCTTGACTTGATGGTTTGTGTTGAGAAGCCTTGCTTGATTCTGATTGGTTTTCCTTTATAGGTAATTTGTTTATTTTCTCTAATAGCATTTAATATTCTGTTGTTGTGCTGAATTTCTGGGATCTTGATTATTATATGTCTGGGTGTAGATTTACTTTGGTTATGGCTAGTTGGAGTTTTATATGCTTCATTATGTGTATGCCAGATCCTTTTCCCATGTTTGGAAAATTTTCTATTACTTCTGTAAATATCTTATTTAATTTGTGTTGAACACTGCTTTTTTTGCTAATACCTATCACTCTTAAATTATTTTTTTCTAAGTCATCTTGCAGCTGTTGAATTGTTATTTCCTGGTTCCTTGTCAATTTTTAAAGATCTTTCCTTTCATGATCACTAGTTGTGATCCTGTCTTCAAGATCTGAAAGTCTATCTTCAGTCTCTTTCAAGCAATTTTGCCAGCTTTCAATCAACTTTTAACTTCCTGGATATCTCTTTGAATCTGCTTGATGCATTGTAATTCCTTCTTATATGGTTCACGCAAGGTTTCCATCATTTTCCTATGCTTCTGTTTTTTTATCTGTGTTATCTTTAGATATGCTCAGCAATTCTTTCATTATATTTGTGATTTCTCCTTTCACCTGAGACATTTCTGATCTGATTACTTTTGCAGTCTCATGAAGTTGTTTCTTCAGTTGTTATCCACTCAGAGATTTCAGGTTCCATTTTTTTCCTTGACTATGTCTCCCAGATTTGTTCTGTGTGGGCTGGAGATCCGAGATTGCCTTTTGTTCCTTCATCTTGAAAGTCTCCTCAGTTCCTCCCAACAAGCTGATTATGGAGTCCCAAGCACTTCACATGGTGGCTGCTCCTTGGTGTAGGGAAATGGGCTAGGAACCTATGTTTCTTTGAACCCAGGTCCCCAGGAAGGGATCAGGGCATGGATTGAGCTTCTCCAGACCCACACAGCTACACTGAGGCCTCCCCAATAGCCAGGGGTGCGTAGTGATGTGGCTGTTTCTTCTTTCAGCCTGTGTGTCTACACCAAGACTCCCCCAATGGTGGCAGGCACATGGGTGTATCTGTGTGATTCTCCCTGTGGGCACTGGCTGCCCAAAGGAAGCAAGGGTCTCCAGTGGTGGCCTGCAGGGGCAAGGGGTATATCTGGATGCGTCTCCTGCCTGTGCTGGCTCAGAAGTGAATGTAAAGCCTTAAGTGTTTATAATATACCATGAAATTTTCTATAACTAGTCTCACTGCTGCTTTTCTTCTGTACATTTCAATGGCCTTTAAAAATGCTGGACACAGTCACAGTAATGATACAAGTAAATATAAAGAGAAACTTTGTCTTCTAGAGCAGAATAAAGGGTGGAAAAATGATTTGGCCACAGATTGAAAAATCCTAGCAAGTTATCTTCCTATGAAAATATTTCTTTCCATTGAAAGTTTTAGTTGGATGTATTTCTTCAGAAAAGATGACATGTGAAAATGTAGTGCTCAAATTTTAATAGATTCATCTACAATCTTATTCTGATATTCAGAGAACAGTGTTGCAAGAAAGAGCATAAGATTTTTAATCCAAACAGGGTCTGGTATGTATTCTGGCTAAGTGTACGACTATGCACAGGGTGTCTAACCTCTCTGAGCACCTTCATTTGCAGAGCAGGGGTAAAATGAACCTACTAGAGGCCCCATTCCTCCTCCTAGGTGCTCTAAATGAAGAGTCCCACCTGCCAACAAGTTGCCAAGACAGAATATTACCTTTCACACCTTACTTTTCCTCAGGAACGCCCCCATAATCCTCAGTCCCCACAGCCAACTGGTGAATAAATTATCTCAAGTCTCAGTCTGAGTCCATTTATTTCTACCCATCCACACTGCCATCTGTCTTTTCTGTAGTCCAGGCTACCACCATCTCCCTTGTCAGGATTATTCCAACAACCTCTTAGCTAACTTTATTGAAACCAGCTTCCCCACCACCACTTTCCCTCCATACCCCAGATAGCAGAAAGAATAATACAAATGTACATGAGTAATTATACAATATATTGTTCCTCAATTTTTTTTTTTTTTTTGGTACTGAGGATTGAACTCATGACCTTATGCTTGCCTGGCAGGTGCTTGTGCCACAGAGCTCAATCCCCAGCCCTATATAATCTATTGTATATTGTGAAAGAGTTAAAAGGAATACCTTTTAAATGCTCTTATCATAAAGAAATATGTGTGTAGGGAGATGGGTAGGTTAGCCTGATGGATAGGTAGTTGGTTAGCTTGATGAATAGCTAGTTAGCCTGACTTGGTCATTCCATATCGTATATGCTTACCAAAATATTACATTGTACCTCCAAATATATTCATCAATTAGATTAAACTTTACAAAATTAAAAATAAAACACAAACATCAGAAGCAGGTATTTGCTTTTATTTCAGGCTGCTCACTACTCTAACGCCTCTTTCCTCTGCTTTTTGTGGGAGAATTCCTCATTTTATGATTGTTGGGAGGCAGATATTGTTTGCTTCTAACTCTCTAGCTGCTAAATATAGGCTGTGATCCCAATGTGACTGATCACCTCCAACAACAGCAATCTGTAGGGACAACTGCAATGCTACTCAGCATGGTGACAGTGGCATCAGTGAGGATCCTGTGGTTTTGGGGTGCATGTCTGTGAACAGTGTCTGCTGCAGTCTCGGGGAGACTGTTGCCTTTACCTGGCCTCCTCAGGACGATAACTATATTCCAAGCCCCTCGTGATGTTTCTGGAACTCACCAATAAATATTCCCCCAAAGTCCCACTTCCACTCATGTCAGTGATTCACGCTCCTAACCAAGGGCACTAAACTGGCATATCATAAAACTCCTGCCATCTCGCCTTCCGTTTGCAGTGATCTGTGAGCACAGGAAGTCCTTGCTGCTTTGGGATTTGAGCACCCTTCATCTCTCTACCCTCCTCTTCTCACTCCAGCCACACTTGCCCTCCTGCAGGTGAGCTGGAAGGATGTGTTCTTTTCAGGTTTTAGAATTTTCCGCCTAAAATCCTCTCCAGTATGACCTCCTTACTCCCACACCACACTTCCTTTGGCTAAATTCTACTTGTGCTTTAAATCTCAGCTCCAGATTCCTCAGAAAGCCTTCCTGGAACAAGTTACATGTGGACTTCCTTTTTTCCACTGTAACATCTCCTCACCCAACAAAAATGAAGGCAGCTCCACACCTCTATCTTTAGAGCATCCACAAGAGATCACTTTTACACCATCTTCAGTCAAAAAAAATCCTTGGGTAGGACCTCATCTTTCTAGTAAGAAGGATTAGAAAGGAGCCAGGACTGGCCAGCCAAGGCTTATGCCCAGTGTGTGCCCTGGGGCAGTCTTTGAATGTCCTCCACCTGTCTGACTGTAGGATACTTTCCTAACATAGATTGCCAAAATCTAGCTACTTTCTTTAGAAAAAAATGAATTACTGATTGTGAATGTGGAATATAAAGGAGAGAAAATTATAAAGTGGGCAGAGTAAGCATTTCTGGAGAAATCAAAAAGGACAGAGCACTGTAATGAAGACAGAGATGAAGTTGAGTGTTATGAGCTGTGTTAAGGTACCCTAAGTTTAGGACTGGGAGAGAGGGTTGCAGAAGGTAGGCAAAGGATGCAAGAAGAGAGAAGAGAGCCAGTAGTAATTCAAGCCACTCAGGAGGCTGAGGCCAGAGGATTGCAAGTTTGAGTCCAACATGGACAACTTAGTGAGACTCTACCTCAGTATAAAAAATAAATCAATAAAAGGGCTTGAGATATAGCTCAGCAGTATGGCACCACTGGGTTCCATCTCCAGTACTAGAAAAATGGAAAGTAAGAGAGAGGACAGATTCCTAGTACTTTGTAAATTCATCCAGGCTTAGTGGCAGTTACCACTCTATGTAAATGAAAAATCACCCAATGCTTTTAAGTGTCAACAAAAAGAAACAAAATGAACCAGAGACTTGAAGTCTAAAAGATTTGAATTCTCAGTTCTGCCAATTGATAAATCAATTTAAACTCTCCTAACTTCAGTTTCTTCATTTATAAAATAGAGTCAAAATGCCATTCTCAATATTAAATGTCAAAAGTCAGGTGAGAAACAAAGCATAGAATAAGGACCCATTTGTCTCTTTAAGAAAAAGTCATGTATTTATCAAGTAAACCAGTGGATACCCAAAACGATAGCAGTGGTTACTTTGGGAGAGTTAATCCTACCATCCAGTGTGTATATTCTTTTGCTCTTTCTAAGTAAACATCAGTTACATATTTTAACTATTCTAATTAATTCATTAATGGTCTAACAATATTTATCTCACAAAGTTGTTGTGAAGAAAATTCACCGTACAATAGATTTCCAGTAAATACTAGCTCCTTTCCACATTGTAAGTGGATACAAAATCCCCACCTGCAGTCTCATGTAAAAGCTAGGAACTTTCTTATGTGATAATCCTTACCAGTCCTTGCATGAATACCCACATGTGTGTGCTAACGGTGTCTGTGTATATTTAGTAAATAAGAATCAGATAACTTAAACCTATATTCTGTGGAGTTGATACTATGATGCAATCCATAGCAATTTGTTTCACCTTTAATAATCGCAAAAATAAAAATTAAACATTGAATGAATTATTTTGATCATTTCAGAACACTGAGGTGAGGGTGGTACAACTTGATCTAATAGTTCTGAAAATCAGAATGCATTTTTGAGCACTTCTGGAATAAGCATTCATTTTCACACATTAGGAAACAGCTCCGTGTGGCAGATTTTCCAACTCACTAACCATCACCTGCTGAAGAACTGTCAATTATTCCCCACACTTAGCCCCAGCAAGCCATTTCATCAACCACTTCCTAAATCAATAGCATGTTTATCCATCCACAAAAATGTTTAGGTTCACTTTTTTATTTCCAAAACAAGAGACAGATGGAGAGAGAGAAACTGAACATGGTGTAAAAGAAACTTCCCTTTGAAATGAAAATTTTATTGACCTAGAATAACTAGTATAATGTGAAAGCTCTATGACTTACAAACTGCACTGGCTTAGGAGAAGCAAACATGAAATACAGTATGGATCTAAGTATCTAGCATATACAGTGCAAAAGCAGTCCAAAGCAGTCGTGCAGGAACCCAAGTATTTGTGCTGTTTTTCTAAATGCTATATGCATTTCATTTACCATAAAGTACACGAAATATTTACTTTTTTTTCCTAAAAATGATACTAAGTTATTCAGAGTGCCATACATTTCACCAGTTCTTTTCCCAGGTAAAATAGATTTCTTGGCTCCATAACTAAGTTTTTAAAAAGGAATCCTGAGAACTCAGGAAAGCATACTTCAAGAAAATCAAACACCCACAAGGAAAGTTAATTGTCACAAAACCTAAATATGGAAAACTGGAGATCCAAATGCAAAATCAAAGGTAGTCATTTGGAATTAACAAATAGTGCTGTTATGATTAGAAAACAGCATCAAAATTAAATATTCTTCTGTACCTCACTGGGTTAGAAGATGGAAAATTAAGGTTTGGATATATTTTTGACCTAGAGTCACATGAACAGCATTGGCCCAAACTATTCTGATAGTTTTTTAAATGTTTACTGAATAAAATACTTCATCGTGGATTCCTTGTCTTTTAGTTATACTTTTTCCATCTGATTATATATTGACATGGATGCAGAATTACATTGAAAGTACTATGGTTAAGGAGACCTCTATTTGGCATCTCATATATGATTTCCATACTTATTTCCTTATATGCTTACCTTTGCTCAATACTTGAAATGGCTCTACACCAAATACATAGGTCTCTGCAATGTACTGATGCACTTACATTATTAACAAGAATTGTTATTCTCTTGGTGTCCACATGATATGTAAAGTGGTAATTTCACATTTAAGTTCTCAAATAACCATATGTTTACCCAGTTTAATTAATTTTCCCTTGGAAAATGTTCTTTTAATTATGTTTTGCATATTTGAATGATTCTCATCTTCCACCTGTGTTCAAAGGCACCTGATTTTAATGGATTGATTTTCTAGGTGAGAAAGATGACACCAGTGCATATTGTCTGCTTTGATAATGGACCTTACATGTTTGACCTAGATGGCATTCTGTTCCCTATTTTATCACCTCATTAACTTTATTAAGATGTTTCAGTGATATCTAACATTGTAGAGCTATGTAACTAAAATTTAAATACAATCAAATTTACGTTATTTGAAATTATAGAGTAAGGACAACTCAGCATTCTCTTTGTGGTTTCTCTGAGAGACCTAAACTTCAACCTTTCCTCAGCCAATTACTTTCACTGTTTTTCCCCCCACCAGACACTTTCATTTGTTATTCTTTCACAGTTTTTCTTTAAGTATCACTCTTTCTGATTGGGTAAGTTTCCAGCATACACACAAATGAAAAAAAGTTTGAGGGAATTATTCAGATCATTTGAACCTATTCCACATTTTGCATTTGGATTATTGGAGTATGTGTGAGGAAAGCTAGAATTTTCTTTCCTGCCTCATCCAAACAAAATTTAATTACCCTTTCTTTCCAGCTGCGAAAGCCCAACCAGAAAAAAGTGAACTGATTTTTCCCTAGTCCCAAAGCAAGTTATTAGCAGCTGTAGACCCAGGAAGCTCTGCTCTCTCCATAGGTACCCATCACGTATTACCCCATGTGTCTCCTGACTTGGAAGAAGGTACTTCTTTTCCTAAGAATAACTGTAACTAACTTCATTCCACCTAAGAATTATTAATGTCCTAATTACTTTAAACTTATTCTGGAAAAAAAAAGCTTTAAATATACTCAATATATTATTATGGGGGATCACTTTTTCAATAAAAATAGCTTAAAATTAAAAGACTTTTACTTGGAGATTTTTATTTTGCATAGCTACACAGTAGAAGAATTCCTCAGTGAGGAGAGTGTAGAGATACAGAAATAGGCCAGTTCCTTTAAAAAATGTTTAAAGATTTATTTAAAAACAAAGACAGCAAGAGAATTAAAATTTAATACTAAAGATTATAAAATCTAAAATTATAGGCTGCAAAAGAGTTGTCATTTTAAGAACTCACCTTCTTAGAGTTGGTCATCAGGTTCAAGTACAGTTGAATAGATGATGTCATCCAACACAGGAAAGGAAAATTCCTCCATTCTGGGACAAATACCACTTAATAAGATCTGAGCAAAGGAAAATTACCTCTGCTTTTCTTTTCATCAGCTCATTTTTAATAAAGTATTTCAGAATTTATGATATTTCAATGCAGATCAACATGACATGCAACAGTTCTCCCATAATATTTTATCCAGGAATGACTGATTAACCTTATTTGAGTCTTACTTATCTAGACATTTAAAAAACTTAAATATTTTATTTTTCATTTTGTTTCTGTGTGTGTGTGTGTGTGTGTGTGTGTGTGGTGCTAGGAAAAAAACACACAGGGCTTTGCACATGGTAAGTAAACAGTACCATTTAGCTACATTCTGAACCCCTCTTTGTTTTTCATAATCCACTTTATTTAAGGATAAACATTAAAACTCCTAGTGCTTCTGTTATCAGGTAATTTCTTTGGAAATGGCTCATCAATCAAAGGTATCCCAGGGCCTTCCGGCCTCAAACAAAGAATTGGATGAGACAAGCCAAAATCTGCGTCAAATGTTATTTGAAAAGGGCAGGGTGAATGGGTATGGGACACACCAGTCCTGCAGAGCAAACTCGGGGAAGAAAAAGAGAACCGGGAGTGAAATCACACATGAGAACACACAGCATCTGAGAAACGCTGTGCAGGCTAGTGTGGGAAGTCATGCTGGCGGGCTCCTCCTGGTATCTGGTCTTCTTTATGTCATCCACATCTCTTGGGAGCTCCCAAGAAGTTCCACATAGGTCCTGGCTTGTCCTGGGATCTTGTGATTGACAGGTCCTACCTTGACCTGTCTCCTGTATCACTTTCATCTGGAAATTAAAAACCTCTAAGGGCAAGAATTATCCCCAGCACTCAGAACCATACTGTTACTTAGGTGCTATTAAACATGTATAGAATGAATGGATAAATAATATGGAACAATGCATATTAAACATAGACTAGGAATTCACCTGCAAAATATGAATTATTGTGATGTGTCATCATAATAAATAACGTTCCTATTATCTTGAAGCTTTTAAAAATGTATTTTTTTAAAATTTGGAAATGGCATATCTGTGAAATTCACTAGACTTGGAACTACAGAATAAATAATTTTTTTTGATCACTGAGAAACCAGATTAAAGTGTCATTTTGACTGGAGAGAAAAAGAAGATGGGTTCCATTTTAGAAGTGATGACAGCAATACCTGCAGCATTCTTTCACAAACAGGAAAATGGGAAGAGATAAAATAATTGCTTGATGAAGATCCACAGCTGTAAGAAGTGTACCCCATAACCAGCTGAATTCTCACTCATCCACACCACAGGAGCAAGTGGTAGAAGGCAGAAAGAGAATCATCCTTCTACACACACGGGAGGGTTTAGCTCATCCCAAACCGGTGTGAGTCACATGGCAATCAGTTAGAGGATCTGTTAACCTGTGTTGCATGCCTTCCGTTTCAGGATTTGAGAGTTATCATGCCCATTGAAAAAACACAAGAATTTCCTCCTACAGTAGTCCTCAATCCTTCCTCCTCCCGCAATTCTCTGGAAACAGTTCCCACACCTGGAAGGGATCTCTTTCTCTTTCACTGGATGACTTCTAAATTTGAACAGTAGTTTTGTCCTCCACAGTGAATGGAAATTCCCATCTCTGGAAGCCTATGAAACAGCTTCACCTTGATTTTGTACCAGGATCTCACTTAAATTCCTGATTATCTTCTATTCCTCCCCAAAGTAAATCTCATGGCATCCCTGTTTCATAGGATGATGCCATCAAGCTGCAGTCAAGCCCCTTGGGTTAGAGATTCAAGATTCATCTTCAGTTTCTTCCCATCTCTTCCTCCCTCCTCTTCAGTACACGTCCATGATCACTCCCTACTTCTGTTATATCATTGCCATATGTCCCTGACCCAACCTATGTACCTCTGCTTGAAAAGTTTCTCTTCAGGCTTATGAAGATGAAATAATTTAATATATATACGTCACATTACTTTCTTGTTATGACAAATTTTATATCAAAACAAATAGGATCAGTCACCATTTCCCAAACATGCTATACTATGATCATTTCTGAACTTCCACTCAAATTGGTATTTCTGCCATAAATAAACTTTTACCCGTAAAGTCTACCCATTTTTCAAATCCTAATGTAAGCACTAAGTATTCCCATGAAACCATAACTTAACAGATCTGTCATTGGCTGAATTCAAAATGTGTCTACCCCAACTACCATTATTTATACTAAGTATAATATACATTTTAGCTTTTTTTGGAACTCTGTATAAGATGATGTTCTATAGAGCTGTTAAATTCCTAAACTGATCTTCTAATTGCAGCCTAACTCCTATAATTTTTATTATGTTAGTTTGTTTCATTTGTTTGTAACCCTCAATTTGAGGCTGTTTTCCATAGCAAAATCAGAAACGCAATTGTAACTTTAGGAAAAAATATATTAGAGCTTTCCAAGGATGAAATACATTAGCGTTTTCAAAAAAACCTAAAGCTAGGATTTAGAAAGATTTTTTTAAAAGGGATGTTTTAAAATATTTTAAGAAGTATAGACACACAAAGCATTTACAGGGAATTGGAAGAAACAAATACAACGTTGTGCCAGCATTGTATTATTTAATAACTTTTCACAAATGGTTTTAAAATTTGAATGAGGTTTTTTCTTTCAACTTCCTGTTTTTCCTGCTATATTTGATCTTCCCAGGGTTTTAAAGGCTGGTCTCTTGTGGAGACAAATTACACCTGGAGAAATTAGCCCAGGTGCAGCCAATTAATTGTGGAGCCAGAAAGTCCCTGGTGGAGTGGAACTAAACCTTCCCACCGTCTCTTGTATTCTAGGTTTCTTAGCTGATAGGTCTCCACTTTTAATGAAGAAAAAGTGGCCCTGTGTGGCCTTGGATTCTTTTTTATTATAAAGATAATGCATTTTGTTTAGGACAAGCAGAAGGGAGGCAGTATTCTCACTGAGTTCCAGTGCCCTCATCACCAGGTCTTACCCATAAATCACTGTTAGGTTAGCCATCACCCATCCATCCCCTAGTCTCAGATCAAAGCCCTTATACCATCCCTTTTCATCCTCATCCCTGTTTCTTCAGGGCCAGGATCCTTGATGGACCATCCCATTGTGATATTTTCAAGACTGAAACACAAAGAAATGCTTTCAGTAATGGTCTGTGCTAAGTGCTCACTCTAATTTATTTATTCTCTTTATTTTCTTTCCCTACTCCTATTCTTCCACCACAACTGTAGCAACTTTACTAATATCTTCGATGAATATCCTCTTAATGTGTTTATTCACATAAAATGCTTATTTAGATTTTGTGTGTATCTCAAGGCTTTACATATATTGGGTGTCAGTACTATAGACATCATACTTCTTACATTAATTACTTAGAACTGTGTCTTGAAAATTACTTGGCACTGGTGTACTTATGGTGCATTGCTTCTGGCCACTGCTCTAAATTTTATAGTGGAATTTACACACCATTTCACCTATCCTCTAACCCAGATTGCTCCCAACTCCCACAAACAATGTCATGGTGAACATCCACAAATGTGTCCCACTATGTTCCAGTATGTGCCACTAGAAATTCCTTTGGGAAACAACAAGCCAGAGAACTCAAGGATCTAGAATGTATACATAATTAATTTGATCAGAAAACTCTTCGAGATGACTATGTAAATATGTACTCACACCAGCCATGCATGAAGCGGAGCTCTACATCCGTATCATTTTGGCAAGCTACCGCATGTGAAATATTTCACTGAAATGTTAACTTACAATTCCCATGAATGGTAAATTTGGGCAACTCTTTGCTGTTTGTTAAATTTTGGGTTGTTCTCTTCTGTAAGTTGCATAAAAATATTCTCAGTCTGTTTTTTGTTGTTGTTGTTTGTTTTTACCTTAAGAGTCCTAACTTTCTGTGGTTGATTTGCAGAAATTCCCAGTTCTTTATGTATTTTAGGTTTTGGTCTGATACCTTGTCAATTTGGGGGATCAAATAATTAATTTAATTGTCAAATAACTTCCCAGTTCCTGTCACTTGTAAACTTTTCCCTGGAATCTTTCATCCAATCAAATTCTTAGATTTTATTTTATGGTAAATGCAAATGAAGGCGTATGCATTAAGCAGATTTCCCATCATTGGAATACCCAACATTCCCATCATTGGAATTTCCCATCATGGGAATACCCACATTATAAAGGAGGAGAGTTTTATGTTGGTTCAAGTTTTTTTTAGAGTATCCAGTGATGGTTGGTTGGTTCCCCTCAAGGCCACACAGCACACACCTGGGACAAACCCTGCTTGAGTAAATGACCAGCCTCGGGCCTCTGGTCACAGCCACAGATCTGCCCTCCGACACATTACAGTCTAAGAAAATGAGCTTGGCCTGCAGCCTCCTGCAAAGGCAAACAGGGCATCTTTGGAGTCCCTCAGGGCTTTCTGCAGGGGGGCACAGGGAGCCCCAGGCTCCGCATGGACTCCTCCCCTCCATTACTTTCTCCCACCTCCATGAAGTAGGACATCCATCTACCTCCAACCGCTTGAGTGAAAAAAATGATGTGAGAATTTGGTGATTGGCCAAATTCTTGAACATATTTGTAAAATACTTCCTATGTGAAAATTTCTACATCACTGTTTTGGAAGCATACATTTATTTTAGTATTTGAGAAAAATATCTACAGTAAAGTTTAGCTATTAACAATAAGAATAATGGGTTAGTAAAATGATTGTGCAAGCAAAATAAAATCATTGGTTTCTTAAATTGATCATGTGCCCAAAAATGTTGCTATATTTTCCCAATTGTTTTAGTAGCTTGCATATTGAGTTATTTTTTTTTTCTTTGAGGTAAATAGTGCCATGTCTACTAATAAACAATCTTTTTCTTGACCATCGATCATACACCATTTCTTTTTCATATATCATTTACTAGAATATTTAGCAGTGGTGATGTTAGTGTCTTATTTTTTTCCTGCCTTAATGATAATAATTTTGGTTTTAAGTATATAATGATGGTAAAAAAACAAAATCCTTCCTTTTCCATTTTGTTACACAATCTTTGAGTTTTAATTCAACCTATACTCCTGTAGAATTAAGTCACATCCAGGTGAAGTGGCACATACCTATATTCCCAGCACAGGGGAGATTGAGACAAGAGGATCACAAGTTCAAGGCCATTCTGGGAATGAGCTATTAGTAGAAGTGATGTGTTCATCTTTTGACTACAGCTTTTAAAAAATAGTAGGGATCTTGTCTTTCACCTTCTTTTATTATGATTTCTTAGTCATCATTTCTGCTGGCTGAAATGTAGATGTGATGCTGACAGCTGAAGGAAAAAAGGGCCACACAAGATGAGGCCAGCACCTACGGGAGAGATGTTAACATGGCAGAAGTGACCTATGACTCAACCAGGAAATTGCGTCTTAGTCCCAGGCTGCTAATACACAAATAACACAGGTGCAGTCAGTTCTTAACTTCTACTTATATCGTCCTGTTTAAATACCAATATGGCTCCATAGAAAAGTCTTGACTCAAAATTAATTTCTCTTCAATATTTTTAAAATACTAAGCCATTGTTTTCTTATGTGTAGTGATGCTGTTGACAATTTTGATCTTTCTTTCTTAGTTGGTGATCTGCTGTTTATCTCTAGAAATTTGTATAAATCTCTTTGCCTTTGATTATTTTTATATTTTACTGCAACATCTAAGTGTGTGGGGACCTGGGGAAGAAAACTATAACTATGCATATATTCCTGTTCTTGTCAGAAATTCATCTCTAAACTCTTAAAAAGATGTTGCCTGTCCCCCTAATCCTTGCTCTCCAGGGGTTTCTAGAGACAGAAGTGAAGATAGTACCAGAGTGTGGCTAGTTATGCTTTATCTGTTTTATAAACTTCTCACTCATCTAAGAATTTTGTTTTGCTCTGATATTATACAAACACACTGGCACCACAGAGCTGGGTTATAAAAAGCTATAAAAATAATCTATCAAGGCTGTGCAAGGAGGAACCTATAGCAGAATCTAAGGTCTGCTTTCTCACTATGCCTATAGTGTCCTTCTCCTCAGCCTGAACCTGACCCTCTTCCCCCAGTCTGTCTCCACCTCACTGCCTATTCCCTGAACACTCACCTAGGAGTTCACTACAGCCATTCACACTTTCATGAGATTCATGATATTTTTTATGTTTGTTTCTTGGACCCACATTTTCTTCTTGCTTCTAGTTTCTCCAAGGGCCATTTGGGGAGAGAAGATCAGCAACTCATCCCAGTTTACCCTAAGAGGAAGTCAAAATAGATGAAACAATTATTTAAGTAGCTTATACAGACGTTAGCATTCAGTGGTCCTCCATTACCATGTTTTTCTATTTATGGTTTCAGTTACTCATGTGAAGAAGGGTAAATAGAATGAGGTAATTTGAGAGAGCTCAAACTCCTATAACTTTATCACAGTCTTTTATTCATTATAATTGTTTCATCCTATTATTGCATATTGTTGTTAAGCTCTTATTGTACCTAATTTATAAATTAAGTCTAATCACTGGAGGGTCTAGGAACAATCTTGTAAGGATGAGGAGTGACTACTGTATTATTAGTAAAACTTTCAGTCCTGGAAGAAGGATAGAAGGGAAATTACCTTCACTGGAGTCTGAAGAAGATAAATCCATCCAGATGGGACATTTCTGGGCCACTTTATCCACACCTGATAGATGGCTATGTGTAAGTCAAAGCAGTTATGAGATCATTTCCGATGAAGAGGAACATTTGGGAGTTCCCCAGAAGGCTATCTAATCAAGCATCCCCTTCACTGATTCTGAAGGTGAACAGTAGGCATTCAGGAAGAAAGGTTCAATCACACTTTCTTTGCCATCATCCCTTGGTGAAGCTCATTATACATTAAACAACTGAAATAACACTGTACTGGGTGCACTGTGAGCATTTTCAGAAATCTACATGGATTGTTCATTACCTACACAGAGACTGCCTTAAGGGCTTTAGGGAAGGACACCACTCAAGCTGCCTTTAAACACGTAAAAGTGCAGCGTGGAGCAGGCCAAGAGCTATTAATACCTACATTACACAGTGCTGCTGAGTCAACTTGACTTTGATTGAGCCCAAGGACCATTTAGAAATCACAGCCTGTGGCCATTGTCATAGCCCAATGCCCAAAACAAACTGTTTGGGACTGTGGTTAAACTGATGGATGTCAGGAACGGGAGTACCTGCTATAAAATCTTGCATGAGAAATATGATGGGCCTGAGTGTGTTGTCCTAACTTTTTTAAGAACAAGTAAAAAATTTGATCTCTTAAGCATTAGAATATCTCAAATCCAAACCACAGAGGCACCATTCTAAGAAACAAACTAAGGAAAATATCCACAGAGGATTGTATTAGCTATTCGACTGGACTGCTAGAAAATAAAACTTTCACACACTACTTTTATTATCTGCTTCTGGGACTTTGTTCTATCGCTTTGTCTCCCTTTAGAGACAGCTTCGCCTATTAGTATTAATTAAATGTGAACACTAACTTGTAGGAAGATTTATAACTTCCTCAGCCTGACAGCTGTGCTATAGTTGAGCGCATCAGAGGATGAATAGCCCAGTCCCCCATATGTGAATTATGGCTCACTCCTCCAAATTGGCCATAGCATTTTAAAAAATATTTTGGGGAACTTGCCAAACAAATCTTTACCCTCCTACCTTCTTATCCCTTTCTAACCACTGCCACCATGATAAAAGGATCACTTCTATAGAAAGCTGAGGACAAAATTGGGGACAAGTCTAAAATGGGGGAAACAAAAAAATACCTAGTGATTGGGTGGTGAAACATAAAGTTGTAAAGGAAAACTATATTGGCCTAGAATCACCCCTACTTGAATCACAGCCAATTTAGGCAGATAGAAAAATGCATTTCCCCATAACTCATCTGTACAGATTTAAGATGGGGCAGAAAGAAAAATTTTGTCCTATTTTAGATAATGGGAGCCAGATGCCAAAAAGAATAAATGTCAAAATATCTCTGAAATTTCAGAACAGATAATAGAGGAAACAAATTTGAAACTGACAATCATTTTTTAGTCATGACATTGCAGTTTCCAAACCTAACTTTTCAAAAATTTAAAAATTTATTTTATATTATGATTTATGAAAATTACATGAACATTTTAAAACTCAGGTTACTATGCATTCCATTTACTTACACAAGCAAAGTGTCTGCACTAACATAAATTAATTACTCTACTATCTTTATAGCTTTATTAGCATGACTTTATTAGCTTAGCCTTATTTTCCAGGTTCCTCTTGTCTTGCCAAATGATTTGATTGCTCAATCCCGGGCTTCCTGGAAGATCTAGTTGTACTTCACAAAAAAGTACCACTAGGCTGGTTTCATGATTGAGACATTTGAACCTCTTGCCTCAAATATCTTGCTTTGCTATTGTTACCAATCCTAACTTATTATACTTGATATTTAACCTAATCAAACTGCTTTGAAAGCCATTCCTTAAACCAAGCTTCTAATTCCCAGTAAAGCCTGGCCTCACCTTTCCTGCACAAACACTGTAGAACATCCGTGGAGGGTGCACCCTTCCTTCCTGCTCTCGGTAGTAAGCAAGCTCAACTGCCTCTCTTCAGAAGGCTGTGCTGCAGAAATTTGGGGTGCATTTGGCAGCAGGATTTTGCAATATCCTAAATATTCACCTAAAACATTTAGAATTACAGAGACAAAGACACAAATCACACATCTTTCTCTTAATAAAGATGCGTATGGAGAGGTGATAGAATTTAAACTGTGAATGTCAAATGACTGGATCTTGAGCTACGTGTGCCTTGTGCAGCTTTTCTCTGCATTACACTCCCTAGTCCCCATCATTTGCCTCTGGGGGTTGTGGACAGGGACTGGATTCAGCACTTGACATCATCTGATACACTAAACACACTCCGAACTCACATACAATTTGCTATATTAGTGCCTGTATCTACTTATGTCTTAATTTGAATGTAAACTTCTGAGACAAGGATTTGGTTTACACATTGCTGTATTCCCAGCACTTATAATAGTGTTTAGAGCAAATACTGAGGAAATAAAAGAAGGCAAAGGAAAGGAGAGGAAAGGAGCATGGCAGAGGAAAAGAGGTGTGGAGGGGAGGAGAAGGGAAGAGATAAAGGAAGGAAGGAGGAAAAGAAAGAGGAAAATGGCAGGTGATCTAAATTAAATGAAACAGCAAGTCTCATGGCAAATGCTCATGCCTGAAAGCTAAATCTAAATTCAAATTTTTTCTCCCACTTACTATATGATTTTAAACAAAATATTACACTATTCTATTCATTAAGCCTTGCATGTCTCATTGGTAAAATGGAGACAATGTCTATATTGCATTGTAAAAAATAGAAAATACGTAAAAAGTCTGAAAAGTGTCTAGTGTAGTTGCTAGCAAACAGTAAACCATTAGCAAATACCAAATCTATAAGCAGAAAAATCAGTGGTTTGAAGAAATGATGGGTAAACTTTGCTTTTTTTAAGCAAGAAAAATATTTATCCTTTCATTTTAATGGAAAATGGCATTTAATTTGGAAAAATCTATCTTGATGAACATTTTGGTTAGAAATTAGTCAAGTGATAAAAAAGAGAAATTAGAAAAAAACATTCAGTTGTTTTGCTAAATTAAAGGGCAAAAATGGAATCTGTGTCTTCTAATGGGAGTTTAGGAGACAGAACTAGAGTGAAGGTGGTGAAAATTTTTTTTTCTTCTACTCATCATGGGCTGGATTCCTGCAGACCCAACAGACAAAAGGTAGATTAACAAGAGAAAAACAAACGAAAATTTATGAATGCATTCATTGTGCATACACACAGAGAGCTCGGTGATAAGTGACTCATGAATAGATTTTGCACTTCTATGATATCTTAACAAAGAACCATAATTTAGTAGAGAAGTGAAGACAAAGAAAGAGACTTCACGCTTTTTTGGACAACAAACTCTAGAAGATAAATATATGGAGAACTAATGGAAAATAAGGGTGTTTGGAGAGTGTTAGCTCCAACTCCTCTAGTGTTGTCTCCTGCACTGATAGACTCTAAAAGATGCAAATGCCTTTCCTTGTAGATGAGTGTTATGAATTGGGTCTGAAATGTCTTGCATTGTTCCCTACAAGTCATGTGCTAAATGTTTGGTCTACTGGGAACCTTCAGGAGGCAGGGCCTAGCAGAAGGAAATGAAGTTATGGGAAGTGTAACTCAAAGAGGATACTGGGACCCCGGCAACCTCACTTACATTTCTTCTCCCTGGATGCATGAATTGAGCAAATTTCTTCCAATGAGCCCTCTTCACCATGATATTTTACCTCACAATAGCCCCCAAAGGATGGGGCCAAGCAACCAAGGACTATAACCTCTGAACCCATAAGCCAAAATAAATCTCTTCTCCTTATAAGATGATTATTTCAAATGTTTTGTAACAGTGACTGAGAACAGACTGACACAGTGGGGCAAAACAAAGAGTTTTTGTTTTTCTCAATTGTTTCCAGTTCAAAACCAGTTGCCAGATTGGTAAACTTTTAGGAGGTGTACTATGCACCACGTTAGCAATACTTTGACTGAGAATAAGAAACAAAGAAAAAATGCCTACCAAAGTGACATCTACGCTTCATTTCTCAGTTTCCATGTGTGGTGTGCTGCCCTCTTCCATTGTTTGAAGTCCTCTATAAAACTTGTCTGAGGACGTTTGTCTTGTGTTGGTAGAATTTATGGATGAGCATGAAAGAAAGTACAGCTTTCTAAGTCATCCAGTTTGGATACTAAGGGGGCAACGGTCATGGTCAGATATCAAAGGGACATAGCAGTGCACGGGAATTCTAGACAGAAGAAAGTGAACTGAATTCAGCCAATACTGACTTGAGCTACTGGGAAAGACTCCCATTTCCCTCACAGGACTCTTGGAGGCAGGAGCAGAGAGAATCTGTTGCTCTGTTGATCATGCTACCACGAAGGCAGGTATGGGAAGAGAGGAGGAGAGGTCTAAGGGACCACACTGGGTAGGACAAAGTGAGACAAATGAGACGTTTACCTCAATCATAAAATTTGATGATATTCTAAAATATTGTTCTAGAGAACTGATATTTTCTTATGTTTTTTTTTTTTTTTTTTTTTTGGTACCAGGGGTTGAATTCATGACTTAGTGCTTGCCAGGAAGGCATTTACACCACTGAACTAAACTCCCAGCCCTTCATATGATATTTTAATAAATAAGAATCAATGCAAAGAGCTCCAAGATGGGCAAATAATACATTTTTAAATAAAGACAAGAATGTTGTGGCTGATTGGTTTCCTTTTGTCATAGGCTCCAATATGTCTAGTATAGCATTGTGACTGCTTTTGAGTTTATTTAAAGTGTTGGTATTTTGTTTATTATAGATATTTTTGCATTAATTTTTATACCTTAAAATATTAGAGTAGTCATAGTTCTTAAGAGAAAGTGAACCAATAGGAAACATGTGTGTTTGCAGATAGATGAGAGAGAGAGACAGAGGGACAGAGAGACAAAAAGAGACAGAGAGAGACAGAGACAGACAGAGAACAGACTATAAAGGAATGGTTCAGAAGCTAAGGAGCCAGGGATTTAGCTCAGTGGCATAAGCATCTGCCTGGCAAGCGCAAGATTGTGAGTTTGATCCCCAATACCACCACCCCCAAAAAAAGGCCAAGGAAGGGGATCTGGGAAGATGATGAGTGAACAACAGAGAAAGAGCCTCCCCAAGATTTGGTATATAGACACTGGGATGTAGCAAAGTGAGGAAGACACGAAGAGAAGAAGAGGGAAATGGTTCCTCTGGACCCAGGAAGAATCAAAAGCAAGAATTGAAGTCCACAAGGAGAGCACAAAGAGAAATTTCAATGAAGAAGAAGAAGAAAGTGGCAGGCAGAATCTTCTCCCTGAGCCCAGACTCACTGCATGGGAGGGGCAGTTCACACCTGCATGGTCACACGGTCACATGGTCACATGGTCACGTGTGACTGCTGACTATGCCAGACACCTCCACAGAGAGACACAAGAGTGAAAGGGAGCAGTGGATGTGGAGGACTGCATTGGCCGGTGGTGAATACTTCAGCATCAGACATCCCACAGGAGAAGGTGATTGGCTAGAAGACATTTTGGAGAGGAACCAACTGAGCTTCAAGCTCAGAACAACTACTGGCCTCATCTAATGGTCTCCAGCTGAGTTAAAGCCCACAGAAGGGGCATTGACTGCTGCAAGTTGAATGGGTCTTGTTCCAGTCTCGCAGCCGGAAATCACCCTGAACTTCAGGGAAAATAAAGGTACATGCTCACTGAGATTCTCCACTGCTCTGCCAGAAAACTACTGCTGGTTTGCTAGGATTAATCATCACAGATCAGGGTTCTGCTCATATTATCCACCAGTGACAGCAAAGACACACCTTGAAGCGGAATTTCTTTGGCTTCTCTCTCTCTGTCTTTCTCTGTCTGTCTCTGTCTCTGTCTCTGTCTCTCTCTCTCTCTCTCTCTCTCTCTGTCTCTCTCTTTCTCTTGCTTGTTTATTCTCTCTCACTTTTTTGTTTTATGTTTTCTTCATTACTTTTCTTGGTTTTATATGATTGTGTAAATAGTTTATAGTGTTTTTGTGGTCATTGCTCTCTTCTGTTATTCTTTTAAATTCTTTCTTCTTTCTTTCCTTCCTATCTTTGGCACCAGTTTCCCAAAGTTTGCATTATCTTTTCTTGTCTTCCAGCCTTTCTTTTTCTTATTCTATTTATCTATCCCTCCAAAGCATTTTAACTTTTCTCCCGTGAGGGTAAAATAGGAATATTAAAGACTTATTTTAAAGTTTGTTGTAAAGCCCCAAATGCAATTCATATGATTAAAGGTGGAAATTATTAGTTACCTCAGTTTGTCATTTTCTAGTTTCTATTTGGTACATTTGTTATTCCTAATTGGATTATATTGATCAAAGAGACATGGTTGTTCTAACCAGTTGTTCTTCCTGGTATACCAAGACTAAGATTGTTAAGGGTTATAAAAACTAATATAGGCCAGAACCACAGCCTGGGCCAAGTAGGCAGCAACTTCTCATCCCCCATGAATAGAAAAGGTGGGATATTGCTACAGACTCAAAATCCAAAAGCCAACTCCACCTGGAAGAAACCTGTGAAAAGTAGTCATTTCTGAAGTATTCTAAATACTAGCAGTAAAGTTACTCACCATAAGCAATTTACAAATATCAACCCAGGAATTAAATTAAAAAATGAAAAAGAAAATGAGAAGACACTTAAATAAGATGCAACTCCAGACATCCAGTTCACCAAAGGCAAATCCAGGGGGCAATGAGGTGGAACAATTGGAAAGTCACCCACCTGACCTTGCTGAAATGGTAACAGCAGAAATAACAAGTCAAATGAACAAGGTTATAGAAAAAATCAAATCAGAAATAATTTCTCAGATAACTACAGAGATGGTAACCACAATAAAAGACAGATTAGTGACTCTAGAGCAGATACAGATAAAAAAAATACAAGCTTAGGAAAATTATGGAATTTATGCATGCCCAACATATGAAAAAAAGGAAATCCATGAAACAGATTCTAATAGATCCAGGAGAACAAAACAAAACAAACAAAGAAAAAAAAACCACTGAAAATATATACTACAGGATGAGTCAGTGTGAGTACAGAATCTCAGATATATAAGACAGGATTATGGTTAGTGGTCATGAAAAGAAGGATTTCCTAAAAATAGCAAGGGACCTTGAGAAGAAAATCCAGCAGCTGCTAGATGATGCAAAGAAGTATAACATAATATTGATCAGAATAAATGAAAAAGTAGGAGATAGTTAAAATAACATTTTTAAAAAATCTGTTCACAGATGCATGATAGAAAACTTGCCTGGAAGAAAAAAAAGAATACAAACAAATGAGGCATATAGACCTCAAATTAGCCATGATTTTAAAAAAATCTACACTGAGGTATATAGTATAAGATTCCAGAAATTCAACACAAGAACAGAATATTAAAAGCTATTAGAGAAAGAAACAAATCACCTATAAAATGGACAGCCCATCAGAATCACCAATGACTTCTCAACACAAACTCTCAAGTCAAGGAAAATTTGAAGTGAAGTATTTCAAATCCAAAAAGACAACTTACTCCAACCCAGACTGATGGATCCCATGAAACCATCTTTCAGAATTGATGGAGAAATAAGATATTTCTATGACAAAGAATACATAAGGATATTTATGATCACCAAACCAACACCTCACAATGTTCTGAAAGACATTCTAGAAAGAGATAACAAGGACTACAATTACATGAACTCTAATAGACTGAATGTACCATGCAAGGCAAACAAGTAAACAGAGTGGAAAGAAGGGAGCTAACAATAGGAAAATAACATGACAAGGATAAATCAATACATATAAGTTATGAACATCAATGTTAAATAAGTATTATGAAAGGATAAGAAACTGTTCAAAGGGGAAAAAGTAACTCAAGGAAAAAGAAAAGAAAGATGGGAAAAGAAAAAAATATATATTTGTATGTACACACTTAAGGTAGCTAAGAGAATTGTGCTACTAATTCTATTAGTTCTTAGAACAAAACAGCTGACAGTCATAGGACTGGATCAATTTTGCATGTGTATATCTGGTAATCTGAGCAACTCTTTTGAAAATAGCTATGCAAAATAACAACCTTAGTTATGTTCATACCCCCTTGTTTTGAGGACCTACATTGTCATTGTTTGGGGCTCTTTGTCTTTGCTATTTGTTTGTCTCTTTTGTTTCTTGTTTTTCTCATAATTTGTATTGTTTTGGTTTTGTTTTTTCCTCTAATACAGAAAAGATAGATGTGCATGTATAGGCTTATACATGCCTAGAACTTCTCCTAAAGAGTTTGTAGGAATTGATTTTATTACATGTGATGATATGAACAGCTACTTTGAAAAAAACAAGACATTTTGGTAACTATTGCTGATTTCCTATCTTCTTGTTGTGAAGTCAAGTAATGCTTTTATTCTTTGTTTTGATTGGTTTTAGTCTGTTTTGTATTATTTTATTTCAATTTGTATGACGGTATGGACAGCTATATTGAAGAAAACAGGAAACATTATGGTAGCCATTGTTGATTTTCCTATTGTCTGATTTTGAAGGCCTGTAACGCTTTCATTCTTTTTTTTTTTTTTTTTTGGTTGGTTTTATACTATTCTTTCTTGTTTAAATTCATTGTGTGTGAAGATCTGGACTATTTTGAAGAAAACAAGAGAGATTATGGTAGCCATTGTTGATTTCCTGTTATTTTGTTTTGAAATCCTGTGTTGCTTGCATTGTTTTGTTCTGATGTGTTTTGTTCTGTTCTGTTTTGTTTTGTTTTGTTCTATTCTCTTTAAAATCAAGAACATTTTTAAAAACATTTGCCAGCTATTCTCCATCCTCAGACAATTAATACCTAGAATATATAAAGAACTCAAAAAAAAATCAGAGTCCCCAAAATTAAAGATCCATTTCAAAAATGGACATTTGTAATGAATATATACTTCTCAGATGAAAAAATAGAATTTGCAAATAAATGCATGAAAAAAATTCAACATCATTGGTCATTTGCAAAATGTAAATTAAAACAACTCTGAGATTCTGCCTTATCCCAGACTGACTGGCTGTTATTAAGAAATCTACCAACAACAAATGCTGGCAGGCAGTGGGGAAAAAGGAACCCTTCTCCACTGTTGGTGGGAGTGTAGACTGGCACAACCACTGTGGGAATCAGTGTGGAGATTCCTCAAAAAATAAAAATGAGAGATTCCATTTGACCTAGCGATTCCCCTTCTGGGTATCTTCCCAAAAGAATTAAAAACATCATACCCAAAATTCACAGGCTGCAGGCAAAAAGAACAAGAATTCAACAAGAAGCAAGCTCTCCCTGTGAATTGGTACTATTGTGGGCCACTTTGGGACAGCCAGATGCCAGCCCCTTCCTGCACACAGGCTGGGAAACAAGAAAAGCCAACCCTCCTACCCTGTTGTATGTGACTTGCTTATCTGGAGAAACACAGGCTACAGTGATAGCTACTGAGGGTTAATGCTTGTAGTGGTTAGTGTTTCACTGGCTTTACAGGTAGGTCTAAAGCCAGTGGTATGATTATTTACTGATAGGATAACAATACACAATGTAGCATCTGTGGAGAATCTCGTTCTGAAGGTGGTAGCCATTGTTAATTACCTGTTAGCTTGTTTTAAAGCTTGTGTCATTTTCATTGTCTTATTGGGTTGGGTTTTATTCTGTTTTGTTTTGTTTGATTTTATTATATCCAACGGCATGGGCAGCTGTTTCAAATACAACAAGATAAATAATGACAGCCATTTTGGATTTACTATTATCTTGTTTTGAAGTCCTTTATTGCACTCATTGTTTTGTTTTATTGGTTCTATCATTTTCTGTTTTGTTTGAATTTTACTATGTCTGAAAGTATGGGCTTCTATTTTGAAAACAACAAGAGGCATTATGATAACCATTGTTGGTTTCCTATTGTCTCAAAGTCCTGTTTCACTTACATTGGCTTGTTTTGATTGGCTTTATTCTGTTTTATTTTGCTTGATTTTATTCTCTTTAAAATAAAAAATAAGTAAAGTTTGATACCAATACTAAAAAGTTTAAAAATAAAATAAAAACATCATACCACAGCAATCTATGCACATCCATGTATAGTAGCACAGTTTTTAATTGTCAAGTATTACAAACAGCCCAAATCCCATCAACTTGTGAATGGATAAAGATGTACCTTTTTAATATAGAACTAGTCTGCCATCATGGAGGGTATATTTCTAAGTAAATGGATGCACCTTGAGAACATACTCTTAAGTGAAATAAATTGGATACACGTGTGTAAATATTACATTGTTTCTCTGGTGTGAGAAACCAAAAGTTTAAGAGCCAAAATGTGCAACAGATATTGTGAAATATGAAAGAAATGTTCAAATGGGGAGGGGAACAAGGCTGGGGGAATGGGGAAAGGAAGGATGAAAGGGAAAATTTTTAAAATGAGAAAATAAGGAAAAAATGGAAAAAACCTTTTGTAAATAAGGAAGAGAAGAGGGGTTGAAGGAGGGTAGGAGGATGGGAAAAAGGAATCAAGTTACATCACATATAGGTCCAAATTCCCTTTGATGAATGTGACTGTTGTGTATGTCTAAAGTGTACCAGTAAAATTGATATTCTTTGAAAACAAGAGAAATATTAATGATACTCTTTTATCCTGAAGTAAAGACATTAGAAAAAAATTTAAATTAACATGAAGAAATAAAGATTATGTCTAAAGTAATTATATAACTGAACATAATCAACAGTTTAAACATATCTTTCTGTTATTTTTCTTGTTCCATTTCAGACAAGTATTTATACCAAGAATTATACAGTGTTGGTTAGTTTAAGATGCATAGACATAAAATTTATAAGACACAAATTGCATGACTGAATGATATATAGAAGAAATTATAAATGCAATAAACTTTAACTATTAAAAAAAAGAAGCCAAGAAAGTTCAACACAATAAAGCTAAACAGATAGATATGGTGTAGAGGGTCGGGATTTTCAAAGTCACATCAAGGAGTTTGGATTTTATCCACATAGCAATGAGAAGACTTTAAAGAGTTTTAAGCAAAGAAATTATACAGTAAGATTTATGCTTTGAAAATTCAAAATACAGTGAATGGGCAGGAGGAACAGAAATGTGTATATTAAAATGGTCCAGGCAAAAGAGATGGCAATGACTAGGATATAAGAGAGAAATAGAAAATATTTTAGAGACATTGTAGATAAAATAATCATCATGCTATGGCTCGTTTATAAGAGCAGTGGGGAAGAAAAGTAGAAAGAGTCAAATATGATACCAGCGGAGACAGCAGAGTGGTTGACTGAAATCATATCCTGGGTTTGGACATACCAATCAAGGTAGCACTGGCTATACACACAAAAGAAGTTGACAAAAGAAATGATTTTGTATGCTGCAAATTGAACTTAATTACTCCCTATAACAAACCATGTCTTTTGATACAAAAAAAGTTTTTAAAAATCAATTACATAAGTTAATTGTTGTACCATGTGATCAGAAATTATATGTTGTCATTCATTATTTTGAATAGAAAACATTATGTAAGATGTTGGCAGTTGCATACTGCATAGTAACAGACTAATAATAGGCAGGTCTTGAAAGTGTAGAAGTTCATTTCATTTTCATTCAGCTGGCTGTGTTTCTTGCCTTATTCATACATTCGGTAAACTTGAATTTCTGGGAGGCTTATCACAAGAAAAAAGGCTATAATTCTCAGTATTTATTTTAAAGGAATTTGGAACAATTTATTCCATAAGGTTATGAACACAGACAAAATAGCCTTCTGCCTCGAAATCCTTGACATTTTCCAAATCCTGTTCCATGATTTTTATTGTATATTCAAACAGGACCAATATTTATGGAGAAGAAAGACAGTAACATTTAAAAAAAAAAAACATGAAAGTTCACCTCAGGTTTTATTTACATGCTTAAAAATATCTGCATTACCACAGTTGCTCCACAATCTCCCACAAACAAAAAGATAACACGAGTAACTGTCTTTTAATCTTCCCCGAATCCCCTCAACAAACAGAGATGGAACAATTGATACAGGGAAACAGAAAAACACTAGACAACACACACAACCAGAGTGATAAGGTATTCCCAGGAGCAGGAGACTTCAAACCACTGACAGCAAAAATATGCATGTATTAACAGCAATAAAAGGAAACAGAAGAAAAACAAAAGCTTCCAACTAGCAGCCTGGAAGTCATATCACCAACAGGCACCCACTCCCAAGATGGGAGTCAGCTCTCAGTGTGGTAAGTGCCCACTTCCAATGAGAGTCTGCTCTCAGCCCACTCAGCCAGTCTAGCAAGAGCAGCCTAAACTCCAAAGGGTGTTTGCCGGCTCCAAATCACCTGAAAACTCTTGGAATGCTCAGATCCAAATGTATTTTAAAAACTAAAGAAGCATTATGCTGAAATCGAAACTACACTCGTGTCTATCACCATGTACTAACCTAAAGTGAAAATGGATCAAAGATCTAAATATTAAAACAGAAACACTAAATCAACTGGAAGACAAGGTAAGTAGAAATCTTGGAGACCAGAGTCAGGCAAAAAATTCATAGAACAAAATGCAAACTGCATGGAAAATGCTTCCCAAAATCAACAACTGGGATCTCATCTTATTAAAAAGTTTTTGCACTTCAAAAGAAATCACCAACAGAGTGAAAAGAAAACCTACAGAATGAGAAAGAACATTAGGCAGCAACCCCTCAGACTAATGACTTATATCTAGAACATATAAAGAATTGAAAAACATCAAGCCCCCCAGATTCAAAGATCCTCTCCAAAAATGGGCAGCTGAGATGAACACACAGTTCTCAGATGAAGATATACAAATGGCAAATAAATACATGAAGAAATGTTCACCATCACTGGTCATTCGAGAAATGCAAATTAAAACAGCATTCAAATTTTATCTCATTTGGGAAAGAATGGCTGCTATCAAAAACTCAACTGATAACAAATGTTGGTGAGGCTGCAGGAAAAAAGAAACACTTCTCCACTATTGGTGGGAGCGTAGACTGGTGCAGCCACTGTGGAAATCAGTACGGAGATTTCTTAGAAGAGTAGGATTGGAAGTTCCATTCAATCCAGCTATTCCCCTCCTAGGTATTTTCCCAGAAAAATTGAAAAGGTCATGTCACAGCAATATACGTGCAACCCATGTTTATAGCAGTACAATTTGCAATAGTTAAACCTTGAAAACAACCAAAATGTCCACCAACCACAGAATAAATGAAAAAGATGTGGTATTTTTATACAATATTACTCGGCTATAAAAAAAGGATGATTTTGAAGCTTTTATAGGTAAATGGAAGCAACTTGAGACTATCCTCATAAAGTGAAATATATTAAACTCACATTTGTAAATATCATATCATCTTGCTATTATAAAAAGAAACTGAAAGATTAATAAGATTCAAAATGTATAATAGATATTGAAATAATGAAAGGGAAAGAAAGTGCTCTAAAGGATACAACTATATATGTTTAAGTACGTAAAATAGATAACCACACTACTGTTTATTAATTTACTAAAGAGAATAGTCTGTACTTTAATTGTTCAATTATCTACCTGCTTTTTATGCTTTGATTTTGTAATTTCAACTACTTCTAAGATAACAGTATGAAATTTATCAACTTGTGGTTTATTGTTATTTTTTTGAAATTCTGTATTATTTCTACCCTTTTTCTGTTTTGCTTTTTTTCTCTAAATAAAAAATATAAATTAAAAACTGTTCACAATACTAAAAACTGGAATTCACAGCAATGATACTTGTGAACTTAAATACTCAAAGCCACTTTCATAAAGCCAGATGGGTTCTCCATACATAGGAGAAACTTCCAAGCCTTGTTGCAAACAGAACAGATCAAGGACACTAAAGGCACAAGAAAGAAAAGGGCCAGAACTCAATGGGATGGGAAGCAGAGGAATGTGTCTCAGAAATGTAAATCACTGGATTCCAGCAGAACACAACAGGAGCAGAGAGTAGGGGACTCCTCCTCTATGTGAGCACAGGAGACCCAGCAATTACTGATGGAATCCCACATCAATTATCTAACAAAACAATAAGGGCAGAGAACAAAATTCCTACAGACAATAAAGTCATACTACAAGGACATGATCTTACAACAATAAAAACCGTAGCCTTTTATTTCCAAATCAGCTTAGAGAACTTGAGAATATGACAGAAGCTCCCATGGAAGCATGCCGTTAGGCAGAATTAAAAAGTGACATGACTGAACAAAAGGAAAGCTTGAAAAGTGGGCTGATGGAACTTGAGAAAAAAATAAAAGTGACCCCACCCAAAAAGTCCTCCCATATTTTCAGAAATGAAGACTAAGGTGAGACGAGCTTAAGGGCAAATAAACATCACAAGGAGAAAAATAGAAAAGAGACTGGGAGGAAAATAAAAAGTAGAAATTTAAAAAATTAAAGGGCAAAGATTAAAGAGAAAGTACAGACAACTAATTGTTGCTATGGATTAAAGTCCCCTCAAAATTCATGATGAAATATAATCACCATTGTGAACATATTCAGAAGAGGTGAGGCGAGCCAAGAGTGGTGACATATGCCTGTCTGGAAAGTTAAAGCAGCAGGATCACAATTCAAGTTCAGCCTGAGCACCTCAGCGACTGAGCTTCCTATCTCAAAATAAAAAATTTTAAAAGGGCTCAGTGTGAAGGTTCTGGGTTCTCCAGTGCCAGTACAAAAAAAAAAGAGAAAGAAATCTTTAGGAGGTGATTAGGTCACAAAGATCCTTCTCTCATGAGTGTGCATGAGGGCCATTACCTCAGGAGTGAGTTATTGGGGGAATGAACTCCCAATAAAGGATAAATTCAGATCAATTTTCCTGTTTCACACATACTTCTGCTTCCCTTTCTCTGTGTTGTGACCTAGCAAAAAGACCCTTTCTAGATATTTTCCATGCCCTTAGACTTCTCAGACTCCTCAACCAGGATCAAATATACTTCTATTCACTAAAAATTACTCCATCTTAAGCATCCCATTACAGCCACACACAACAAACTAAAATACGTCTTATATAATAGGAGCTCTCAAAGGAAATCATCAAAGCAAGAACTGAAACTAGAGTTCAGGCAAATGTTCCCAATATATAGAAGATATGAATCTATATATTTAAAGAAAATACTTGGAAGACAAATACAAAGCAGCCAAAATAAGTCACAATTTAGGAAATCTATTGAACTTCAAGAGGAAAAATAAAACCTTTAGACATCAAAGAAAAATGACTAAACCACTCATTAAGAAGAAAATAAGACTGGCAATTAAACTGGCATGGTAACGTTTTGTTCTAGAAGATCACAGAGTAATATATCACAAATGCTAGGAAAATATGAGCAAGGGTTTTGTATCTAGGCAAACAGACATTTAAGTTTAAAGTTATACATAAATCATTATGATTATGCAAAAATTCAGAGAGTATTGTTCTCTTGAGTCCTTGAAAAGAATGGATTAGCAAATGGTTCAGACAACTAAATAACATGAAGATAGTAATAAGTATTGAGTATATATATTTAAATGTAGAACTGATACTTCATGACGAATATGAGGGTGACCATATATAGTTGTAATGTGACACAGTACAGTCTAAATGACTATAACATATTTTAATGTAATCCTATAAATCAAGGCAAAGTGAAATGAATACGTTTAACTGTTCATCAAATTAGTGGCATAAAGCAGAAAGGAGAATCATTTCAAGTAACTATAAAATATAGTAATATAAGATACATTTCTCTGGTCTGTATCCTTAAAAACAAATAGGAAATCTTAAACTGCTTCTCACAACCAAATTTTAATAGCATTGGTATTGTCATTCTGAAACTGTTACATAATATATTGAAAAAAATTATACGAAGAATTTTCTAAATGTTGAAAACTAAATCTTTTGGCATGAGGATAAAAGGTAAAAACTAAAGAAGTAAAATTCTATACCAATATTTCAACCAAAAGATAAACATGAACTAAGAATACAATTGAAAAACATGTATTCAGTCTCATATGTAATATTTTTGTCCCTTAAGAGGGTTTAATAGCAATAACTCAGGTAGTAATAAGAACCATTAGTGTTCACAAAGTAAACGATAAAACTATTGTGTGTTCAAGTAACCACAGCTTCTTGTATAAATGGTTGCTTTCAGGTCTAAGGTGAGAAATGTACAAGATAAGCCTAAAATATCATGTTAGGCTGAAATCATGTTAAAAATATAAAATATCATGTCAAAGATCTCAAAAACTCAACTGAACAGTCTCCAGATGGTCAAGATGGAATCCTTCAAACAGCAAAGGAATAACTACAGTTAACTGAAAAATATCAAATGTGTTTCAATTCATTAGTCAATAGTGCTAAAAAATTTCATTGGTCACATGTGGAACATGGTAGGGAATTAACTGTTTATTTTGAAAGCTGTTAAGGTAAAATGAAATCATGCACGTATTTTGCCTTGTGACAATGATTGATGGAAAGTTTGAAAGCATTTTAGCTAATGAATAAAGAAAAAGTGAGCAAATTAGAACACCACCTTATTCACAAACCTTCACAAAGTAAATCTAGAGTTAGGAACTCATTACTAACCGTGTTGATAGTACAGAGAGATCACCAGACAGTATGTATCTCATGGTAAAAGACATGACACCCATTAGAGACTTTTACCCACAAAACCATGAACTTGATCAATCAAGTCTTTGCTAAGGAAAGTGCTCACTACCCAGTTTAGAGGAAACATAAGAAAGAAAAACATGTTACATCATAGATTACAGAGATTCAAATATGGAAAACTAATAGACAAGTATCTCAGTGTCCTTAGTAACTAATAATGAAGAAAAAATGGAAGATGGGAAATCTGTGAATAAAAGGAAATTTTAAGAGGTACATGAACAAATTGCAATATATTGACTTTATTTAGATCTTAATTCAAATAAATAAGGTATTTTAAAAATTATAAAATAATCAAATATGAGCATTAACTGGTTGATAAAATTAAGAAATTATTGTTAATGTGGTTAGGTTTAATAATTATGCTCTGGTTGTATTTTAAAAGAGTTCTCATGCTTTAGGGATGCATATTAATATGTTTCTGGATCAAAGAACATCATAAGACTTGCTTCAATAAAAAATGAGCTTGTCTCAAAATAATCTAGTTAGAGAGAAGAGTGTAAATGGGCCAAAATTGGCCCTGAATTGATAATTGTTAAAAAGCAAGTGATGAAATTTGAGATTTGTTATACTATCCTTCATACTCTTGTAGATGCTTAAAAATGCCTGCCTGGAAGAGTTTTAAAAATACACATGGTCATTTCTTTCTTTTTTTTCTACTTCAGATTTATCTTAGCTGGCTCATTTCTAATGAGATGCTAGATTCATTTTCCAGGTTACCATGCCCTAAGTTGAAAGAATAAATCATACTCTAAGTGTGACATATTTCCTTTGATGTTGTTGTATATCATTTGTCAATGAATTTTAATAAACACTAGGTGGCATAGTGATTGCTTTATACTAAACTGGCAAAAAAGAAAATGAATTATCCCAGGGACATGAATAACACCATCTATCAGTGCTGTGGCATGGTGACATCATTTTTGAAATTATCTCAATTCTTAAAAGATGAACAAAATTTTCATCCTAAAATGATAATGCTCCCTCTGTGTTACAGGTTCTCCTGAACATAATTTATTAATACTGCTCTTTATATAATAATTTTTTATTCTTGCATTTTTTCACCTCTCAGTTTAATATGGCTGTATCCTGACAGAAAATACTGAACTTTGCATAGCTGAATAGTAGAGTTCGTACTCTTCAAAATGGATTCACACAAAATACCCCATATGCTGCAAAAATTAATATAAAGCAGCCCTGAGCCTTCTCTCTAATATCTGAATACTGCTTTTAGCTGCTCACTCTCATATCATTAATTGGTCCCAAATCTTATTTTAGTCATCTTAATTTTCCCCTTGGCTAATTTTTTCTTAACCAAAATATCACTCTATTTTTACAGTGGATAACTCATTTAGGGAATCACTGAGGTTTTAATTAATGGATTATGATTAAAATATTCAATTTCAAAATCCATTCTTTTGAACAAGAAATGAAGTTAACACCCAAAGATGTAGTAGAAAGAGTGATAGATTTGGATGCTTCGAGACCCACTTTGTCTCATGGCATTGGCCCACTCACTTCATTTCTTTGGGCCTCAATTTCCTGCATTCGATCCTTCACTGAGTAAATATTTGTCTGTCAATCAGTGGCTAGATTTATGGTGATGCTAGAAATACAGAGGTGAATGCAATATTACATCCCCTCAGCAGTGTCTGAGTCAACTCTAGAAGATGTTTAAGAGCAGGATAAAGTACAGGACAGAGGACTGTTTCAGGCAATGATGAAGTCACTGGTGAAGGGAAAGGAACCAGTACACAGTGAAGACAAGTGACTTAGAATAAAAGGAGGAATGTAAGAAAGCAGAGCGGTATCTCCCTCAGATGGTGGGATTGAACAAAATGACCATTAAATCCTTCCAATTCTAAATGCTACACAATGATTATTTACAAATTCTCAGCCTCTCTAAACTTAAGTGTCCTTATTTATAGAAAAATGAGAATTCCTATGAGGCTGTCACAGTGTTTAAGTAAGAAAATACACTTAATTCCAGTAGCTGCTATGTGCTAAGCATTCTGTGTATTGTTACTTTATACATTGCCCTATTTCATACTTATATCAGATGGAAGGTTTCAGGGGAATTATTTCCAGATTCTTGGTATTCCATAAAAAGAACTTAGCAGACTTCAAAAGGAGTAAGAAAAGTAAGATTTATTAAAGAAATGAATTACACTCCACAGAGTGGGGGAAGCATAGTGCAGAGTACATGATCCTGATAGGGCAAATACTGGGTTCTTGAGGCCTGCTATTATGGGAGGATCTATAGTTGAGGACTGACAGTTGTCATGGCCGAGCGGAGACATGACTCAGCTCACTCCTGGAGGGGTGACTATACAAGATTTTTAGAGGAATGTCATGGTGTTCAAAGTCTACTGGAGCAGGGCTCAGAATCACAATACAAAGAGATTCAGCACAGACCAAGGTCACGTACTTTTGCTTTTACACATGCCTGGGGATCTTTAGGGGAGAGTTACCTACATCTATTGGTTTTCTGATATTTTGATAGTTGTCCTGGTTTCTCCATTCTCATCCAGCAGCTTTCTGTGTTGTTTAGTTGTCCTTTCTGTATCTCCTACCCTAATGCCAACAAAAGACCTGGAAGAGATCTATGAGATTCATGACAGTACTCATTATTCTTGTTTTTACAAAGGAGAAAATTCAAACTCAAAAAAAGAGGCACAGGACACTCAAGGCAGAATCTGATCTCCTGGCCTTCTGTTTAGCCCTCTTTCCAACATCACACAGAATTCTATTTTAGCTACCCTTTGAAAAAGCAAAGAATTTAAACACAGACTGGGGACTTGTACAGATTTGTTTATCTTACAGCTCAAGATGTCAGGCTTCCCTTTGGGCTTTTTCTATTATTCCAACAGATCAATCTTATACAAAAGCTGTTCTTCTCATGTGAAGCCTTCTTTTTGGAGTATTAAGGTGATAAATGTCCTGCCAGTCCATGACCTGCTAGAATGAAGACTGGCAAGTATTTTTAATCATTTTTATGTGCATCAACTCTGTTCTCTATCATTCTTCCATTACTCTGGATTTCTGAGCTAAAGCTTTCTTTTCAAACTATTTCTCAAGAAATCAGTACAGCTTCTGCTAGAAACCACCTCAATGGGATAACGTAAATAAGTCACAGCATCTTAGACCGTGAGCTCTTGTCTCAAACCCTAGGCAGAAGCAGGGGCATCACTAGCCTCGTTGTTTATATAGGAGTTGCTGGTAATGAAGAGAAACATAAAAGCCATTACAACTTTAGAAGTGGAGGAAAAGAGAATCATGGGGCAGATGGTGACAGTCTTCACCATGTGAGAACACTGTAGAGCTGACCTCTATATCATTTGAAAATGATCAAGTAGAAGTTCCTCTCTTTAACTGTTATGGTACACGTGTGTGTGTGTGTGTGTGTGTGTGTGTGTGTGTACAGAGACTCCACTTTAGTTCTTTTCCAGGAAGATGTCTTATTTGATCCAGAAAGAGGAATAAGATGTTTTCTTTCTGCTACAGGAAGGTACATTCCATTCAATGGATACCCATAACTCCTTTAAGGTATTTCTTCAAAATATTTCTTCTGCTACTCACCGAAAATTTGGTTGGGTACTAATGTGTACTATAACTAAATATGTTTCTAACTATTTTATAGCTATTTTGAATATGTCAAATGTCTAATATTGCTAAAATAATTGCTCCTGTTTCCAAGAACCAAACTTCCCACCACTCGTATAAAACATTCTTGATCCTCTCCCCTTTAGAGAGATGCAGCAATGGGATCATGCCTAGAACTAGTACCTGTGACTGATTTTACCTCCTTTGTTATCTCACCTCCCTTTACTATTTATCATCACTTCCTGCACATGAGAGGTAGAATCAAGAAAATGTGAATAAAATTCAATTTTTCTACCTTTGGTACCAAAAGGACTTTAAGTACTAGGAAAATGATGCTTAAGAAAAAAACAATGTACTCCTTTGAAGGTTTAGGAAAAAGAGGGGAATAAAGATAGTATGCTTCAAATGGTGGATCTCAGACTCCTGAGCTTTTAATATAAGCCATAAATTTAGGCGTCAAATTGTTCTTGCTCCAAAAAGGAAGACTAAATGAGGTTTTGTTTATACACCAATGCTTCGGGTGCTTTTATGATGGGAGAAATGTGTCTATCAGGAGATTCAGACTGCCGCATGCAAGAGTCATTACCACCCAGCACAGGACTGTCAGATGTTTTGCTTTAAGTATGTTTCTCTGAAAATTATCCTGGCCATTTGCATTAAATACTTATATTTCAAAAATAGAATCATTAGTGAAAAGAAAAAGGCAAAAATGAGAGGGAAGGAATATTAACGTCAGACATCAGACTGGCAAAGATTCATAGACTAGGCACAGTAGCACACTTGGTTCTGCAGATTTTCTGACTTTTCAGGGACCTTGGAATGATTTCTACACTAAAGCTGTTTTGCAGTTAGGATTTTATCATCAATATGGTTCTTTGCTACAAGTCAATAAATTAAAGCAATGGGATCTTCAATAGTTACATTTTTATTATGTGTGGATTAAAAATATGCACATAATAGAAGATTTATAATCTCTTATGAAATACCTATTGTTTAAAAACAGGGCAAAAAGCAAATTAAGATGTATTATGTACATGTACAAATGGATAATGTAATCATTATGATAAATGTAATCATTATGTACGGTAAACATGTACTAATAGCAGTCTTACAATAAAATGTTTAAAAACAGAAGCTCCACATATTTTTAATATGGGCTTACTGTGAGGTGCAGAGTGAGATGAGACCCCCTGTAATGTCCCTCTTGACTTCTCACTGTACCCTGGCCAGGACCTGCTGTGACAGATTCACCCTTTTTCTTTATAATTCCTTCCTTGATGCCTCCTTTGATCATCTTCATGTCTTGAAGGCAAAGTACTGTCCTGACTTTTCTCAGTGTATCTAATTTGCCACTTGTTACCAAATCAGAATCAAATGACTACTTGCATTGGATTTATATGTGGTACCTGGTTTCAAACCCATGACTGCAATCACTCCACTTCTCCACGGGAAATTACGTATCTTTTGTCTTTTGGGTGATACAAGTTTCATAGTAATTTATGGTTTTTTGTTGTATTTTTGCTTTGGCTTCCAGGATACTCCGCATCAAACTTGTAGCCTAATTAAAGAAACTCAAAGGGTCATAGTGTTCCATAATAGTTTTTGGTAAATTTTTTGGAAAAAAAAAATTGTCTTTGTCTGATCTTGACCTTTTGAAAAATTACTGTGATATTACATATTACTTTTAAACTATATAAAAATTTTTATAGAATAAAGGTATAACCATATAAATAATTTAATAAGTCATAGAATGCAGTTCAGAGAGTCAGGTTTTTTAAAGGAGCAGAAAGCTAAGGGAAAAAAAATTAATGCTTCTCTAAAAAAATGCATCTGAAATAAAATAACATCATGCCAGATGATTATCCTCTAGTTCTCTGTTTGCAGTCTTACCACATTCCAACCCAACTAGCATCTTGAAATTAATTCTGTCTTAAATACAGATTAGTTCACATTACTATATAATTTACATAATCATACTATTTACATAATTATGTATCTTAAACAAAGATGAAATCATTTGACTTTTTTGCTCAGGAACCTTATAAGGCTCTGTTAGGTGAAGCCCAATTGACTACACATGGCATGCAGCCTTCACAACCCGTCTCCATCTTTCCAGTCAGGACCTTACCCCACACCTACCTCCCTCCTCTCCTTAAGCAAACTGGCCTTTGTAATTCTGGACATGCCCAGCCCTTTCCTCACCACCATCAAGGTTTTCACCTTCCACTCATTCCAAAGCATATAGAAAATGCCTCTAGTTTCCCTTCTTTCTGACCTAACATATTTCCCAGTCTGGGTTGATTTTAAGAAAGCCAAGTGATTGATGATTATGAACACTTTATTTTATAACAACAAATCAAAATGATCTAAAATTTTTATTAACATCCAGAATGATTGTTTCATCATTTCTTTCCAGGTCCAATTTAAACAATTTATCTTTTAATACAAAATGGTTTCCTTTCTGTAATTATTCTTTATGTTCTAGCCCATTTGGAAGCAACACACATTCATGATTGAGAGATTTGGATTCAGCCTACTTGTTTAACGTCTTCAAAATAAGACAATACTCAGTGCTTTAAAACATGTGCACAAATGGACAGTCCTTCCATGAGAAGGCAGAGTGTCTCTATCTTCCTTTTGAAACTGGGTATATTTGTGACTTATTTGTAACCAATAGGATGGATGAGGGATGATCCTTGGTAACTCCTGAGACTAGGTCATGAAAGTAATGTTTGCCTTGCCTTTACTTTGTTCACTGAGTTAGTCACATTTGAGCCTTCAGTGATCATTTAAGAAGACTAGCCACTCTGAGGCCACCATGCTATAAGAAAGCCCAGATTGAATGAAGAGACCACGTTAGTTGTTCCAGGAGAAAGCCTCAGCTGAAGTCCCAGCCAACAGGCAGCATCCCTTGCTAGGCATGTGGGTGAAGACACCTGCAAATGATTCTAGCCCTCAACTTGAAGGTCTCATATGCTTATGAAGTCTTCCCAGTTGAGTACATTAACTATTTCTACTCGTCACCACCCAAATTCCTGAGCCCAAGAATAAGAGCATAATAAATGGCTGATTTAGGCCACTAATTTAAGTAGTAGCCATCTATGTAGAAATAACAAATAGAACAGAAATTTATTACCTAGAAGTAACAGTGGTACTACACTGAAACTCTAAAGCATGGGATATTGGCATTGAGATAACTGTCTAGCTGTAACTAAACAGTATTTAATGAGACTACTAGTGTAAGCCTTACATTGGTAGTTGAGACTTTTGGTAAGGACTTAAAGAAAAAAAAGCAAATGTTCTACAAAGCTAGAGAAAATCAAAATTGTATAACCTATTGGTAGGTTTGGTCTTATTGTCCCATGTGGTAATAAAGAAAAAAATAAGCAATGCATCTAAACAATTTGGTGACCTAGTTAGGCAGATTTTCTTGTGAAATATTAAAAGGACCATCTGGCTTCTTCATGTTACCTATGATAAATTACAAGGGAAGAGGGCTTAACTAAAATACAAACCTTCTAGTTCATAAGCAAAATTTTGAGAACTACAAGGACCCAGAGTTGCTAGGTTCAAAAGTACAACTTTTTGAGTTCCTGGTATCTCCAAGTGGCAAAAAATTTTCAAACTAACTAGTGGTTCTGGAGGAGAGATCAAATCTAAAAGGGGAGCTGTAGGATCATTTGTTAAGAAAGGCCAATTAATACATAAAAAATATTCAGCATCACTGCCCATCAGAGAGATACAAATTAAAACAACTGCAAGATGTCATCTTATTCTGGAAAGAATAACCATCATCAAGAAATTAAATAGCAAATGGTGATAAGGCTATGGGAGGAAAAAGAGTGCTCCTATATTGTTGATGGGAATGTAAACAGTACAACCACTCTGGAAATCAGTATGGAGGTTCCTGAAAAACATAAAACTAGAAATTCCATTTGACCCAGTCTTCTTATAGGTATCTTCCTAAAAGAGTGGAAGACATCACATCATAGTGATACACGCATACCCGTGCTCATAGCACCATAATTCTCAATAGCTGACACTTGGAAGCAGCCTATGTGTCCATAAACAAATGGAGAAAGAGAATGTGCTATTTACGTACTACCAAATACTATTTTGCCATAAAGAAGGATAAATTTGAATCATTGGTAGGATGTACTTTGAGACCATAATGGTAAGTCAAATAAATCAGACACACAAGTTTAAATATCACATGGTTTCTCTTATATGAGAAAGTCAAAATATAAGTAAAGAGAAAAAAAGATAGATAATAAGAAGTAGGAAGATACATTTTGTTCAAATGGGAAAGGGACTAAGAGATAGAGGAGTTGTTATATATACCAACTACCCATAAGGAATGTAATCATTAAGTGATAAACATGTACTGTATTAATAAAATATAAAAACTAAAAAAAGATTTAATAATAAAGACCATCTGTTAACACCTCAGCAAGATCAAAGGTGGCACCTCAGAAGCTTTTCAAATATACAAAAGAACTTCTAAGAATCTTACAGGCATATCATAGATTCTACCTGTTAAAGAGCTTCTAGGATCGGAAACTCCAAGGGACTCCAAGATAAAATAGGGGTTGTCTTAAAGAGAACTTCTGTTTTTTGCTTTGTTTTGTGATTTTGTGATATAGGGCATTGGATCCAAGGCCTCACACATGCTAGGCAAGCACCCTACCACTGAGCTATATCCCCAGCACTGTTTATTTTGTTTTGAGATAAGGCCTAAGTTATACAGGCTGGGCTTAGACTTACAATCCTCCTGCCTCAACTTTCTAAATAGCTGGGATTACAATAGTACACCTAACAATTACGGTTTCAATCTAGGGGTATGAACTCAAGTAAGATTCAGAAAAATCCACAAAGAGTTGTACTGACAAAAGCATGTCTGATTTTACTAAGAGGAAAAGAAATACTGAAAAATGAAGGGAAGCCTTTGGATTGGACCACTAGGGAAAGAAATAGGGATGAGAAATGTATTCATTTGTAAATATGGGCTAATTATTGTGGGAAAGAAAGGCTATTTTAAAAGATAGAACAGGGTTCAGTGAGCACAGTTGGAAACAACAGAGGTAAACTGCTAAACACTAGAACTGAGCTTTGATCAAGAAACTGGTGACATGCATTACTGAATTTCAGAAATGCTATGATCTACTTCCACATTTCTGGGTCAGTGTATATATTAGAGTTAACCTGTATGTACTTCCCCTTTGGGTGAGTGGTAAGGTGTATGTGTATGGGATAGATAATTTGTTTCTTTAACTCTTAGCTCTTTAGATTAATAGAAAGTACACTTGAATACCCTCACCTAAAAAATTATATCTGAGCAGCTATCATCATGCATATTTTTGCTTTTGATGATGATATACTAGACCTCAGGCCCAGCCTTATGGTTTTATAGATATCACTGTTAAGAGATCCTCGGAGGAGGCAAGTGTGTTTTGTATGAAGATAGACTATGACTGTTTATTTTTATTTTTATTTTAAAGAGGGTAAAACAGAAAAAGCCAATCAAAATAAACTAGCGTAAGAGATAGAGGACTTCAAAACATTACAAAATCAACAATAGTTACTATAATGCCTTTTGATTCTTCAAAATACCTGCAGATAATTTCAAACACAGTAAAAATCAAACAGAATGGAATAGAACAGAAACAATAAAAACAAAACAATGAATGCAATAAAGGACCTCCAAATGCAGTAAATCCAAAATGGCTACCATAATATATTTTGCTATTCTTGAAATAGCTTCCCCTGCCATCAGATTTAACATAATCAAACAAAACCCAGCCCAACAAAACAATGGAAACAATATAGGACTTCGAAAACAAGACCATAGGGAATCAACCATGGCTGCAACCCTCAGGAGATCCCCCTAGATGTCACACTGTGTACCGCTATCCTCTGATCCTATGATCAGACCACTGGCCATAGACCTGCAACGTAAGTGAAACAACAAAGCACCACAGGCATCCTATTGCATTTTACCTCCAAAGCTATCATCCTAGCCTGTGTTTCTCAGGATAAGCTGATCACTTACGAGGGAGTGGGAGGGTAGGGATTGGTATTTCTTGTTTGCCAACCTGCACACCAGAAGGGATTGGGGGCTGGCTGTTCCCAGTTGAGTGGGGGCTATTCATGGTGCTGGTTCTCAGACTAGGCTTGCTTCAACTATGACTGTTTTAATGCATGGCTATAAATTTTCTGACACTCCCTTTCAAGCCATGGATCTATGTACTCTATGAGTTTAAGTTGGATTTGCTATTCAATTGTAGCAAATGAAATGCATTGCAAATAATGCTGTAAGACTTGGAAGCTATTTATAAAAGTCAGTGAAGCTTCATCTTCATAAGTTAGAATACTTGCTGTTGGAGATCCTGAGGCCACCATGCTATAAGGACGCTCAGGTGCCATGGAAAAGCCAAATGTTGGTGTTCCAGGAACACCCTTTGCCTATGACTTGTGTCAGCTGCTAGATAGGTAAGGACACCTCCAGGTAATTCTAGCCCTCCAGCTCTTAAATTGTCACAGCTGAGGCCTTAGTTCCTGAATCATGCACAGACCATTCCCTTTGTGCTCTGCCTGAATTCTTGACACACAGAAGAATTATCAAATGGTCATTTTAAGTTCCTAAGATTTTGGGTTATATGTTGTATAACAGTAGTAAACAGCAGTAGTAACTGGATTCAACATCTTGAATAATTGTTGTGAGAATTAAGTAAGACATATTCATTAAAAAAAGAGTATATGTTTGGCAAAATTAATGCTCGATGAATGGGAAATAGCAAGAGTTAAGTATTCTTATTTGGCTTTGCTCAAAACATTTAATATAATACTGGGGCACACAAAGGATATTTAATATAGTATTTGTTGACTTGAAATGATTATAGATATAAAGACCAAAAAGGAAAGCTTCCAGAAAAATTATAGCACCATTATTTTTCTGACGAGATTTTTTTAAAGCTAATAGAATGTACAAAATCCTTTCTATTATAGTCTATTGAATTCCAGAGTTTATTTTGGGGAGAAATCAGATTGTATAATTTATTTAATTCTTGCCTTCTCTGCTAAGTCTAGGGTAACACAACTGCAAAGGCTTGAATTCAAGGACTAAGAATTCACTGGAAGTGAGGGACCGTATCTAGCCACTGTATGATATGAGGATTTCAGTGGTCTTCATCTATCCCAGTTTTAATTGCAACTTAGAAGTAAGATTTCCTCTTCCCTCAGCAACCATTCCATACCTTTAAACCCTCAACACAGTCTAACCTTGTCACATCACTGTCATCTTGTTTTTATTATCATTGTATTACTGTCGTTCTGTTTTATTTTATTTATTTATTTATTTTTTTTTTTTTGAGACAGGATCTTGGTAGTGGTTCAGGCTGTCCTTGAACTCACTATGTGTCACAGGCTGTCCTAAAACTCACAACAATCCTATTGCCTCAGTTTCACAAGTGCTTGGATGGCAGGCATATAGCTTGGAAAGAATGTCTGTACCTACAGCATTTAAATATTTTTTCTGGTCAAAAACTCCACTTAAAATTCTGCATCCTGTGGATCACAATTAAGAGGGACTGGACAATTAAGAGGGACTCTGAGGGACTGGGAATTTAGCTCAGCGGCATAAGCGCTTGCCTTGCAAGCAGGCAGTTGTGAGTTTGATCCCCGGTACCAATAAAAAGGAAAAAGAAAAAAAAAAAAACAGAAATACTCTGAATAATAAAATCAGACTAGATTAAAATAAGCCCTGATTTCTCCCATCCTCTGACAGTTGGTTAAAAGACAACATAACGTGGCTTCTGAAGACCTATTTGAAATTTCAGTCTCCTCCTGTGTTAGTTAGCTTTCTATTACTGTTACAGACTACATGAAATATTCAGTTTAAAATGAGGAAAGGTTTATTTTGCCTCATGACTTCAGAGGTTTTGATTCATGTTCACTTTGCCTTGTTGCTTTGGACCCCAATACGAGTTGCAAGGGCATGTGTCAGTCCCTAACTTCCTTCCACCAAAATCAACCACTTCAAGGTTTTCCTGTCACCTCCCAATAGTATAGGCTGGTGACCAAGCCTTCAAAACATATGCTTTACAGGGACATTCAGGATCCAAATTACAGTAGCCTCTTGAATCCTTGAACAGCAACTCAACACTGTGCTATGACAGACTTTCTTGCCTCTAAGAGACCAAAATTGGTGATCCAAAAATTTATATGCCTGCATTTCCCCTCCCTAGGGCAGGGTAGTTTCTGAAGAACTTTAACATTTTTGCTAGACCTCGTCTCCTAACTATTAACTTGCTGCCTGCTGCTTGGCTGATGATACCTCTCTGAATACTCTCTTCTGCCTCATGTAACACTCTCCCCAGCATCCAGTGGATGAGACTAGTTTTGTTCTGGTTAAATGATTCATGTGGAATGAAGTGATAGTAATAGAATGATGAGAAACTTCTTAGTTTCTTAGGTGGCTTTACTTCACACTTATGACAAATTAAGTATGCAAATTCCTTTACTGCTTTAATTGCTCCTGTAGAGATGCTGAAAGAGGTTCCAAAATATCTATAAATTGAGGTGAGAGGGTGTAGCTTTCAGTCATCTGAATAATGATTTCCCTGCTGAGAAAAGGGCAAATGGCAAATAAGTTCATTTTATTTAACACTAAAACACAGAAATTGAGACTCTTAGATTTATCTCTAAAACAGTGCTTAAAAATTCCCTTGACTTTAGGAGAAAATCTTTTAATAGAACCAAAAAAAAAAAAAAAAAAAGTGAGGGCAATAAAAAGGAAGAAACACTTTTATCCAAAGACTGAGTCTACACTTGTTTTTAATTTAAGAACTCTTGAGAAGGGATGGGAGAGGGTAAATGTTAAAGTCCATAGACTTTTTTTCATCAGGAAAACTCTAGGAGATAATGAGACAGAAATGCTTGACAGGTCTCCCCAGGGAATGAAATGTCAACAGGTCCTTTTAATAGCAGCTCCAGAAGAACAATGGAAATTTTACTATATTTCTTACATATTAAAATTCTAGGACAATGATGTTAATTTTGCAAGTAGCCAACTCTAACTTCTTGTTAATGTATTTCTTATAAAATGACTTGAGAAAAGATTACATGACAAGAACACTTGGATAGTTATAGCAGTGTTTATATACCCATGAATCTACTTAGGGTCCCAGGAAGAGAACCAACCAAAAAGAAGCCACCCCCTTTCTGTGAGCCAGTAGCAGTGGTGGGCTGCATCAATCTCTTCTTGTGAGCCAGTGGTGGCCATACACCCCAGAAAGAGAACCAAGAAGAAGCTAACTAATTACTGTGAGCCGGTGAGAGTAGTGGACTGAGCCAACTCCTTCTTGTAAGCCAGTAGCAGCCGTGTGTACCAGCAAGAGAACCAAGAAGAAGTCAACGCCTTCCTGTGAGCTGGGAGCAATCATGGGCTGGGTCAACCCCTTGCTGTAAGCCAGCAGCAGTTGTGGGCTGGGACAACCCCTTGCTGTAAGCCAGCAGTGGCCATGCATCCAATGAATAGAACCAAGAAGAAGCCACGCCTTTCCTGTGAGCCTGCAGTGGTTGTGTACAAGGCCAACCATTTCCTGTGATCCAACAGCAGCCATGCATCCTGGGAAGAGAGCCAAAAAGAAGCTAACCCTTCCAGTGAACCAGTAATGGTGGTGGGCCAGGCCAATCCTTTCCCGTGAGCCAGCAGCAGTTGTGGACTGGGCCAACCACTTCCTGTGAACCAATGGCAGTCATGGGCCAGGCCAACCCCTTGCTATGAGCCAGTCAGCATGCAGTCTGGGAGACAAGCAGTGACAAGTCCCACTCTGCCCACGCAAATGAATGATTTGGAGAAAGACAGGCTGAGATGACAGCCACTGAAGTAAAAAAAAAAAACAAAACAAAACTTAATTCCTGTATTGTTTGATTGACTTTACAGGCTTCAGGCTGTTTGAGCATCTATTTAGAGGATAACAATATGCAATATAGCAACAATGGGGGACTTCCTTCTGAAGGTGGTAGCCATTGTTAATTCTCTATTATCTTGTCTGTTCTGTATCATTTTCATTATTTGGTTTGGTTTGGTTTTGTTCTATTTTGTTTTGTTTGATTTCATTATATCTGATGGCATGGGTAGCTATTCCAAAGACAATAAGATATGTTATGGTAGCCATTGTTAATCTCCTTTTATCTTGTTTTGAAGCCCTGTTTCACTTTCATTGCTTTGTTTTGATTGATTTTATTCTGTTCTGTTTAGTTTGGTTTTATTATGTCGATGGTATGGGCAGCTATTTTGAAGATAACAAGAGGCAATATGGTAGCCATTGTTGATTTCCTGTTACCTTGTTTTGAAGTTCTATATTACTTTCATGGTTTTGTTTTAATTGGCTTTATCCTGTTTTATTTTGTTTGGTATTATTTTCTTTAAAATAAAAAAATTCATTGTAAAAAAAAAAGACTTAGAAATTACCTGACATACCACTAAGTTTTTGTTTTTAAATAATTAGACTTTTAAGAGGAAAAGGTACTATTGAAATAGCTACCAAAGGTAATACCAATATAGTCACCAATGGAAGAGCTTTGCTATTGTACCCCCTGGTCCTTCTGTGCTTTGTAAAAGAAGAAAGAAAGAGAGGCATGTCATTCAGACAGGGTTGAAACATGGAAAAATAATCTCTACATAATTAAGTAGGAACATAAATAACACGTGAATCACCAGTGACACTGATTAGGTGCCACAACAGGTAATTTCAATTTTGTCTATAAAAATTACCTTCTCTCTGTATATGCATACCATTCTTTCCATCAAGAAGTAGAATACAGAACATTGAAGAAAATATTAGAAAATAGTAAGACTTTTTCATGGATCAGAAGAACTAATCTTGTGAAAATTACCAAAAATGATCTGTAGATTCAGTACAATTTCTATTAAAATACCAACATCATTTTTCACACAACTTTACATAGAAAATACAATCCTATGATTCCTGTAGACCAGAAAAGACCCACAATGGCCTAGGCAATCCTGAACCAAAAGAGCAATGCTGAGGACCTCAGAATACTGTATTTTAAGATGTACTACAAAGCCATACTAACAAGAAAAAGGTCCGAGATAAAAGCAGACACGTAGACCAGTGGAATAGAGTGAAAAACATAGAAAAACCCATGAATCTACAACCATCTGATTTTTGACAAAAGGATTAAAAATTTATGCTTGAGAAAAAGAAAAACTTTAACAAAGAGTGGCGGGAGAACTGTATGAAAACATGCAAAAGAATAAAACTAGATCTCTGTCCCTTAACCTGTATTGAAATCACATGAAAGTAGATCAGAGACTTATATATTAAACTAGAAACTTCTAAACCGCTGGCAGATAACATAGGAACAAACAAAGGCTTCCTAAATAAGACTCCAAACCACAGGAAATAATACCAGAAATCAACAAGTGGGATTATGTCAAATTACAAAGCTTCTGAACAGCAAAAGACACAACAAAGTAAAGAGACAATCCTCATAAATGACAGAAAAATGTTTCCTAGCTAATTTTCAGATGTAAGACTAAGTTCTAGGATGTGTAAAATAGTGAGAAAATTAACACCCAGGGGCTGGCGATGTAGCTCAGCAGCACAACGTGTGCCCAGCAAGCGTGAGACTCTGAGTTCAATTTCCAATACAAAAAACAAAACAAAACACCCAAAATCCAAGTAACTCAAACAAAAAGTAGCCAAATGAGCTGAATAGGCACTTCTCAAAAGAATAGTACAAATGGTCAATAAGAATATAAAAGACAAAGTTGAACATTTTTAGTCGTTAGAGAAATGCAAATCAAAACTACTTTGAGATTCCATCTCTCCCCACTCAGAAAGGCTATCATCAAGAACACAAAACACAAAACAGTGAATGTTGGTAAGAATTCAGGGAAAAGGAATAATTCCTTCTGGTGGGAATTTAAACTAGTACAACCACTATGGAAATCAGGATGGAGTTCCCTCAAAAAACTAAATATAGAAATATCATTTGATCCAGCCATACAACTACTGGGTATATTCCTAAAAAAAATTAGATGTCATGAAATAGCAACACATGTATACACATATTTATAGCAACACAATTCACAATAGCTAAGCTGTGCAAACAGCCTACATGGCCACAAAAAAATGAATAGGAAAAGAAAATGTGACATATATACACACAGTGTAATATTTTTCAGCTATAAAGAATCATGAGATCATGTAATTTTTATGGAAATGGATGGAACTGGAGAACAACCATTAGTTAAGAAAAAAGAAAAAATTTCAGACTAATAAGGGTGAATATCATGTATTTTTTCTTATATGAGAAATCAAGTAAATGAATAAATAAGAGATGACAGGAAACTGAGAGGTAGAATTCTGGACATGGGAAAGAGGATTCAGAGAGGTGAAAGGGGGTGAATGGGTAATAGGACTGAAAATGATCCAGATTCATTAAATGTATATACCTAATTTCCAAAATGAACCTGACCATTTTGTGTTAGTGAAGCACGCTAATAAAAATTTTTTCAAATGCATTTCTTAGTAAGAAAAGAAGATGCAGAAACTATCTCTTTCCCACTTGGATCTGAGCTGGCTGAGAACTTGCTCTGACCAAGTGAAGGAAACAATGAGAGTTTAGTGGGGCTTCTTGGGCTACCACTGAAGAAGGCCTGAGCTTACATTTTCACTTTCTTAGAAACCAGACATGAAACCTGGGCTAGATTTTAACACGATAAGAGACTGCACAACGAAAAAGAAGCACAGGCGATCTCCAGCCAGTTTCCACCCCAGTTGAAGTACCAGATGGGTGGAAGAAGCCATCATGAATGTTTTAGTCCCAGTGGGACACAGCTACCTGAGAGACAACAGCCAACACAAAGTGGAATGGACCTATCTCCCAGCGGAGTCCAAAGAACCAGGAGAACGTTGAAAAATACTGATTGTGATTTACAATGTTTTTGAGTAATAGATAACAAAAATAGGTTCTCTTTCCGCAGTGACCATGCAGAAGTAGTTTGATGACACATATGGTTCCTTGGATGTGCCTACTATGTGCTTTGAGTAGTGAGCAGATCTTGTGTATGGGCAAACTTCTGGGCAAGCTAGTGGCTTCATAGAAAGTAGGCAGAAGAGAGGTAACAAGTGAGGCAAACAAAAGGCTCTTTGAGCTCTGATAAGATGAAAAATGGCAGTCAAAGGGAAACTGAGGCAATGGGTTTTCCTGACACTTCCAAATTCAGGCCTCCTGATAAGCCAAGAGGTGATACAGAGAAGTGAAGGTAGCCAGCGTTACTAAGCCAGCTCCCAGAGCTGGTGATTAAGAATCTTTGAGAAATTTCTGAAAATATACCATAGAATGATCCAGTCTAAGCACGAGACAACTGGAATGAGTAGATATGCTCAGAAGCAAAGGTATATACACACATAGAGACACTAATGTATTCCTAGGGTGCTGAGAAATAAGGAGAATGTGCTTGCTGGTAAATTCCAGGAAAGTAATTTCTAGAGAAAGCCAAATAACGTTTCCATTGACTGAGGTTTATACATGTGAAATTCCCAGACATTATCAGTAGGACAGAACTCACAAGCCATATCTTTGCTAAGTGCACAGCTAGATCAGTGGCAACTTTATCTCAAAACTGAAGAGAATTCCCCAATAGAAAAGGTAAGTACACATCTAATATATCAGTGGCTTTTAAAGTCACATCTCACTTTTGCGTGTCACAGCACTCTTTAGGCAGTCAAGTGACAAACTAATTAACACTTCAGAGTCCACCAGGAACCACTAGAACAATAAAAATTGTGACTCAAGAGGACATGAATTTTATTTAACAGTGAGAGAAAATATAATAACTGAGAAAGCCTGCTATTTCAAAACGTCTGACATGAGTTATTGTTTTCATGACAGAAATCTTCAAGGTAACAGGAGAGAAATTGTACAGTAAGTAACTTTAAGAAAACATTCCTCTTAAAGGTAAAAAAAATTAGATTGGCATTTACACTTCCTAATGTTTATATTAGATCGGCTTCTTGATTAATCAACTTGTGTACTTGATATTCACAAAAAAATTTTTAATTATTCTGTTAAATCACTCATAGTTTTTAGATATTTCCACTGTTATATTGTCAAAAGTACATGCTTAATTTCTAGTGATTCTATAAAGGTTTCCATAATTTTACCTTCTCCTCTATTTTTGTGCATTAGTGAATTAAGTCAGTAGGTAAAAATGCTATTTTCATTAGGATTCAAGTACAATTTACAGTGGTATAAATAGAAAGGAAGAAACAACCATTTGTTATTGATATATTTTTTCATCTTTTCTGGGTCTAAAATATGACTGTACTAAAAAGAGCATCCTATTTTAAAAATCAAATCATTGTGATAATGGAATTTAAATTTGATAACTCAAAAATTATAACATGAAATAATGACTTACACTTGCCAATCTAGTCAGAGTGTGATAGGAACAATAAAGCAAAACAAAAACTATAAGGTTATCTAGACAGTGCTAACTAAAATCTATAACTTTAGTGATATTTGGAAGAACAGAGATTTCCTCTGTTCTACTTTAGAATATCAGTTTGCTGGAGTTACTAAAGATTCAGAATTAAGATCATTCTTATATTACATTTGCCCAGCTACTTGGGCAACAAAGGAAGGAGAATCATAACTTCAGCCCAGTTTGGGTACCTTAGCAATTTAGAGAGACCCTGTCTCAAAATAAAAGATAAACTGAGAATATAATTCAGTTGTAGAGATCTTGCCTAGCATGTGGGGGGCCATGAGTTCAATCCCTATCACAAACAAAATTGAAAACCTGAGTTATGGTAGCAAAAAGTTCTCAAATTTGTAATGCTAACATGTCAACAATTTTTAATAACTGGGGGAACAGAAGTATGAACAGTGCACATTCCTTATTAAATAATTTTAGTTAGCAATAAATGTTCATTGTGTAACATGCAAAAAGCAGAGGATACTTTTAAAAGACACTAATTCTTACACCCAAAGACAGCACAAAGTTTTAACAGTTCCATAGAAATACAGCCCTTTTGGAAGGAGCATAGGAGAACATTTGGTCCAGTTCTGCCTTGAATAGCTAAGGCACTGCTGACCCAGTGAGGTTAAGTACTTCTACCTAGCTACTAAGTAGAGAAGACAAGAACCAGCCTCCCGCTGGTAGCCTCTGCTGATGCCATCCTAATTTTTATATAGCAACAGGATCCCAGGCTGTAGGAGCAAATGCTCATGAAAAGCCACTGCTTACCAGTGAACTGAAGTAGACAGAGAAGTACCATGAAGAATGACTGCATCACACAGACCAGCCAAAAGTGACCAGCTTGCATTATGCGTGAAGATAAATTTGAAAATCAAGAATGATCCTTTGGAGGACAAGCTGCAACTTGGTCAAACCACCAGTCCATCAGAAGGCTGACTATTAGCATCGCTGCTGAACTTCCCGATTGTCACACCTCTGATATGATCTACTGTCACTTCCCAAAGTATATATTACGGTTAGAATTTATGAATGTTATTTTTGGAAGTGTAGGGAAGATTTTGAATTTTGAATCACCAATTCTAATGCAGAGAACTAGAAAATGGTTTTCAATCAAAAGTGCATAGAAAATTACTTGTAAAACAATTTTAAATGTACTTTAAATCCTAGAGTGGCTTCTTCCTCTGTTTCCTAAGCTCAGCACCTCTTCTAAGACTATACATACTTCTGCGAGGGATGCGACATGTGTGTATCTGGTACAGGTATGGTGATGCTAAATTGAGAATGTACACACAAGTGTATATGTGTAGTTGTGTGTCTTTTATATATTAAATAAGAGTCCTTAGGTGACCATTCCTTATGTCCTTTGCAGAGGTGGGTGAGGGGAGCTGATTTTTATATTTCTGGCTTCCTCCTTGTTTTGTTAATTCTTTCTGACAAATTCCCATGGTACTGTGCTAGTGGGTGTCTCTCTGGGCACACTCTCTCTCTCCCTGTCTGTCTGTCTGTCTGTCTGTCTGTCTAGCTCTCGCTTTCTCTCTCTCCCTCTCTCTCTCTGTCTCTCTCTCTCTCCCTCCCTCCTTCTCCCTGTCCGACTCTCTCTGTCTCTGTCTCTCTGTTTCTCTCTCTCTCTCCATTTTTCTAATCACTCTTACTATACAGTTTACCTGTAGAGGCAGGGGCTGCCCTCAGTAGGATTTATCACAAGATTTTTTTAAAGCCCATCTTTTTTCTGCCAATTACCCCCTGTTCCCCAGAATTTTAAGTTTGGATTTTTGACTGAATAGTTGTGATAGTGAATATTTACTTCTGATTTTTATTGTTTATTGGTGTAATATAAATATACATAATGATCACATTCATCACAGGGAACTTGTAACTGTACATGATACATCTAAGTTTCTTTTTGTCTCATTCCCCTACAGTTCCTTCAGATCCTCTTACTTCCCTTATTTAAAAAACTTTGTTTCCATTTTATATTTTTTCTTTTTCCTTCCTTCTTCCTCTCTGCTAGTTTCCCTTTGCTTTTTTATTTGTATTTCCTTCTGAAAAATATCTTCCTATTTCACAATACCTATTCTATGTTTTGATTGCTACTTACACTTACAGTTACTCATACCAGAGAGGCAATGCAATATTTATAATGTATGGCCAATTTACTTTACTTAGTAGTATGGTCTCCAAGCCCTTCCATTTACCTAGAAATGTCTCATGTTTATCCTTCTGTATGGCTCAGTAGTACTCCATTGTATGAAAAATCCTACATCTTTTTATCCATCCTTAAGATGATGAGCATTCAAGTTGTTTCCAAGACTTAGCTATTACAAGCTGTGTTGCTATAAACATGGGTGGGCATATATTGCTGTAGTATGATGTTTTTTAATTCTTCCAAGAAAAAACCCAAAAGGAGATGCCTAGTTTTGGGGTTTTTTTTTTGAGGAATCTCCACATTGATTTCCAGAGTGGGTGCACCAGTCTACACTTCCACCAACAGTGGAAAAGGGCTCCTTTTTCCCCCACAACTCCACCAGCATTGATTATTTGTTGATTTATTGATGATAGCCATTCTTTCTAGGGTGAGATGAAATCTTAAAGTTGTTTTAATTTGCATTTCATGAATGACCAGTGATTTTGACCATTTTTTCATATATTTATTTGCCATTTGTCATTTTTGGGATGGGTCTTTAAATTTGGGAGGTCTGATTTTTTTTCAGTTATGTGTTCTAGATAGTAGGCCTTTGTCTAAGGGAAAACTTACTAAGATTTTTTTCCCATTCTGTGTGTTATCTTTTCACTCTGTTGGTGATTTCTTTTGTTGTGCAAATTCTTTTTAATAGAATGAGATTCCAACCAAAAAACAAAACTACAGGCCAATCTCTCTAATGAACATAGACACAAAAATCCTCAATAAGATACTGGCAAACAGAATGCAGCAAATCAAGAAGATTAAATGCCATGATCAAGTAGAATTCATCCAAGGATGTAGGAACCTGCCAAATTGATACATGTCATACACTATATCAACAGAGTCAAAGACAAAAATCACATGATCATCTAAATAGACAAGAAAAAACATTTGGCACAACCATTCATGCTAAAAACCCTACAGAATATCAGAAGAGATGGTCTTTATTTCTATTTGACAAAAATCACCTATGACAAGCCAATACCCAACATCATATTAAATGGTCAATAATTGAAAGCTTTCACTCTAAAGTCAGGAACAAAACAATGTCTACCACTCCTATTTAGTATAGTTCTGGAAACATTGGCCAGAGCAACTATACAAGAAAAAAATAAAAGGAATAAGAAAAGGAAGAAATTAAATTATCATTATTCACAGATGACATGATACTCTACATAGAAGACCCCAAAACTCCACCAAAAGACTTCTAGATTTAATAACTGAATTCAGTAGTGTAGATGGATATAAAGTCAACACTCAAAAATCAGTAGCCTTCCTATACGCAAAAAACAAACTCACTGAGAGAGAAATTAGGGAACCAACAACTTTCACAATAGGCTCAAAAAAATGAAACACTTAGGAATCAATCTAACAAAAGAAGTGAAAGATCTATACATTGAAAATTATGACACTCCATAAAAGGAGATTGAAGGGAATGTCACAAAATGGAAAGAAATATCTTGCATATGAGTCGGAAGAACTAACATAGAGAAATTGGCCACATCCCCAAAATTGTTACATCAGTTTAATGAAATCCTAATCAAAATACCAATAGCATATCTCACAGAACTAGAGAAAACATTCCAAAAAATTCATTTGGAAGTAGAAGAATCTTGGTTCCAAAATTCATTTGGAACCTAAAACAGAAAAAACAATCGTAGGCAACAAAGCCAAGGCAGGAGGATCACAATCTCTGACTTAAGATTATACTACAAATCTACTTTGATAAAAACAGCATCGTACTGGGAAAAAAAAAACAGACCTTAGGATCAGTGGAACAGATAAGAAGATGTACCAAAAAATCCAAGCAAATGCAGCCATACAAGGGACCTAGTCACTTCACTGAAAGAAAGCCTCTTTAATAGATGGTGCTGGAGAAACTGACTTTCTACATGCCAAAGACTAAAAGTAGGACCATGTATCTCACCATGACCTAAACTAAAATTGAAATGGATCAAAGATCTAAACATTAAAACATAAATACTAAATCTTCTGGAAAAAAAGAATATAGAATTCTTGAATACATATTTGTAGGCAAAAACATCATGAACAAAACCCTGACAGTATGGGAAAACTGCAAACAATCAACAACTAGGATCTCATTTCATTAAAAAGCTTTTGCACAGTAAAAGAAATTATTAATAGAGTGAAAAGACAATCCATGAAGTGGGAATAGATTTTTGCCAGTTGTCTGTCAGATAAAGGACTAACACCTAGAGCTTATAAATAATTGAAAAAAATCATAGCCCCTGCAAATTTAAAGACCCAATCCAAAAATATGCATCTTAGATTAATACACACCTCTCAGAAAAATTACAGTGTATGAAAAAATGTTCAATACCACTGGTCATTCATGAAATACAATTAAAACAATGTTAAAATTCCATCTCACGCCAGAAAGAATGGCTATCATCAATACATCAATCAATAACAAATCGGTGGGAGTGTAGGCTGGTACAACCACTCTAGAAATCAGTGTAGAGATTCCTCAAAACTAGGGGTCCCATTTGACCTTGCTGTTCCCCTTCTGGGTATCTCCTAAGAAGAATTAAAGCATCACACCACAGTGATTTATGCACATCCATGTTTATATCAGCACAATGTGTAATAGTTAAATCTTGGAAACAATTCAAGTGCCCATCAACAGAAGAATGGAGGAAAAGATGTGGGGTCTTTTTATACACTGGAGTATTATTCAATCATAATTAAGGATAAACAGGTAAATAGGTAAATGAATGCACCTTAGGACCATACTCTTAAATCAAATAAGTAAGACACACATGGATAATTATTGCATTGTTTCTCTGGTGTGAGAAGCCAACAGCATAAATAAAGACCAAAGTATATAACAGGTATTGTGAAATGGGAAGAAATTGTTCAAAAGAAATGGAATCAAGAGAGAAGGCGGAGGGAAAGGAAGGAAGGGAAAATTTTAAAAAGATAAAATGGAAACAACGATTTGTAAAAAAGGAGAGTAAGAGGAGTTGAAAGGAGGGGAGAAGATTAGCAAAAAAAGGGGGGAATCAAGATGTATCGTATACAGTGTACAAATTCCCTATGATGAATATGATCATTATGTATATCTAAATTGTAGCAGTATACTTAATAAAAAAATGATCAATCTGGTTTCCAAATATTGGATAAGAGGATGGAAGGGGACCAGCAACAATAAATCTGATATTTACTTCCACTGCCATTGTTTGTGTTGCTTCCGGAGTTTTCAAAGGCCACGTGCTATGTTCTACTGTGGTACGTTTTCCTCTGCACAGACCATAAAGTTTCTTAAAAATCTCCTTTGATGGCACATCCTGACAGGTTCTTAGTCCCCAGCTCTTTGGTTTCCATTCATTTGCTCAGCCTTTCAGTTCTAAGTACACTCAGGCTAACAGAGGAGGAGAGATTTCCAGCCTTATCCAGAAGTTGCCTGGGGACAGCAAGCCAGGTCCTATGTTGATGTACAGCTATGAGTCAACACCCCCTTTCTAGTGGGAGCTCTACCTTAGACATCCTTGATGGCTTTATAAATCAACCATACATCAGACAGTCCCATCTCAATCTTGAAAGGGCATTTAATATACTGACTTTCATAACTGAAACAATAAGAATTGCTCATACTTCAGAATCTATACTAAACTTCTTGCTTACTTAATTCTCATAGGAACCCAGGGCGGTAAACCTTAATTTGTGTCATGTCTTTCTGATGAAGAAACAGGGACACAGAGGGGTAAGGTAGCACAGGTGAGCCGGAGATCTGAACCTAGGAAGTCTGGCTCCAGAGCCTAGATTCTTCACCACAGCTGCCTTACACTCTAAGACAAATGACTCAAGTTTCTGTTCCCTCCCAGTGTCTGGAATCCGGTATAAGACTGTGCTTTTCTTTCCACCACCTCTAGCTCAATAGCTAGAAGATTATACAGCAGGGCCTGCCAACAAGAAAAGGTATTGAATGAGTCATTGCACACTGGGGTCAGGCACCAATACACCCAAGTTAGCTTTCCAAAGATAAGGAGTAATAACCACCTTCAAAGGTGATCATTGGTCTCCAGCTCAAAAGGAAGTGTCCAAAAACTTTTACAGCAAAGTTTCTTCACATGGCATTCATAAAATTTTCTGGAGAAAGAAGCTGCATGCTTATTTTTACTGTCTAACCAAAATTTAGTATTTTCTTTAGCCACTAATATTGATGGCAAACTGTAATAGCATTAACAATACCTGTGACCTTGTAACCAATGTAAATCACATCTATTTGCAAACCACAACAGTTTGCAGACCTCTCCAGATTCCTTACACTATGTGCTACTTTGAAATTCCATTACTTATTCAGACTTAGTGCTAAATTTCATTATATTAAGATGTCAATAAAGAAATTTTTGCTAAGTCAGAAACATTTTTAAAATAGCTTTTAGTGGTATTTCAGTAATTTTTGGTGTCTTCTGTAATTCTGTGTACTTTAATGCATTTTAAAACACTATTCTGAGAAGAGATTTATAGTCACAGAAAGTTCAGATGCCTATTGCTAGCAAATCTATTTGTCTTCTCTTCTCCCTTTCAATCTCCGGCACCCCTCAAGTACTGTTCTCACCTGTTCAGCACAGCAGTTCCTATCTTCAGTCTGTAAGGTCCATGCTAGATCTTCCCAGAGGGCCCAGAAAGAGCAGAAGAAATCTGAGTTTTCCTCTCAAAGGTCCAGAACCTAGCTGTGAAATCAAGCCAAAACACCTCTCTGTATGAGAGATGGGAGGAATTAAACAGGCCAGGCAACAAGCTGTCCATTTCTTCCTTTCTTCCTTCTTTCCTTCCTTCCTTCCTACCTTCTTTCTTTCCTTTCTTCCTTCCCTCCATTCCTTCCTCTCTTCTCCTTTCTTTTCTCCTTTTATAAGTATCAACCAACTGCCTCTTGCAAACCTCCCCTTTTAGTCATCACATAAATTTCAACCCATAAATCTCTTTCATATCTAAACTCATCCTGGGATCTCCATTTCTGAGATCTCTACTGACCCAACCATTTTGTGTCCTGTTGCTTTTGGACTGATGTTCAGAGTACAATCATTGTTAGTGGGAATATCCAGTACTTCCTATAATTAGAAATATCATACCTCTTGGTTGGCCCAAAACATTACTAGTTTGTATTTGTTGTCAAGCAAAATCATAAATAGTTCCCAGCACACTTGAAGTCACCCATGTTCTACGACCATATATAAATTACATAGTTACCCCAGCTGTAACCAATTCTCAATAATTCAACTAATACTCATAAAATGTTCCCCCAATTGTATTTTGTGAAGCACAACTCTTAGAAATGCTCTAGGAAAAATGGCCCACTGGATGAATAAATGTGGGTAATAGTCTTGTGAAGTCACAATTCATACGAGTCTGTTAAAATCTTTACAGGGTCTTTCAGGAGAAAGCCTATTCTAACTTTATCAGTTAGTGTTTCCCAAGCTTATTTGATCATAAAACATGTTTTGCTTTGAATTCGTAATACTATTGAGTGGATCACTGACAAGATCAAATTTTCCCTACTGGCAGCAACCTTCCAAACAGCTCAAGTGTGGAGAGGTTCGGAAGTTCAAGTTCAGCAGCTTGTGCACTGAAAGGTGCTGGCCTAGTTCAGGAAACAACTGGGCCCTAATATGTTCCAGCTGCGGGTTCACCTCTGAGTGCAATTCACATTAGCAACTGTGATCCACAAAGCCATTTTGGCCCTGGGTTAAGCGAAGTCATTTGGATCTAAATGTTCCTTTTAATGGCTTCTGATTTTACTCATAAAATTTTTCAATCATAAAAAATTCTCATTTTTAGTACCAAATTGGGAATTTCGTCAGCAAATCATTTGATCTACAGTCACTAAGGTGATTTTAGAGCCTCTTCCATCTGGCCAATTTTCCTGCTCCCAGCCCTGTCAGGACCACACCATCCACTGTTCTGTAATTTAGGATGCTGGAGTCAGCTGCTTCCATATTTAGTGCACGTTGAGACCATGCAATCTGTTGGTTTTCCCTCTTATATTATATATATGCATATCTGTTCTTTTCCTACTAGGTGTAGGTTTTTAAAGGGTGAACATGATACTACAAGACATATACATACTCCTTATGTGTTATAGCTTGAATGAATACGCGTCTACCCACCCACCCGGTACATGTGTTGGAAACTGAACCTTACGGTCATGTATTAAGAGGTGATGCTCATGAGGAGGAGATTAGGTCACTTCCTCTTGGAAAGTGGTCCAGTCTTCCTGGCAAATGGGATTAATGCCCTTATAAAGGCGGCTTCAGAGAGATCCCCAGCCCTCCCATCTCCCCCTCCATGTGAGAACACAGCCTTCACTTCCTTTGTCCTGGTGTCCCTTCCACCATCTGAGAATACCTTTGTTCTCTCTAGAAGATGTAACGACAAGGCACTATCTAGTGTCCTCTTGTCAGTAAATTTGCTGGCACCTTGAAAATAGGCTTCCTGTCCTCTAGAACCATGAGAAATAAATTTCTACTATTTATAAATTACTGAATATATGCTATTTTAGTGTAGTATCAAGAAAGGACTAAGGCAAGATAGTTTTGGCAAAATATTTTGAGCCTAATGTTTTGTTAAAGGAAAGGAAGAGACCAAAGGAATGAAGAAAAGAGAGAAAAAGGAAGAGAAAGAGAAAGAAAGAGAAAAAAGAAAAAAAGTGAAAGATTTCACCAGCACAATTAAATACTAGAAGATGGCCCCTGATTATACTAAAAAGACTAACTTACCATTTGTCAAAATAATTCTTATGTTTCATACTATAATGGAAATACACTTTCAGATGTATATCAGGCAAAGATCCCATGAAACAGAAAAATGAGTAAAGTATAAGTATCTACTGTGTTTCCATTAAAGAAATCCTGCATCAATTCATTTCTGCTTTATGATATCTTTTGCATTCTCTCAAAATACTGAACTAGAAATTAATTATGAATTAGACTGGAGACTATATTGAGTACTTTTGATTTGTAGGAAGAAGCAAGTGTCTAATTTTTAAATTCTGAGATAAGGAGGATATAGTTCTGTTGTGCTATATAAATACCAAGATCTTCATTTAAAAAATACAATATTAAATTGCTTGATTTGAAGAAAACACAATAGTTCACTATGTTACTATTATTGTTTTAATTCTAAGTACTAATTATTCACTGGAGTAAAACAAATACCACTTATGCTAAATAGCAAACCATTAAAATGCAAATTTAAAAAAACAGAATACTAGAGTTCTAGTATTTCCAATTATTTGCCTTCAGAAATTGTGGAAATTGTTTAAGATATACAATAATTCTTCATACATTTCTAATTAGACTGAATGGGAAGCGCCCTAAAAAGCTATTGATGATAGAGTTACGTGAAATCAACTATGCAATTTTTTTCAAGAAAACAGAAAGCAAGAAATTTTACCACTGATTTAAAATGATATCTGTCTAACAACTTCAGATATAGATTTCTGAACTTCCTTCAAAACATGCTGTGCAACAATAGAAAAAAAAATTTATGTGATCCCAATAATCTAGTACTAGAAATCATTTCAGCTTAATGTAAGTAAGCCCATTGGAATTGCAAACTAATGGCACCTAACCAACTGGATAAAATAAGGAGAGACTCCTTCCTTCCCTAGGGTCATCTCCTAGGCCTCATTCACAAGGCCTGAACCATGTAGACAGGAGGGCCACTGCTGCTGTTCTGCCTGAGTTTAATGTAGTTTTTCCTCACTTTCCTTGTACTGGTTCCTCTGGTATGGATGGTACCCCTCTTCCAAAGTCCATTTGGAACTGCAAGCACCATAAAGTCAAATGTGCAGAAAAGCAGGTGGAGGGCTGAAATTGGTGTTTTTCCATCTAGAAAATTAGTTGGCCCAGATTCAGACCCTCACAAAGAGTCTGTGAGTGGGAGCCCAGACCACACTCCTTGCTTCACACCTGCTCCTTGATACTGCTCTCCCCAGCTGTATCCTGCTGACTTCCTGAATTCAGAAAAACTTGGAAACATCTCCTTGAAGTTGGTTCCTCTTCCATTGTGCCCTCTGTCAACAAAAGATCATTTGCCCAATTACTTGTCCTACACATGCACAAGATTTACGATTCCTCCTCCTCCTCCACACCCAAATCTGTCCATTCTGCCTCAGTGTGTTTATGGAGGGTGTCACTGCTCCCACCAGCTTACAGCTGTCACTCTCCTTGCCTTTCGGTAATAAAAGTATAATAATCAACTGTTATTGCCAATTTGCCTGTACCCAGAGAATTGCGTAAACACTTGTCTGGGTGTGTTTGACCAATCCAGTGTTTTCTGGATGACATTAACATTTAAATTGGTAGACTGAGTAAAGCAAATTGCCTTCCTTAGTGCAGTGGGTCTCAAGCCATTAGTTGATGGCCTCAGTAGAACAGAAAGTCTGCCCCTCTGCGTAAGAGAAAATGCCTACCTCCATGCCTCAGCTAGGACATTGGTCTTTTGTGTTGGAACTTGAAATTTATATAATGAGCTCTCATGCTTATTAGGCCTTCAGATTCAGACTGGAGCTTATACTAAAAACTTTCCTGGGTGTCCAGCTTGTTGAGAGTAGATTTTGAAATTTGTTAGCCTCCATAATCACATGAGCCAATTCCTTTAATAAACATGTCCCAAGGAGAAGAGAGGGTGCACATCCCATCAGTTCTGCTTCTCTGGACCATTCTGACTAGTACAAACCACCTCCTCATCATCTCAGGGCCACTGCCATCCCTTCCTGTTCCATTTTCTACAGAGCGACCAGCATGATCTCAGACTACACATCTGATCACAGCACCACCCTGCCTCACATCCTTTGTAAGATTCCCATTCATTTCTAGAACACTTCCCAAATTTTCTACAAAGGCTGCATTGTCTACACAGTTGGAATCCTGTGCTTGGCTTAAGTTACTTGAAACTTCTTTTGTCCAAATTCTCTAAGCTCTTTCCTACCTTGGAAGTCTTGCATATTCTGGTTCCTATGCCTGAAATAGTTTTTCCTCTGTCTGGTGTGATATTAACTCAAATTCATCCTTTATTGCTTTAGTTTGGGGAAATTTCCACAGGGTACCAAATCTACAATTTCAGGACAAAGGTTCTGTTGTACATCACATCCTGCATTTTCCTCGGGCTACGTGTTACTAAGGGTCACTTATGTAATGATTTCCCATTTCCAAGTCTAGTCTGCCCTCCTGTTCCTATTGTGAAGGATCTCTACTGCTTAGAAGGACTGCACAAAGGAAACCTCCCAATGAAAACTCTTTAACAAAAATCCATCCTATTTTCAACACAGACCAACACAGGTAAATATAAAAGAATAGACAAACGCAGTGGTTTTTATTTTAAAAAAGGAAATAATTTAAGTACCAGAATATACTCCCAACTGCTTGCCTCTCTCTTAATATTATATTTAATTACTATATTTAAATTTAGTTTTTGGAAGTGTAATGTTTTACTTTAATAACCTGAATTAGCATTTAATACATAAAATGTGTGCTCTTTAATAATTAGACTGCAATATAAGAACTATTTAACTTCTTCCTGTGATGCCCAGGGTTCCAGTGGGATCAACTAAGAGAGGTTCATGTACCAGTGGAACTTGAAAGGGAAGAGAGATGGTAAGTGTCTTAGTTATTTTTCTCACTGCGAAAACAAAATACCCAGCACCGAAAGTTAAAGGAGAAAAGGTGTATTATGGATCACAGTTTGTGGAGGTTTCTGTTCCTAATTGAGTGGCTTCAGGCAGGGCAATTTGGAAGAGGGCATCACAGAGGAGAAACAGTCTATGGCAAAGCAGGCAGGACGCAACAAGCCTGCCTTTCCCTTTCATCCCATGCAGGCTATGAGCCTCTCAGGTGGTGCCACTTACACCCAAGGGTGGGCTTCTGTCTTCAGTAAATCTATTCAGCCTGTCCCGGAACTATGATCATTCCAGTCAGTTGACTAATTTAGTAACATACACCCTTAAACACAGGATCACCTAGTCCAGCAGGCTCTGGAAGTCCTGCCTATGAGCACATGACACTTTGAGCGTACACCTAGATACAAGCCAGAAAAGTGAGAGGAACTTTAGTAAAACCAGTCAAGTAACATCCAAGGACCACAGAGGAAAGCTCCAAGAGCTGACTGGGAAGATTTGGAGAAGGTTGGACAGTGTTATGTAGCTTAGAGGCACAAATTAGTGAAATAAGGTTTTTAGTGTCACTACAGTTATGCTCAGAGTCCTGGGAAATTTCTCTATGTAAGATAACTAGAGCATCACAGTGAAATACATTCCAGCTTTTTCACTTGACAATGACCTCAATGATTCCATTATTGTCCTTGTAAAATGCTAATATACTAGATTTGTGTCTGCATCTAGGTTCTTTTTAATATTATCTTTCCCCAACATCATATTTTCAAGCTTTTCTAAGAAACAGCTGAGAAGATTGCAAAAAAAATAGTAGGCCTTTGAGCATTCCCTGGAGACTTTGATTCAATGAGCCTGAGGTGGAACCCAAGAATCAGCATTTCAGCTGGCTCACAGTGCTTCTGACGCAGCTGTCCTCTGGACCACAGTCTGAGAAATTCTACAATAGAACTTCCAAGTAAGATTGTGATAACTTCTTTAAAACTTAACACAATGAGCTATTTTAGTATCCAACTATAAATTCCACCTCATGAAAACACAAACAACTCTGAGCAATTGTCTTAGGCAGCTTTCTCATCATGGGGACAAAATACCTGCTATTTATAATTTAAATGACGAGAAGTTTATATTGGCTCCCAGTTTCAGTCCATGATTGGCTGGCTCTGTGGCAGAACCAACACGGCGGAAAGAGCTGTTCAACCCAGAGCAGAATGCTTCTCTGTATTTCTTGAGTTCCTATGTTGAGATGCACATTTTTAAAACTAGAAAACAATGTGTTAAAAAATAATTAGGATATGCTTCCTTGCTTTTAGTATGTGATCTGCTCACACTGAAAAATAAAACATAGAAGATATTCACAGAAAATACACTAAAATGTTAGAGGTATTGGTGACAGCCTGTGGCAGAGAAAGTTTTTATCTTCCTTTTTTTTTAGCCCTTACTTTTTTTTAATGGAAGAATATTAACTTTGTTTTTAAGATAAAGTAAGGGTATTTTCTATCCAAAGAGTTATCCTCCTCTAAAATTGTTTCTAAAGTGCTTGACAGTTTCGACAGAAGTCCCCACTGCAAATCTTGTTCAGGCACTGAAAATAAGCCAAGGCAAAGCTGCTAAGGCTGTGAGATTGTTTTCATTTTCATGCACTTCCCACCCTCTCCTTTGCTGCCTTTGCCTTCCTGGGCTGGCGCATATTCCTCCACCTCAGTCCTCTCCCTCTTTTCAGGCGTATTGTGTTCTTAGTTTCAAAGCCTTTGTTCCCTTCAAGCAGACACTAAATATTATCATTTTTATCTTGAAATGATTCACATTCAAGTGTTAACTCTCAAAAAATACCTCATGCCCAGAGAGAGCTCAGTGCCCTGACCCCCTCACCTGTAATCTTTTCCTTGCTTCCTAAAAATAATGAACCCAGAACGTTAACGCTCTCAACCCCAGTACTCCTCTCCTGGTTACCACTGTAGGCCTTGATGCCCAGGGTCTAATACCATTTCATCCTTTGCCTCTTGTTCAAACCACAAGCAGACCACTCCCAGCTCACACCTTGCATCCTGAATTCTAATAATCCTAAAGTCCTCCTTAAGCATTTTCTCTATTTCTGCCACCTCTCTCTTTCCTAAAACCCTTTCTATTCCGCTCCCTGGAATTTATGATCCATTCATTAGCACAATCCATTAAATCTCAACCTCTCTCTAAACATGACATAGCTATTACTAAAAGTCTCCATCCCATTCAAAATCAGTCTAGTCGGACATGATGGCACATGCCTATAATTCTAGCACGTGGGAGGCTGAGGCAGGAGGACTGTAGCAATTTGTGGTCAGCCTGAGCTACATAGTAAGTTAAAGAGCAGTCTGAACTATGCAGTGAGACTCTGTCTTAGAAAACAAAAAACAAACAAAAAATCAACCTATAAAAACCATAAATTTTATCAGAAAAAGACCATCAAGTCATAATCTCAAAAACTTTGTTAGTGACACTTTTTAAAAAAGATCTAACCAGGGGCTGGGGATTTAGCTCAGCGACATAAGCGCCTGCCTTGCAAGCAGCAGTCGTGAGTTTGATCCCTGGTACTGATAAAAAGGAAAAAAAGACAAAAAAAAAATCTAACCTGAAGAAAGAGAGAAGTACAATTTTACACGTTAAACTGTTAAGAAACATATTACAAAAAATATAGCACTTTATCTTGAAAAAGACCTGAGCTGTATCTGTGCAGTAGAACCCAAGAAAATTCAACCAGAACTCAGTAATAATAAAATAACTAAAAAATCTACCAAATGACTGAAAATCATGGAGTTTTTTGGTTTCGTTTGTTTGGTTGGTTTTTTGAGACAAGATCTCACTGTACAACTCAATTAGCCTTGCACTTAGTATGTATCCCAGGCTGACCTTGAACTCATGATGATTCTCCCGAGTACAAGGATGACAGGCATGTGGCACATATCTGGCCAGTAGTACATTGTTTAGTAAGCCATCGATCAAAATTGAAGTAACAATGGAAATTAGAAAATATTTTGAATAAAATGATCACTGAAAATATGATGTATCAAAATTTTTGAAATGTCAGTAAAGCTATAAATTGAATGCACACACAGTCATATAACTCCTAATAAAATGGTGATCAACAATGGACCACATAGATAATGCGGTCCCATAAGACATTGCAGCTGCCCTAGTGAAAGTACACTCTGAAATGTTCCTACAAAGACAAAATCACCTCATGATGCTTTTTCCAGAAGTTTTCCTAACTTTAAGCAACATAGAACTGTATCAGAAATGAAATAATCAGTCTACAAAGTAGGCTTTTTCTTCAAGAAAGTAGAGTCATAATTGAAAAATAAACCCTCAGAAATTAAGAGAAAAATAACAATGAAAAAAATCATGAAATAGGAAAATGACAAAGCAAAATCAATCAAGCCAAAGTTCTTCTAAAGATTATTAAAACCAACAAATCTTGGAAATACAACAAAGAGAAAAAAACAATTATAACCAATATCAGGAATGAATTGGATCATGTGATATTTAAAAACCAAAGGAACAATATGAAGAACATTTTATTAATATATTTAAGAAGCTCCTTAGAAATGGGAAAATTTCTTTTAAAACACAACTTTGTCAAAGTAGCACAAAAATAAATAAAAATTCTTAAGAATAAAATGCTGAACAACAACAACAAAGAATAAAATGCTGTTAAAGAACCTGAATATTTAATTTAAAGAAAATTCCAGGCCTGAAGTCACAGTGAAGAAGAGACTGCAATAAAATATAAACTCTTTCACGTTATAAAGAAGAGAGGACATTTTCTAACTCAGTTTATGCACCTGAGAAGAGGTGCATAATTTTCCTCATAAACACAAACACAAGCATTCTTAATAAAATATAAGAAAAACTACTGACAAATTACTTTTCTCAAGTTGACAGTTTAGATTAACTGATGCTGCTAGGGAGCAAAAAAGAATAAAAAGGACACCAATCTCCCAAAATCTCCTGAAAGGGCAAACCTCTCAGTGGTCTGAATAAAGAGCTCCCATGAGGCCTTCCTCTTAAAAATTCCTCCACCTTCCAACAGGCCATTCGAAGGGTCAAGCCCTTAGCACGTGGCCTGGGGAACATTTAAGATGCAATTTGTGACAAGCAGAGTGGAATTATATGGCTTATGGGAAACTGAAAAGGTATAGACTCTTTGAAACATCTACTTGGCTATTTCTGATAAAATTAAATGCAGAGTTACACTGTGATCCAGGAAGTTTTTCTTCTACCCAATAGTAGCAAGGAAATATGTCTACTAAAAGATTCTTCCAAAAATACTCCTATATACTTCTTTCATCATAGATCAAAACTTGAAACAACCAAATTGTTCATTAACAAAAGAATTCTTAATCCAGTCATGGCATATTCATGCATAGAAACACTGCTCAGAAATTTTTTAAAAAATGTTAACTGATTGTATTTTCCCCCATAACCGAGATAAAAATACCTGATACTCAAACTTTACGGGGAAGAGGTTTGTTTAGCTTACAGTTTGTAGAGGTTTCAGCCTAGAATTGACTGACTCCAACACAAGGTAACTTGGCAGAGGTACACTCCAGAGGAAAAATAGTTCATGACAGCAGAAAACAGCAAAAACAGACCAATGACGGGAGAGAGAAGTCTCTTTCTGTCCCTTTTAACTTATTCAGACTTCTGGGGTCAGGGCAGTGCCGATTCAACCAGAATGATTCCCAGAAATTGCTCACCCTTAATCCAGTACCCTTACTTCTAGCATGAACCATGAACCAATCACAAACTTTATATTCAGCCACCTCCCAAAGTACATAGGGCTTTGGAGGGACTCATTGGGCACAAACCATAACACTGATACTTGAGAATATGAATGAATCTCAGAAACATTATGTATGGTGATTAGAAAGACACTAGACCTAAAAAATGTACTGAAAAACTTCTTTTATATGAAGTTCAAAAGTTAGTAATACCATTGAGTCTAGATAACAGGTACCAAAACATAAAGGAATTAGTTCTAGTGTTCAAAGAACCATAGGGCAACTACAGTTTACAATTGATTATATATTATAAAATGCTAAAAGAGCCTGAAATTTTCTAACACATAAAAATGATAAATGTCTGAGGACAAGCAAATGCTAGTTACACTGATTTGATCATGATCCATTGTATAAACTATCAAATTATCATAAGGTGCCTCATAAATATGTACAAATATTATGTATCAACCTAGAATTTGTGTAAAGCATAAGTAATACAAATCAGTGCTATTAGAAATCAGAGTAATAGATCTGGAGGGTAAGTACTGATTAAGTATAGGAATGAGAGAATGTTCTAAAATATTGGCAACTCTTTCTATGTTGACCCAAATGACAGTCACATGTATTCTATAAGGACATGGATTTGTTTGCTTCATTGCTAAATCCCACTGCTGAGATCATTAGTCTACAATAAAGAGCCAAAAGCATTTACTGAAGGAACAAAATGTATTCTTTGTTTCTTTGCCTTCTCAATCACTCTATCATTATTTTAATCCACTGTTTAAACAAATGAGTGCGTAGTATTATTTGCAGATCTAAAATGTTCCTAAAGTGAGCGCCACCAGGTCTAAACCACAATGAACTTCACTCTCAAAATAAACATATGGGAGCTGAGAATGTAGCTCAGTCGTGAAGGGTTTGCTAACATGTATTGGGTCCTGAGTTCAGCCAAGCACTGAAAACAAATCTGAACCCATTTGTGTTTTACAAAACCAAAGTTCTCCTATTCGAAGCATACATCTGTTGCCTTAAAACTCAATAACAAATCATACTAATTAGTTAGACCCTAAACTAGTAGAAGAGTCTTTTAGAGGAAAGGAATACTTTATGATTGACTTTGTTTCCCACAGCTGCCCCATGGTAATAACAAGAAGCCAAACCCCTCTGAAGGAATTTGCCTCTTGTTTAACACTTCTCTATAGACAAGGCAGAGCTGGTCATTCCATTGTCCTGCCCCTATAACAAGCTACTACATGTCAGGGAAAATTTCCACTGTGCCTCTTCTGTCCTACGATACCTTGCACATCCACCTTGGCCTGTAAAGAAAAAAAATCTAAGCCTCTTGGTGCAATGTTTCAGTGCCTATAACACTCAGTGCAGTGAATCAACAGCATCCTGGGAAGAAGATAGGTTCACAAACATGAACAGGAAAGAACTTCGGTTGTGGGTTAAGACACCAGGGGATTGTTGGAGGAACTCTGAACCATTGCCTTACACAGGGTATCTCCCTTTTTAGGTAGGAAAGGGAGAGGAAATAGTGATTTTGATGCTGATTAAAAACACAGATCTCAGAAAATGAAAAGAGGAAAACTAGTGTTTTCAAGTGGCGTATTGTGCAAATAATACCAAAAACAGTCATTCAAGTGAACTATTAGCCATTTTCCCTAATCACAGTGTAGCCTATTAACAATAATCTGCACCATCATGTATGTGTCAGATTTAACTCAATTTAATTGAACCATGTGCACTCAGTCACCATACTTTACAGCCTGTGTAGCACAACCCGGCCTGTCTGCCCATAGGCTAGAGAATTTCAGTGACCACTAGTTCCATGAGTCACCACCACCACCAGTAAAATCTGAATGCTTCACAGCTTTGGGCTTTCCACAGTCAGGAAGTTAATCAATGTTTGCTTTTGTCTGTGAGGCTCTCTCTAGGCCATCCATCTACTGAGACTGCTGCTGGGCTGCCATCTGCTGGGACGCAGGCTAACTTCAAGAGACAAAATGGGAACTTCCAGTGTTCCAGCAAGAAACTGTTAGGCATGATAATCAATCAAGAAGGCAAACGCAAAGCACTCTGCCCTCTGCAGTGCTTACAAAATTATCTTCTAACCAAGATGATCATAAACCATCCCTTGCTCAGCCATATGTATCACTACAGAATTCAAATTTCCCTAAAGGCCAAATTTCAAGTATTCCATCTTTCAACTTTTGGCTCAGATCATATGGCTTCTATACTCATGGTGGTGGCTGCACCACCTAAGCAATAGTACCTAAGAAAAGAAAGAATTGTTTCCACACGGTAGCAGTTGAAAGTGCTCTGAACCACCATTCATGTCAATTCCTTTGGAGAGGAGGGGATGGTAGTGTCAATGGACACAGCCCAGGGCCACCATGAAGGCCAACTTTGTGGAAACTGGTCACACTCTGTAATCATAACCTCCACTTATGCAAGCCTGGATGCCTTGACTCAACTGCTGTTTCAGAATGTTTGTCCTGTGAAATAAACAAATGAAAATTATGGTCCATTGTGACAATAATCACACTTTTTAAATGACAGTTATATTTGTTTCCCTTTACTACTATTGCAAATTAATATAAATATATGACTTAAAAGGTACAAATTTATTATCTTCAATTCTGGTGGTCAAAGGTCCAAAATTCGTCAGTAGGGCTTGCTTCTCATTGAATTTCTAAGACATTAGTTACTTCCTTGCTTTTTCAGTTTCCAGATGCTGCCTCCAATTCTCAGCCTCACTCTGACCTCTGCTTCCATTGTTACGTATCCTCAGATTCTTCTGCTTCCTGTTTCCTTTCATAAGGACCTTATGATTGCATCAAACCTACCCAGACTATCCAAGGTAATCTCCCGCATCTCATGATGCTGCTATAGTTTGGCTCATTCAGATTCTTCAAAGGCCCATGTGTTCAAGCCTGGTCCCCAGTGAAGCCCGATTACAATCCCAGGTTCTAAAATATGCAACAAAACCACACTATAAAAACAACATGCTATTAGCACAAAACAAACTGACCAGTCAAACCGTAGAAGGAATGCAGAGATAACCCCAAGCACATTCAGCCAGCTAATTTTTTACTAAGGGGCCAATAATATACACTGGAAGAAAGATACAGTGCTGGGAAAACTGGCTGTCCACATGCAGAAGATAGAATCTAGACTTACATCTTTCACTTATATTAAAATCAAATAAAAATGGATCAAAGACCTAGATATTAAAATGGTAGCATGAATCAACTGGAAGAAAAAATTGATAAAACCCTTAAAGACACAGGCATAGGCAAGGCCTTCTTGAAAAAACTTGTATAGACACTTCTCAGAAGAAGTATAAATATCAAAGAAATGTATTTAAACATGTTCATCACTGATCATTTGAGAGATGCAAATTAAAACAATGGCGAGATTCTATTTCACTCCAGAAAGAATGATTGTCATCAATAAATCAACCAATAGCAAAGGCCGTTGGGGCTGTGGAGAAAAAAGAACAATCCTCCATTGTTGGTAGGAGTTCACACTGGTGCAACCACTGTAGAAATCAGTCAGTGTGGAGATTCCCCAAAAGCTAGGACTAGTGGCTTTACATGACTTAGATATTCCTCTTCTAGGTACATTTCTAAAAGAATTTAGAGCATCATACTACAGTGACATATACACATACATGTTTATAGGGCACAGTTTGTAATGAGTAAATCTTGAAAATAGCCCAAATGCCCATCAACTGATGAATGGATAAAAAAGATGTGTTTTTTAATAGCAGGGAACACTACTCTTCCATTAAGAAGGATAAAGTTAAGACATTTTTAGGTAAATAGATGCTCTATGAGATCATACTCCTAAGTGAAATAAATCAGTTACTTGTGTTAGTATTGCATTGTTTCTCTGACATGAGAAACTGAAAGTGTAAATAAAACTTAAAATATATAATAGATATTGTGAAATAAGAAGAAATGGAATAAGCAATAAGAACAATGAAAAGGTGGGAGAAAAAGGATAAAATAGAAAGAAAGCTTTGTAAATAATGGGAGGAAGAAGAGCTGGTAAGAGGGGACGGGAATGGGAGACAAAAAGGAGGAACAGAGACATACCATGAACAGGACAATATCACACTCATCACAGGGAATTTTTACGTGTTCATGGTACGTCTTAGTTTATTGAATTTACTAATAACATATATATATAACTATAATATATGTATATATACATATATATTAGTAGTAGCAATATATATACATATATTAGTAAAAATATATTACTAATAATATGTATTACTAATTTTATAATTAGTATTATATTATTTGTAATTGTATATAATATATACTAATAAGTATTTTAGTAATATATATTACTAATAAATTTAATTTAAAAACTCTGAGATTCTATCTCACTTCAGAATAAATGGTTATCAGCAAAAAATTAAATAAAAAGTGCTAATAAGGTGTAGGGAAAAAGGAATCTTTCCACATTGTTGGTGGGGATATAAACTAGTAAAACCATTATGAAAATCAGTATGAGATTTCTCATAAAATTAAAAACATCCCACTAACATATTCCACTTCTAGATATATTTTCAAAAGAGTTAAAGACATCATATTACCAAGATCCACAGTTACTCATGTTTATAGCAGCAACTCATAACAGCTAAATCTTATAAGTGGCCGGTATGTCCATAACCAGGTAAATGGGTTAAGAAAATATGATATTTATACACAATGAACTACTCAACCAAGAAGAAGTATAAACTTGAGTAATTCACTGGAAAATGGATGGATTCTGAGAATGTAATGCTAAGTGAAATAAATTTGTCACAGAAGGTTAAATATTGCACGGCTGGACATGGTGACACATGGCAGTAGACCCAGCATTCAGGAGGTTGAACAGGAGGGTCACAGAGAGTTTGAGGCCAGAATGGGCTACATAATGAGTTCAATGCCAGCCTGAACTAAATACTGATACCCTGCCTCAAAAATTAAAAAGTAAATAAACACATTAATGTTGGACGGTCTCTCTAATTATGAGAGACCAAAAACGTAAATAATCTTTTTTTTTTTGTACTGGGAATTGAACTCACGACCTTGTGCTTTGCGAGACAGATACTGTGTTGCTGAGCAATATCCGCAGCAAAATATAAATAATTTAACCAGCAAAATAAGGAGTATGCTAAGAAACAAGGAAGTAGAGTCTGTGGAGAAGGGAAAAGAGTTGGGGGAAGGAGACAAAGGGTTAGGTAGGGAAGGGGGAGCGGGCGTAAAACTATAAGATGTGATATGTGTATGTGTCTGTCTTCCAGGCTGAATGTTTACAAAGCAATGCATTGTAAACGTGTACAAAGAGAAGAGGAGGAGGAGCCTAGCAGGAGGTCTTCTGATCATTGCGGGTGTGCCCTCCACAGGAACAGTGGGGTCCTGGCCACCAGATGAGCAGTCCTGCTCTGCCGTGATGCTCCGCTCCCCACAGGTTCAAAACGAACAGTCAATCAAGCATGGCCAAATTCTTCAGAACCGTGAGCCACAGTAAAGCTTTTCTCTTTATAAGTTGATTATCTGAGATATTTGTTACAGTAATAGAAATCTGGCTAACATAATGCCTGACCTAACCACACTCATGAAGTCTTTAGTAAGGTGAAGTAATATATTTACAGGTCCCAGAATTGGGAGGTGACCATCTTACGGGGGAAGAGGATGATTATTTTGCTTGCCATCTTGATCTTAAAACATACAACGCAAGGAAGAGTGTCGCTGATACACTGTTCACTGAAGTACACAATTGAAATGATGACTTGTGAAAATGTGCACATGAATGACCAATTAGGGTAAAGTGTGGGAAAGATTCTGTAAAAGTAGCAGCTTTTTTCTGCTCTCTTTCTTCTGCAGAATATTTTTTTAAATTTTTATTTAAAGAGAAAAAAAGCAAAACAGAAAAAGAGTAGTATAATACAGAATTTCAAAAAATTAAACAGTAGGAAATCTCTAGTTGAAAAATTATGTACTGTCATCTTAGAAATAGTTGTTCAAATTACAAAATTAAAGCATACAAAGTGGACATTCAAACAGTGAGACTGCAAACAGTTTTGCTCAGCAATCCAACAAAAAACTCATAATATGGCCATCTATCTTACACACTTAAACATACATTCAGTTATATCCTTCAGAGCACTTTCTTTTCCTCTCTTTTTTATAACAGCAATTACACATTATGGGTTTTATTACTCCTACAGTTCTTATTATTTTTTACACTAGAGATACAATGTGATACTTATAAATATGATTCTTATTTATTTCACTTATAAGGATAGTCTCAAGTTTTCTCCATTTACCTACAAAGGCCTCAAGATCATCCTTTTTATAGGTGAGTAATATTCCATTGTATAAAAATACCACATCTTTTTCCCCCACTCTGTGGTTGATGGGCATCTTGGTTGTTTCCAAGATTTAGCTATTACAAATTGTGTCTCTATGAAATAGGTGCACATATATCACAGTGACATGAGCTTTTCAGGTTTTCTGGGAAAATACCCAGGAGGGGAATAGCTGGATTGAATGAAACTTAGTCTTCTGAAAAATCTTCATAGTGATTTCCATAGTGGCTGCACCAGTCTACACTCCCATCAATAGTAGAGAAGTGTTCCTTTTTCTCCGCAGCCTCGCTAACATTTGTTATCAGTTGTTTTCTTGATGGCAGCCATTCTTTCCAGAGTGAGATGAAATCTCAATGTTGTTTTAATTTGCATTTCTCGAATGACCAGTGATGATGAACATTTCTTCATGTATTTATTTGCCATTTGTATATCTTCACCTGAGAACTGTGTTTCATCTCAGATGCCAATTTTTAGAGAGGGTCTTCGAATTTGGGGGGCTTGATGTTTTTCAATTCTTTATATGTTCTAGATGTAAGTCTTTGTCTGAGGAGTTGCTGGCTATAATTCTCTCCCATTCTGTGGATTTTCTTTTCACTCTGTTGGTGATTTCTTTTGAAGTTCTGCAGAATATTTTTAAGGGGATTCCTGTTTTTTGTTGGATCAATGGTATCTTGCTCAACAAATTGATTCTTTCCACAATCCTGGTCATAAACCAAATGGATGAGAACTGAATCAAATTCAATGGTTAGATTCGATGCTGACCTGACAAGGAAATTTGATTCAGTTTTTATGTAGTTCTTCTTGCAATCACAATTACGGAGAGAATTTAATCCATAAACTGAGGTACTACCATAGTAATTTTATATTTAAGAGTTTGAGGGATTGTCAAACCATTTTCCAAAGAGCTACACCATTTTAGAACTCTATACTGAGGGGTCCAATTTCTAAACATTTTTGTCACTACTTGTTATCGGTCTTTTTAAATCCTAATGGCCATGAATTGTACCTGACTGCAGTACAATCTTCAAATCATAAGGATGCTGGGTATCTTTTCATGTCTTTACTGGAAATTTTTATATCTTCTTTGGGAATTATTGTCTTAGAGATCCAAATCCTTGACTCGTTTTTTAAATTGAGGATTTTTATATTGATGAACTGTAAGAAGTCTTTATATATTCTAAATACAAATTCCTGATCAGATATAACTTGAAAATATTTTCTCATTCTGTGAAAATGTTATCAGTTTTTTAAAACCCAAACATGCATATTCGAGATTTTTACAATGCCAGAAACCTTCTCTTGAATATTAACTTCTTTCACTCTTGTATTTTTCTCTTCCCTTCTTTCTTTTGTGCTTAAAGTTCAGTGTTTCCATATTAAATTATTTAACATGTGATTGTCAAAGACAAATATTACCTTGACACTGAACACACAGTGGAACTTCTCTCTATAAAGTACTTGCTCTTTTAATCTGGCATTACAGTTTTCAATTCTGTTCCTCAGTGACCAAGCAAAAAAGCAAAGGGATGCAGGTTTCTAATAAAGACTCTCATCTCTTGTCTCTTACCCAGAAAATCCAGGATACTATTTCATTTTGTAGCTCCGGGCAGGCCCCACAGGTAGCTTCTGTCAAACGCAGAACAGGCACGTTGAACCTGCTGCCCTGCCTGCTCAGGGCTGCTTTTCCCTTCTGTCCTGCTGTCAGTACTTGCTGCTGTGCTTTTCAAACTTGAAAATCTGTTTAGGAACCACGATCTTTAATTGTGCAAGGGACAATCTCTGTCCTAGGTTGTCTCAGAATTTCAACGACCCAGAAGCTTATACTAAAGAGAAAGCAGCAAAAATAATTACCCTGGAATAATCAGACATTATTCTTGTGTGACTAGGTGTGGCATTGCTCTTCCTTCCTTCTTTCCCTCCCTCTCCTTCCTCTCTTCCTTCATTCTTCCTTCTTTTCTTCCTATTTCATCTTTGCCTGTTATTTTTCCACCTTCAGAAAGCTATTAACATGCTACCGAATCTCATCCTTTATTTCTTTCCAGTTTTAATGCTTTTTCACTCCCTGGGTCTTACTTAAAGTCTAAACTGCCAGCATTTAAGGTCCTCTCCTAAGATGCTAAGGAGAGATTTGGGTAAAATGGCTTTCAGAGCAAAATGCATTCTTCCTCTGCAATGGGAGGTTTGTGTATTCTTTGGCAGCATCACAGCATGAGGTCATATTATTTAATAAGGCTTAGAAGGAGTCTTCTCTGTTTAAAATCTGAAAACAGTTTAGACAAAATTTCTCAACTATTATTAAGAATGCAAGATCTTTTTAAAGGGGAAAATGTTTCTAAAATTCCATTTGACTCCATTGTCCTTTCTGTCTGCTTACTCTTTCATATGAAAGTATCGAAGTTCACTGGCGGCTTGTGAATTTTAGGGAAGCCATCCATGAGATAATAAAGTAAACTGTTGGATATCTGCAAAACTGAATGTTACATATCTAGTAAATATTCATTAGAACAAAGAGTTACATGAAATAACGCTCATGCTTAGTGAAAGAGGGGGATACACAATTATAGGTTTAGTGCAAGTATGTAAATAAAAATGTTTTAAGACTGAAAAGTATACCAAAGTACAGAGTCCTTGAGACAGCACATCACTTTCTGCTTCTCAGTAATTTCCAAGTGTTCTGCAAATAATTATTTTATGGACTTAAGATACCTTCTGTAAGTTTTCAACTTGACATACCTACAGCCATCTTGGTTGTAGCTTCCATCTTGGCCACTGGGCACTCTCGGCACATATCTCAAACCCAACAGGACAAAAGAAGTTGTTAAGATAGAAAGCATTTGTGCCAGCCCTTATAAATGGGATGTTTAGTAATCAACATCTGACATGTTAATAATACTTTGAGAAAGGCTAGTTCCATTCTGGGTAACTGTGACCCACCTTTGTTTAGCCCAGGATACAAACCCCTTATCCCTGCCCTGGGCTGTGTGATCTTCCTATCTGTCTGCTGCCTGAAACTCACTTCTATCCACAAGGCTCCAGGAAATTGTACTTGGTGCAATCCTGGTTCTGCCTGCTTTGTATGTCTCATGGGCCCTTTCACTTTTGGTGCCTGGTTCTTGTGCATCAGGATTGTGTTTTTCTGAAACACATTTTGTCACATTTTAGTTTCTGCAATTGGGTGGCAGTTTGCAATAGCTCTCAGTCAGGTAATCTGTGACACAGTCATTGTCAGTGACTAAGGATAAAAACTGCAGACCAGGTGCCAGCATGGAACACTGTCCCAGAGTCAAGGATAGGACATTTGTTTAGGAAATGCTGTACCCAGCTTTGAGGTTTTTGTGATAAAAGTCTTTTGGAGAACTTAAACTGCAGGCTGGGGAAATTTTAGTAATCTGTAACCAATTTGTTTTTTGAGATTTCTTTGTACATTCTTATTTATGAAAAAGAATAATATCTCATTTTTTAAATCTCAGAAAAATTAAAGCTAAGAGAATTTTAAGTCTTTTTTAAAGAAAGCTTTAGACAATAAGAAAATTTTTGAGAATAGTTTAGTTTGAAAACATATTTTCTACTAGTAATATCCAAATGAATGGTACATCTAATGTAGGGCATCGTTGATTTTGCTGTGTATAACAGAGCTTTAAGTGAAGTAGACAATTAGTTCTTATAAGTATCTGTAATTAAATGGTTTGTGTTTGGGATGCTGACAGCTCAACAGGATCACCCAAAGATTCAAACCCTTTCAATTTCTATCCTGTTACTCAGTTATTCCATAGTTGTGTTCCATATGGCATGAAAATGGAAGGTGACTGAAAGGAACAGGCACTCTGTCCCTTAAGGTTGTGCCCTAGAAGCTGTGCACATAGATTCTGTTCTCTGCAATGCCCTATGGACCTGACTCTAGGCAAGTGGGCTCATGAGAAAAGTTGTATCTGTTCTGGATTGGGGTCAGTAGACATTTTCTGTAAAGGACCGGGTAGGAAATATGTTGTTTTCCTAGATACATATAAACTACCAAAGCTAAATCCAAGAAGACATAAAAACCCTGAATTTTAGGCATAGAGATTAAAGAGGTAAATTAAAATATAAACTGCAAGGGGCTGGGGATTTAGCTCAGCGCCATAAGCACCTGTCTTGCAACCAGGTGGTCGTGAGTTTGATCCCTGGTACCGATAAAATATATAATATATATATATATATATATATATATATATATATATATACTACAAACTAAGAAAAGTTCACATTCTGATAAATCCTGATGGATTCGCTGACAAATTCTACAAGAACTTCGGGGAAGGTCTAACAGCAATATTCCTCAAACTCTTTAATGAAATCAAAAGAGAAGCAGTACTCCCAAAGTCTTCCCTGGAAGCTACCATTACCCTGATTTCAAAACCAGAAACAGACCCAACCAAAAAGAGAATTATAGGCTAGTCTTTTCAATGAACACTGATGAAAAAAATACTCAAACAGATACTGCAACATATAATGCAACAAATCATCAAAATGATCATCCATCATGATAAAGCAAGATTCATCCAGGGATGCAGAGCTAGTTCAACATATGTGAACCCATAAGCATAATACATCACATAAATAAAAGCACATACAAAAATCACATGATCATCTGAACAGATACAGGAAAAAAGCCTTTGACAAAATCCAAAATCCATTCATGAGAAACAAAATCTTTGAAGCAAATAGATACAGAAGAAACTTCTTAATCTAATAAAAGCCATTGATGACCAACCAACACCCAATGCATATTAAATAAGAAGCTGAAAGATTTCCCTCTAAAATCAGAATTAAGACACAGATGTCTGATATCACCACCACTATTCAATAGTTTTTTAAACATTAGCAAGAGCAATAAAGTGAGAGAAAAAATGAAATGATATGTACAGAAAAAAGAAGTCAAGTTATCATTATTTGCAGATGATATCATTCTCCACATAAAAGATGAAAATAAAAAAATTCCACTAGACCCAACTATTCCCTTCCAAGGTATCTTCCCAAAAGAATTAAAAACATCATATTACAGTGCTCCACGTATACTTGTCGATAGCAGCATAATTCAAAATAGCCAAATCAGGCAAGTGGCCTACATGTCCATCAACAGGCAAATGGATTAAAAAAGTGGCATTTATACACAGAGAATAACTACTCTTCAATAAAGAAGGATAACTTTGACTCATTTGTAGAAAAAATGGATGCATTTTAAGACCATAAGCAAAATAAATAAAGCACACAGGCTTACATATCAAATGGTTTATTTCATATGAAAAACTCAAAATATAAATATAGAGCAAAATAAAAGACAAATAATAGGAAAAAGAGATAAAGGGAAGGAAGAAGGAGGGTTGGGGGAAATGCAGCCAAGAGGAAAGAGAGAGGAAGTGAACATACAAAGAATTAAGATGTGTTATGTAATTAACCAACTCCTCATGATGAACGTACCAAAAAGTATACTAATAAAAAATTGTACAATATAATTATGGGAGAAAGGTAATTTTACAAATACTTTAAATTTTGCAAGCCACATAATAGCTCTGTTATGTATTCTTGTGTTTTTTAAACAAAAAACCTCTTACAAATGTATAAAGGTTCTTAACTTAGGGCCATACAAAATGAAACAACAGGCTCAATTTGACCTATGAGATATTACCAGACCCTAATCTAGAATTTCCCTGCCATGAGGACTGAAGTGAAATATACTGACAACTGCCCATCTTTGTCAAAACATCATTCATTTTATGTCACTTCTTTGACATAATAGGAAAAATGAGCATGGTGTATAAAATGTAAATACTAAGTGTCTTAACAGTTTCTCTCATTGCTGAAACAAAACACCTGATACACAAAATTCAAGTAGGAAAGGTTTATTTAGCTCACAGTTTATAGAAGTTTCATTCCATAATTGGCTGGCTCCAAGGCAGGGTGAGCACGGCAGAGAAACAACAGTTCATGGCAGCAGAAAACACAAAAAGCAAACAAGGAGACAAGACTCTTTTCTGTCTCTTATACTGTATGCACGCTATCTGCCCTAGGTGGGTGTAGTACTCACACCCTTAAACCTAACCAGAACTGTATCAAACCAATCGGTGGACTGATTTACTAATCACATACCCTGAATCCCAGCATCACACACTCTAGATTCAGCCACCTCTGAAAAATCCTGTGACTGCGTGAGGCTTTAGGGGATCATCTAGACACAGATTATCACATATAGATTGTAGTACATTAGAAGATAAGTTAGAAAGGTGAATCAAAAGCTAACTGAGGTTAGAGATGGAAGCACAGGATATCTTGCAGAAGCCTGATATATGGTTTGATCAGTTTATTATTCATAAACCTAGATGTTTAATTCTTGAGGAGGTCCCTGAAAGGCAATTATCACTTTAAATGATAATTGTATTTGGAGTCTTCAAAGAAACAGAATTAACTGGATGCTATCTTCTAATTTTCTGAGGATTTCAGTTTAGGAACCTGCGATGGTTACACCTGACTGTGTCAGCTTGATTAACTGTGAGCCACTCAGGTGATTGGTGGAATACACTTTGGTGTGTGTCTGGGTGGTCATCGAGGTATGACCTTGGGTACTGTATCTGGTCATTTTCCCCTTCCTGGCTGGTGCTGCTCCCATACTCTGCTTCTCAGAAGCCATAAACTAGCAACTTTGCCCCCACCCTGCCCTTCTGCCATGATGTTCCTGCCGCAGAGCCAGCAACCATTGGCTAAATCCCTGCACAATGTGACTTAAATCAGATCTCTCCTCCCTTAAGTACCAGGTGTCATCCATTGGGTTCCAGCAATGGGAAGGCTAATATTGGACCCATAATCCTATCTAAAACCTCTTCCCTAGGCTCCCTACATTCAGTCAAAAGATCGAGAGAAATACAAAGAGAATAGTTTAAACAACATATATTTCATATGGAAATACATGGGCATGACTATATTAGAAGAGACAATGTGGTCAGACGATTGTCCCTCTCAGTAGGCTCAAGATGAATGTGACAGCCAGAAAAATGTCACAGCCTGGTTCAAATATATGCCATTGGTGTTGTTATCAGTGATGCAATTTCCTAAAATGGTGAGCAAAATTCCCCACAAATTTTAATGTCCCTTGACATTAGATTGCAGTCCTAGAAAATTAAGTGTAGAAAGCATACAAAATATGATTTGGTTTATAGGAGGTGTGAGCTAAGTTCTCAGCTTATAAAATAGAGGAGGCAGAAGACTTCTCTAACAAGTACAGATGGCCCATGGTGTCATCATGGGCAGGGTCTTGATTTGAAATTTTCATGTAGAGGCTGACAGTTAACCATCCTGGCTTGCGTAGTGGGAAGCCCAGTACTGAACCAAAACTGAATTAAACAATTTTCCAGATCAACCTCTCTCCTCACTCTGTTTCATATATAATAATTTTTACATCATTTCAATACTAATTCACTCCTGCCTTGTTAATTTCCATTCTTGCAAATCTTGTTCCCTCATTTACTTGAAAGTACCCAAAGGAAAATCTTCTACACATTCAGAGTTTAATGGCAGACACATGTAAATGATCATTACATCATCATGTGGTCATAAGAGCTCTCTAAGAATACTTGGTCATACTCCTGTTCTGTATTTAAGTTTCCTTTGCATTATTCCTCACAGATGGTCTCTCAGGCCCACTAGACTGTGCTCATCGTTCACAAGGAACAAATTTCACTGTCTCAATTATCTGGTCCTGAGTAACAAACTACACTCAGAATTAATGTCTTCAAGGAGAAATGATGGTTTTCATTTATGTGGACTGCCCTAGGGGGTCCCCTGTTGAATATGCTCAGCATCAGTTACATAGCTACTTTTAACTGGAGGATTGTCCAAGATACAAGATCGAAGACAGCCTCACGCACCTTTCTGCTGACGTGCTTCAGTGTTTTTGTTCTCTTCCATGCAGCCTCTCATCCTGTGTTGCACTAGACTGACTTAATTACATGGCCTAGGGCAGAGTTCCAAAAGAATGAAGGAGAGCCAGTGTGGCGGTGCATCCCTGTAATCCCAGCACATCAGACCCTGTCCCAAACAGAAGAAAAAACAATTTAAAGGGGAAAATAACGCAAATGAATGAAGGTAGAAGCTACAAGGTCTCTTGATATCTGGATCCACAACTAATATGATATTGTACCTATCACCTTCTTTTCATAAAAGCCAGGATGGTGGCTCAAACACAAAGGGATGAAAGAAATTCTTCCACTTCATCAAAGGAGGATCAGCAAGGTGACACTGCATGAAGCAGATATAAAGGGTGAGATATGGGCTGTTAAACAATCTACAATGTCCAAAAAAATTTTTTCTTCTAACTTCTGATGAGTCCTTGACCTTCAGTCAAAACTCACATAAAATGAAGAACATGCTCCTTTCAAATAACAGCTTTTCCATTGTTTGAGGAGAGTTGAAATAGGAATTACAAGTCTTTTCTCTTTTCTCCCTTTCTCTTTCACCATATTGATTTTTGAATTATAGAATAAACTCAAAATCATACGCATTGAACAATAAATTCAGAATAGAGCCCAGCAGTTCATTTCAATAAGAACTTCATGTGATTCTGTTACCTGTTAAAGTTTGAGAATCACAGATCAGAACCCCTTTACTTGATCATCTGTTCACAGTCTTAAAATACAATTTTCATAATTTATCTTCATGCTTTATTCTGCTGCCTACTACATCCTGCAAAGTTCCCGCCCTTTTAAAATAATTGTTTGCAAGATAACAAATTACAATCAACCAACATTCTCATTCTCTCTCTCTCTCTTTCTCTCTCTCTCTCTCTCTCTTTCTCTCTCTCTCTCTCCCTCTCTTTTCATCATGACACCAAAGTGCTTTTAGGAAATTATGTTGTTCATCGTGTAATTTGGGTAATGTAAATTCTAATCCAGAATTGACCTTCATTAGAACAAAAAACAGATTATTCTAGCCACACAACCACGGTAGTTGGCTCAAGAATGGACACATGAATCCACCAAATGCCTGTGGTTTTTGGAAGAAAAGTTTTCCATACTTCCACTTGCTCAATGGAGTGAAGACAAACTTTGGCAGCTTGATTTATTTTGATTAAAATGAGGAGCCTGAAACCATTGGTGGCTACACTGTAAGGTCTCTTAATACAGCCAATCCTTAATTCTCTGAATTCCCTGAGCAGTGGAATTCAGGTGGGATCAGATAGCTGGAGCAAACCACTCTGAAGTCCTATCATTTGAACTTTTATGTGCAAAATAACAGCCAAGTATCCTAATTTGCTTGGATCTATGGAATTTCCCAGAAAGATAAATTTTCAGTGCTAAAATCTGCAAAGTTCTAAGGGATGAATGGGTCTCTCTAGATGGAACTGATATTTAAAGTTGCTACATCCTTGTGATTTAGCATTGTAAGATACAAAACATCACTTCAAGGAACCGTCATAGACTGTAATATCTTTGGCTTTATGTTTCATCCAAGCTTTTGGGAATGTAATGCTTTATAAGATTAAGTCACAAAACTTCCATTATCTGTTGCAAATTTGCTACATAAGTTTTAAACAGACCATACCGTATATTAATCCAAAGCCATTTATCAAAATGATGAATGAACAGGTATACATTTAAATTGCATTTTTAACAAACAGTTTTCTAGAAAAGTATTACAAGCAACTTCAATTCCCCAGGAAGTGATGAACTAACAATGAACCAAACTAATTAAATACTAATAATTTAAATTTGCATAATGTCTCATAAAGTCTCACAAAGAAATGTTTATGAGACACGTGTAAGTAGTAGAAGCTGTAGCCACTTGTTGAATTAAAGCGAAAGCATTTTAGCTGCAAAATCTATTCTATTCTGTTAGTTTATATGACCAGACAGGTTTTCTGGCAATCTGGGGACTGAATTCAGGGCTGAAGTTGAGCTACATTTTCATCCCACTCCTTTTACTTCAAGACACGGTCACTGAGTTGCCCAGGCAGGGCTTGAATTTGCAATCCCTTTGTTTCAGCTTTCCAGAGTACTGGTATTATAGTTGTGCACTACCATATCTGCTTTCTATGACTGAAATTTTATCTGCATATGCATCCTTAGATATTAAATAAGAACAGTGTTCATGACCTCTGGCATATATTCCCAATGGAGAGAAAAACTAAAACTATGTACTGTATGCACTATTTGACTACAAATGCCTGTCTGGCATCAGCCAAGTGGCTTGCTTATCTCACCACTTGAGGTTTACGCCACTTTCCAGAAGTTTTTGGGTACCTAAACAAAAATGGGAATGTAACTCAAAAGCACGAAGTTGCAAAACTCATTATTTTAAGAGTATGATCCTAATATAGCAGCACAAAATAGACCCTTACCTTTCCTCTCCTGTGTGACATGGCTGTCATCCATGCTTTGACTGTGGCTGTTAATTTCATCTACAACTACTTAAATTCCAGCTGAGCAAAAGAAAATGGAGTTCATTAAAATCCATTTCTCAGTTCCAACAACTGCCAACCATACAAGCTGTCCCTGCAATTAAGGAAATGTAAAGTGATCCCCCACAGAGAGGAATGGAACCAAGTCAGAAGCTACTCTGGTGAATCATTTTCTCTTTGCTGCTTCCCACAAAAGCTCTAGCAGGGGCCATGACCAGACCCTGCACTATAATAAACAGACAAAAGTTTGTGCTGAATCTCTCTATATGCTCTAGACAAACTGGACTGCACTAGATTCTGGATTCAGTCCACATTCCACACACCGTCAGTAACTGCTACACGCAAGTTTTATATGATCAAGAAATCTGAAGATTCTTAGGAACGATCAGGCATAGCAAGACCACCTGTCTTTACTTTTGAATTCCCTTCATTATAAATTCAAATAAGCCCCAGTCAGTTATATTTCTACTTTTCAATGTGTTCTCATAACTGAGCTGTAAATTTCTTTACACTTGAAGAAATTCTTTTTTTGTCTTTCACCATGAGGAAATATGAATTCTATGTGCAATTACTGCCGTGTTTATTCAAAAAGTCATTCATCTTATGTCTTCCTGGAAAACAAGGTAATTTTATTAGATGCCACACTAAGATCCTTCTGACAGCATTTTCACATGTCCTTAATTTTAATACCTCTCTAGGTCATTTGCTCAATTAATACAAGGGAAAATATAAGAACCTGAGTTTAGTTCATTGTCAATAAGCACTCATTTCACAAGCTTGTTTACATTAAATATTAGCAAGCAAATACAAAGTTGTGCTCTATCAAGTCTAGTGTGTCACATGTTGCTTGGATTCTATGACATCAGTACAGAAATGGGAACTCATCATTGCATCCTTAAATTAAATCTCTGGAATGGTTTCAGACTGAACTCTGAGCTCTTACCCTAGGCATCAGCAGACCAGACCAGACAGGAAGGTAGTCTGCTGTGCCACATATCACATAAAGAAATTGAACTTAAAATGACCTGGTTTCCAAAAACAAAAAACAAAAACAAAACCAGGAGACTCGCAGTATTCAATTAGAAGAGGCCAGTTCACCCAAGCTGGCTTCATAAATCCCCTCTGCTCTAGCCCCATAAGGGAAGTAACTGTTTCTCCATCTTCGGTCTTTTTCTCGGCCATAAACTCACCTCCTGTGCTCAGCCAGGAGAGCACCTTCTCTGTTTCACAGATGGAATATTGCCTGATTCATGAATCATTAATCAAAGCCAATAAGATCCTCACCGCACAAATCCCAAGCAATTTACCAGCTCACTAGCTCTGTCCTAATCCTGCACGATCTCTCATTTTGTCCGTCTTTACCTTCCCTCCTCAGGCACACAAGCACACGTGCTCCCCTGTTATTTGAGAGACTGAAATTAGCTGCATAAGACAATCGAGTGCAGAAACTGAACTGGCTGTTTCCTCCTTTCATCTTCCTTCCATCTTTGTAACATGTTTCAATTACCTGCTGTGCATAATTGATATGAAAATATTTCTCCATGGATTAAAATAAAAGAACCATAGATCCTATTGTTTATGTACATCTATGGTTTCAAATTGCAGACAGAAACATCACAAAGAAAAATATAAACAGCTTGTCTATACCAAAGCACCTGTGCCCACCAGAGGAGGGGGTAGGTGGAAACTATAATTATTACAAATGATACAGAGGGAGAGAAATTGAACCAATAGAAAAAGATAAATACATCAGATAAAGAGCCCTTTTGACTTTATAAAGAAAACTTCAAAAAGTCCATTGATCCAAATAATGAAAAATGTTCAATTTAGTAATCAACATTAAGACAATCTGAAGTACCACTGTGCATCTATTAAATTAAGAAAAATGTACTATAAATGCAAGTGAAGCTGGCTTAAAAGAGTAAGTTTAACAGCACAAGAAATTGTATAAGCCTCTGAAAAAAGCAACATGATGTAAAAGTGCATCAGAAATTGTTAAAACAGTCACACTATTGAATCCAGTAGCATAACTGATCAATATTAATTCTAAGAAATAATTCAATCGATGAAAAACTATTGAAAATGTTTGTATTTTATTCCAATTTATATTTTCTTCAGAATCTTTATGCAATATTGGAAATGTATATAGCTATCAGAAAACAATTTGATGGAAGTAAAAACTATTTTAGAAGTTGCTTTCTGTAGCCTTATTTGTAGTAGTGGAACACAAATACATGGAATCAAATTAATATCTGAAACAAGAAATCGTGTAAATACTATTAGTGCCACATAATATGATATAGCTGCCTTAAATAATAATTTTAATTACTATGCATAAGTCTGAAGGCCACAAGATAACTTAAAGTAAAAAAAATGATGTGATTATGAATGTATTAAATAGAGTGGAATTTTCTTCTTCAAATTTGGATTTTTTTAATGTCTCATTTAAAATTTGAAAAGAAATAATCACTTGTACAGAGGTGCCAGTCCACAGGCTCTAAGCCAGCATCTTCAATGAAAAAAAGCTTGTGGCATGTCATTGATTTTAAGAAATAAAAATTCTTCAGTAACTTGTTTCTTCCTCTTCCAGGGCACCAGCATCCTTGAGAATTGTTTTGGTTGATGTGATTGTTTTTGCAATGAGACCTTTATGAATTGCATTCCCAAATTTGGCCATAGAAACTGCCTACATGCAACTCTATGGGCTAGCCTGAGGCAGACAGCAGTGTGACTTTGGAAGCCATATGGATGAAGACAGCATTGCCATCAGGGGGACCCTGCATCCCTCACACTGCCTGAAGGTCAGCTGAATTGTTTGACTATTTAGATTTCTGGATGTATTGTTAAGTATCTCACTTTATCCTAGTAATCTTAAACCTTTTGTTTGAAGATTTCTAATTAGCACTGGGAAGGAATTAGAAATAAATGAGATGGAGCCCAATCAGGAAAAAAATCCAAATTAGAAGTTCACAGTTTCTGTGCAGATAATCCCATTTGATAGTTTCCAATTCTCCAATCTGTCATCTCTTTCTTTTATATCTAGATTTTATTTTTTTACCTAAGAAAAAAATCATAATTTTAGCTTGAAATTATCATCAATATCAGGAAGTGCTTGAACATACTCTACCTAGAAAGAGCCAAGAGATGAAAAAAAGAGGGAAGACAGAAAGGGAAAATAAGAAATGAAATGTGATGTACATGTACCAACTTCCCAAGATGAATGTAAGCATTATGTACTGCAAACATGTACTAACAGAAAAAGAAAATTAAAAAACAAGAAAACACCATATGCAATATCATTTAAGCAGAAGTGTTACTGACTGGGGGAGTTCGTTGGACACAGGTAAGTTCTCTTGTCACAGAACAAGCCAAGGAAAAGGAAATCTGACAGCTAAAAGTGTGGGATGCATTCATATGCCAAAATGTATTTTTTATGTCTCTCATGGTTCACTGATTTTAAAAGTCAGTGCAAGTACCAAAACACTGGTTCAGAAAGTTCCTGAAGATCAAAAGTTTCAGGGAAAAGGCAAAGAGGCATCATGATGTGTCTCAGCAGGCACAGCAATGCTTAGGGAACACCAGCCAGCTCCGGTTCTCTGGTGCCCTTTAGGAGTCACCAATGACCAGGACACTCTTCATGGCTGATGCTGACTCAGCATGTGTCTGGCAGCCACCAGCAACTGGGGGTAGGGGAGATGAGAGTTGGCTATCCTGTGCCACAGGATGGCTATTTAAGAATCTTGCAATGGTATGTTAAGAGTGTTTGCTCTACAACAGAGTGGGCATCTTATGGAGAAGACAGATGATTGAAGTCTATTGAAACTGAATAAGGGCTGAGAAATACAACTTCTTATTTTTAGCACTGGAGATCAAACTGAAGGCTTTTGCACATCACCAGCCCTCTTGTTATTTTTCTATTTTGAGACAGGATCTTGCTAAAGTTACTAACTAGCTCAAACTGGGTTCAAACTTGCAATCCTCCTGCCTGGATCTCCCACAGTGCTGGGATTACAGGTGAGCACCACCATATCCACCTAGAAATTTGACTTTCTATACAAAAAAATAATTTTAAAACTCTTCAGAATCACAAATCATGCCATGAATTTTGTCTACTACTAATAAAATAGATGTGCAAATCTGTCTGTATTTGTCATTAATTTATCAATCCCATCAATTTAATCAAAGTTGATGTATGATCACAGCAAAAGTATTATTTATTCTTAAATTTAATTCATGATAGTCTATAACTTTATAGAAAAACTACTATCAAATTGTACAAGCACTAAAAGCTTTAGAAGGGCAATGTATACATATTGTCTGGTCCTCTCCTCTCAATAGTCCCCCATTCCATCATGATGTCCCCTTGGGGAACGGTCATCATACACTTCTGTTGTATCTCTATCTCAGAATCAGGGTTGTACCCATAGTTCTGTCCTCAGTTTTCAAGATTCCCTGGGGATCAGCCATACAAAAGTACATGCATGTCTTGTTCAGGCAACTCCTGCTGCTATAACAAAATGTATTAGACTGGATTAGCGATAAAATACATTTGCATTCTGGATATATTTTGGAAGCCAAGCCAACAAATAGATTCTGGGATGTGAAGGAAGACAATAAGTCAACAATGACCACAGGGTCAGAGGAACAGAATGCATTTGCCACATGCTGATATGGGTGATTTTTTTAATGTGTGTCTTTGTGGGAAACAGACAATGTCTTCTCTTTTTTCATTTTTTTACTCAATGATAATGCTATATGGTAAAGGATTATGAGGATTATTTTAGGGTATGCATTTCCTCTTTCCATTTCTCCCCGTCAGCAAACTCTTAAGCTGCTTTCTCAGTGACATGTTAAGTCTCAGGTGCCTTTATACTGTCATTCTCTTCCTTCCACTTACACCACCATGACTTTGTGCCAAGGATAATGTGGCAAGCAGCCTCCTCATTGGTCTCCAACCAGTAGTCTTTGATGCCTCCCATCTCTCCCACACTAACTAAAGCACCGCTGGAATGGTCACCACCATGTTTAAAGATGACCTTTGTCTGCATATGGAGCAAAGACCAACCTCTTGAGAAACAACAATCCACACAAGGCATTTGTTTAGCTTTGCCTTTTGTTGTGGTTTGGATTGTAAATGTCCCCCAAGGGCCATGTGGCATTGTTGGGCGATGACAGAGCCTATAATGTTTGGGGCCTAGACAGAGGAAGTGAGATCCTGTGGGTGTGCCCTTTAAGCAAACATAGAGACACTACCCTCTTCTCTCTCTCTAAAATCATGAGCTGAGGTGAATCATTCCTCATTTTAAGTTTATTGCTCAGGTATTTACTCACAGTGACAGAAATCTGACTAAGACATTTCTCATCCCATAGCTCACAACGCAGCCTTTGTTTTGAACCTTCTATGATATTTGTTTTTGCCTTAGTTGGCTTGCACTACTCTTTCCAAACCTGCACCTGCAAAACTTCTAAATGTATTTCTCACCGGCATCTCAAAAAGTTCCCAATCCTTTAAGATCTGCCCCTTCAATGAAGCCATCAAGCTTCACCCAGTGAAAATCAATCCTGTCCTCCCTTATATATCCAAAGCCCTTTCGGGCTCTACATAACATTTTTTGGTTACTTATGTATTTGTTTCTGTATCTCCTTTTGGGCAATGATCTACTATAGAATTTGTCTTATAAGCCACACTTTCACAGTGCCTGGCAGAATACCTCTCACAATAAGTCCTCAATAAGTATTCATTGTCAGTTTTAATAGTAAATTTCTGCTGCAAGTATAAATGGTCTTAATATTGAGAAAAGATTTGCAAGATTTGTGATTAGTCCTCACACATAAATGGTACTCCTACACACATTATTTTTCCAAACTCATTTGCTTTTATAGGATGTTATTATTATCAGAGGCTGTTTAGAACAAAGCTACCAAAACAATGTAATTTAAAGGTCATATTCAGATACTACCCATAAGTACAAGCTTCTCCAGAGGAATATTTAGAAATCATTGTAAAATAAATTAAATGTTTTTGTTCCTCTGAGGCCAAGTATATTTTCATTTTCTTGTGCAAATAAAAATATATTGATTTTCCTTTTTCCTTTTTAGAGAAAAAGCAACAACTCTTTAAAACATACTAGGCAGACTGTTAATGTGCTGTAGAAACCAGATGTCTTAGAGCTCTGTAACAGGGAAATTAGTACTGTATCTCATAACTTAAGAATATCTTAAGGGAAAACCAACAAATGTTGAGATTTGGAAACCGGGGGTTAGCTAGTTATACTCCACTTAATATTAGGAGCACCTCTGGCACCCTCTTTTCTGTTGTGTATTAATGTTATCGGTATAAATGTCTTTTTCTTACTAGATTATTGCCTCCAGAGCTTCACTCCAATCCTGTGTGCTAAAATGCCTGGTATAAGGCTGAGTCTTAGCTCAGACATAAAGCACCAGCTTAGCATGCACAAGGCCCTGATTTTCCCCCCAAGCATCAAAAAGTAAATAAAATACAGTCACACATTTTTCACTAGATTATAAATTTCTGGAAGGTTGTAGTCACTAAACTCTCATATTGATTTAAAAGTATTTTTCCTCCAGATATCAGGCTCCTGGAAGGCTGAAATTGCTTTCCTTTGTATTTCTCACAGCACAGGATAGAGTTTCACATGTAACGTTCACTCAGGAAATCTTAAATTTGCTTCACCTTTTACTATTTCTTCTGACTTCCATTTCTTTGCTGTAAGACACTAAAACATCAAATCATAATTTCTGATTTAGAACCTCATCATTACTTGAACAGTAACAGGTTCAGAAGGCCCACAAGGGATCCAAACTGATAGAAGTTTAAACATACAATGGTATATTAAGCTTCCCAAGACTTACTCCTTCAAGCTGTCTGGTATGGTTTAAATATGAAGTGTCCCCCACAAAGACTTGTGTATTGAGGGCTTTATTCCCCAATGTAGAAACATGCAAAGGCTGAGTTTACAAGTGATTGGATCGTGAAAACACCAACTTCAATATATGTACCTATCGGTGAATTCATAGCTGAACGTGCTGTTAAAGGTGGGACCCAGGTGGAGGAAGTAAAGTCACTAGGGGGTGTTCCTTTGAAGGAAATATCTTGCTCCTGACCCCCTCCTCTCTCAGGGTCTTATCCTGCTCTCTTCTTCCTGAATGCCATGAATTGAACAGTTTTCTTCCTCCATGCCTTGCAACAGATGTTGTTCCTACCTTGGAAACATCCAGCCAAACACAAATAAAAACCTTTGAAATCATGAGCCAAAATAAACCTTTCTTCTTCCAAATTTTTATGTGGGTGCTTTCTTCCTACAATGGGAAGCTGACCGATACACTATCCTTCCTGCACTGGAGTATTGTGGTTGTGCAGTGTGTGTACTTTACAATGCAATGAGTCCCCTTTAATTGTGGCCCATGTGAAAAGTACTAGTACTTATACTTTTGTTTTCAGCACTGTGACTGCTGGAGTTAGAGACCCGTGGTCCCTTATCCTATGGCTCTACTACTCCAGGAAAGTTCCAAGAGCTACAGTTTCCAAAATGGTGGCAGAAACCATCACATCCTCATGCCAAAAAGAGCCAGATTACATGTCATTTCACTCCCATTCCATTGCCCAGGACTGTCCTGAAGTCATGCCTCCTTGGAAAGGAGTCTGGAAAATATCTTTATTCTTAGATCCAATTATAACTGAAGGGTCCAGTGATCACACAAGTAGAGAACAGATTCGGAGACAAACCAGAACACTACCTTTCATTTTATGGCATCACTGTCATTTCAGTTTCTGCAGTCCTTCTTACAGCTATCACTACTCCTTCATTCCTCGTAACCCAATATTTTTTCCTTTTGCCTGAGCTCCTATACCATTTTTTAAAAATATTTCTGGTCTCTATCCTTCAACTCTAGTCTGTGGCTGCTATGAAGATGGCTGTCTGCTCCATCTCTGTCACTCTATCCTTTATGGTTGTTTTGTTTTGTTTGTCTCTTACACACTCCACTTTTTTCCAGCTGAACTTCTTTCTCCTTCCTGGATACACTGTCTATTTTCCCAAGTTTCCTCAGACTGTTCCCTTTGCCAGAATTATCTTCCAGCTACTAATCACCTGTTCTTAATGGTTCTTTCAGTCCCAACTCCAAAAATGGCTCACCTCTCGTTAAATACCTATCCTTAGTCAACTCTATTTCACTCAAATAATCAATATCCTAATTTTTATTATTTAAATTTTTATTTAATTAATATACATTTGCTAAAATATATATACATATCTTCAGGATCCAACCCAATGAATTTTTATATCTATACATACCTATTTGGGTGGGCAACATTTTGGTTCTGAAGTCATCCACTTCCTGCTGCCACATCTGTGAATGTGTTGTGTAAGAAGGACCTAACACACCTAACACATTGCTTCTTTGAAGATGGAAAGGACCACACAAGAAGGAATGTGATGGCTTTGACAAGCTCAGAGTAGCCCTGAACTGATCATCAACAAAGAAGGGGGCCTCAGTCCTACAATGGTAAGAAACTGCAGTCCACCAAGAGCCCACAGAAGCTTGGGAGGAGTGAGTTTTCCTTCACAGCTTTCAAGGTTGATTTCAGTCTTGCAAGTCCCAAAGCAGAACGCAGCTGAGCCTACTGGAACTTCTCATTTATAGGCCCGTGAAATAATACAGAAACAACTACCACTTAAAACTAAGAAGAAATTTGTAGCAATTTGTAATACTACACAATAAAACTACTATGTCCATGTGACAGATCAAGATTTGGAATATTCGTAGAAGTTTTGCCATCGTAGTTAACAAGCATCTCCCCACCAAAGGTCATCCATTATTGTGTTTTCAATAACCATGGTTTAGATTCACCTATTTTTGAGCTTTAATGGGAGCAGACTATCACAAACTTTCTTATTGCCTTCCTTCACTCAATGCTGTGTCTACAGCATTCATCCTTACTACTGCAAAGAGCAATGATTGATTCCTAGTTATTGATTGATTAAGTGCTACTGATAAAGTGCCTATTGCATTTTTTCATCATTCTGGGATCACAATTAGGGTCTCATAAATCTAGGCCATCGCTCTACCACTGAGCTATATTCTCAGCCTTACCCATTACAGTTTTTTTTTAGCACACCATAAGTTTACTTATTTACTTATTAGGGTATGTTTTGCAGTGTGTGTTTACAATCCTTGTGTGGAGTTGGTGTACATGCAGAGCACATCTTCATCCCTTTTTACATCCCTTTCTTTCCCTCTTCCTTTCATCTCTTGATCCCTATCCCATTTGGGACAGATCTATTTCCCTGCTGTTTATAACTAACCTTTATTTTGCTCTATATTTATAATTTGAGTTTCTCATATAAGAAATAGCATGCAATATTTAAGCTTATAGACCAATGTCTCCTGAGATCAGCGCCATGTTGGAACTTAGGACCCTGGAAAACCAAGCAACCAGCCTGCCTCCCTGCTAAGCAATAGTGAATCTACTAGTGCACAGCCTAGAGTCAAACATCCCACTTCTTCTACCCCTTTTCCCCTGTCCCCCCATTTACAAATGGGAACCAGAAATCTGAGTATCTCTTGGGAGGTTGACCATAGCAAATAAGGGGAATTTCCTTCTACCATCTCTTTGAAGACAAATATTTTTACTACTGTTTTGCTCTGTTCTGATTAATGGTACTGCTTTATTCAATATTGTTTTGATAAGTTCTATAATGTTCTGTGTTTCATTTTATTTTGATGTATGTGATTGAAGGAACAACTATTGTAAAGATAACGAAATATACTGTGATGCCTATTACTGTTATCCTGGTAGCCTGCTGTGAAGTTCTATACCAATTTCACTACACAGTCTCAGTTGGCTTTATTCTGTCTTGTTCTGTTGTATTTTACTACTTTCAAAATTTTAAAAAATGTAACCTTATATCTCTCATTTATTTTACTTAACATTATGGTATCGAAATGCATCCATTTTCCTACAAATGACTCAAGTTTATCTTTTTATGGCAGAGTAGGACTTCATTGTATGTAAATACCACATTTTTTAACCTTTTCATCTGTTTATGGACATATGGGATGCTGGAAGAAACATTCAACATAACTGGTCATTAGTGAAATGGAAATAAAACAACACCGAGATTCCATCTTACCCCATTACTTTTAATGGACAGTTGGACTTCTTCCATTTGGGGCTTTCATGAAGAATGATATTATAAATATTATTGTGTATATATTCTTGTGAATATATACAAGATTTCTCTTTGTTACATATCTAAGAATGGAATTGTATTTCTAGATATATGTATTCCAAATTACTCTTCCTGACATCAGCATATGAGAGTTCCAGCTTTTCTATAACTTCGCTAGCTACTAGTATCAGTTTTAGCTACTTCAGGGTACTGCATCTCATGGTTTTAGTTTGCATTTCTCCAATTCCTAATAGTTTTGTGCAATTTTGTATGCTTATTTAACATCTAAATAAGCTCTCTTGTAAACTACTTGTTATTATTTTCTTTCACTGGCTTATAGTTCTAAGTATCTTTTTTTTCTTTTTTTTCTTTTTTTTTTTGAATCAGGCTTTTGGTATGCAGTTCAGGCTGAACTTGAACTCACTATGTAGCTAAGGTTAGCCTCAAACACATGGCAATCCTCTTGCCTCAGTCTCCCCAGTGCTGAGATCACAGGCATGCCCTACAATGCCTGGCTAGGAAAGTCTTTTGTTGGATGCTTGTATTGAGTTTAGTCTTCCAGGATGTAGCCTACCTGCTTGTTTTCTAAAGAAGTCTGCCAAGAAACAGGAGCTACTAATTTTAATGAAGCTCAGTTTCTTTGTTTTCTTTGTTTGTTTGTTTTCTTTTTCCTTTTTATCTGTACCAAGATCGAACTCAAGACTGCCTGCTTTAAAGCAGGCGCTTATGCCACTGAGCTAAATCCCCAGCCCCTTTTGTGGTTATTTGTGTGTGGTCAAGCTAAGAAATCCTTCATAATCATGAGATCATGAAGATGTTCTCTTCTGTTTTCTAGAAGTTCAATTTTACTTTTCAAATTTAGATTTTTGATTCACGTAAGATTAATTTGGTGTATGCTGTGAGGTAGGAATAAGGTTCTTTTTCTCTCCTGATAGACACCTGGTTGGCACAGCCGCCAATATTCAAAAGACCATTTTACACAAGTGTATCTACTTGTGGCCCATATTTTGTTTTATGTTCTTTACATCTATCTTTGCACCATTATCATATTGTCTGCGTACCTCAAGCATAACGTAAGACTTGGTATCTGGTTGACCTTGTATTTTCAACATCATTATAATGATTATTCTGTCCCTATGCATTTCAGTATAAATTGTAGAATCTGACAATTTATATATACGAAAAACTCTTCCTGGGATTTTAGCTTTGCATTGAATCTATAGATTTGAGGGAGAATTATTAATATTTAGTTGCCCATTCTATGAACATTTCTGTTCACAGAATTTCTGTAGTTTCTGTGAGAAGCTTTTGCTTGTATTTTATTAACTTTTATTTCTGATTTTCATTGCTATTGTAAATAGTCATACTCAGTATTTTTGGTGCTGCTAGCATATAAAATATACAATTGACTTTAGGTATTGACTGCATTCAGTGAACTAAGTTCATTTGTTAATGATAAATTTCTTTGTAGACTCTTGTGAATTATCTACTATTGCTATACATGCTACACCCTCTGGAGAAGATCAACCCAAAGAGAAAGGACCTGCTCAGATGATCCCATGAGACATTCATTGAGGTCCTAGATCATGTTCAGGACAAGTGCCAGCCATGTGTGCAAGGCATCATGGATCCAGCTCAACAGATGACTGCAGCCTCATCTGAAATCTAAACACCTGCCGGGCTCACTAATTTACCTTGGCAAAAGGTGGTAAAATGATAGTGGCTTCAAGTCACTAAGTCTTGAGTAGCTTCTTAACTCAGTAATATAAAAATAACATAAAACACTTCTCATTCACACTTGAATTCACTGTAAGCACTAGTCTTTGTCACTGATACTCCAAAACAGATGTTCTTCAAACTCTGTAATTAAACCAATTACTGATAAATGTAATATGCGTGTCTTCTTACTCTGGCCTTAATGGACTTCCTGCTCTATTTGAAACCATTTCTTCTTCAGAAAAAATGTGGAAATTTTCACATGGTTTAAAAACTAGAACATTGAAAATGGTGTTAACAGGAAAAACTCTCCTAATTCTTCTCTACACCTGGCTAATCCTACTCTCACTCCTGCTGGGTAAAAATTGTCTTTTTTGTCCAGAGTTTCTACATGTGTACATTATATACAAGTGTATACGTATATGTACATGTGTATATACAAGTGTATACATATATGCATATAGATTACATATTATGCATATACTTAAATGTATGCATACATACATGTTTTATCCTGTTGAACTGTAAAAACAAAACATAGATATTATACACACTATTCTATTTCATTTTTTTTCTGATAAGCTACTCTGGGGATTTTAAAAGCAGACAATTGTATTTTTTTTTTAAATTGGGGGGTTTTGTTTTATTTTGCTTTGACCATGTTACTAGTTTTAGATTAAAATGCTGTATGTTCTCATAAAGATTTCTCTAAACAGCCTACAGCAAGAGAGAAGATTTAGAACACAGTGACTCTTACCTCTCTAAATTTATAAATGGCCAAATATGCCATTTACCACCGATGTTGTCCCTTCTAGAAAGAAAATAATCACAAGTAGATCACAAATGTATTTTACCCATTTCCGCTCCCTCAAAGTGGAAGCAGATTCACACTGGTGTTTGAAGAGACATGGAATAAAGACACAAGAGCAGGAACAGGAACACAAACTCCCTACAGGTGTAATGCGCCTGAGATTTCTTTTGCCCTTTCTCATAACAGTGACTGTGTCTCCAAGGAACCTTGAAATCAAAAGTGCGCCTGGTGTGCAAAATACGCACCACTCCATTTTGGCAGGTGAAGAGAACATCTAGTTCATGACTGCTGTTAGGATACAGTGAGACCTACGCAAGCAAACATAAAACTAAACCCCTACCCACACTACAAACATTTAAACATTCAAATGAAAAGAAAGTTACACAAGAGATGGAAGGATAAAACAGAACATGTTCTTAAGGCTTTGGGATGTCGAGGTCTTAATCAGAAGACAAAATCAGGAAAGACTGATTTGTGTGTGCACAAAAACTTAAATATCCTGTAAGACAAAAGCCATTGAAAACAAAGCTAAACACAAGTTCCTGATAGAAACATATGCCAAAGGTGCACACATATAAATTACATACATTTATAAACCAGTTAGAAAGACCAGGCCTCCAAGAGAAAATCAATGTAGAACAATTTCACAAGATATCAAAATAACCAATAAACATTAAAAGCTGGTCAGTTGCTGATGCACTGTATTATTTCTCATGTGATCAGGTTTTGGTTCATAAAATCTTTGCCTGTACCTATGTCTTCGGGAGTTCTGCATATTGTCTTTCCAGCAGGTTTAGTGTTTCTGTTTTAATATTTACATCTTTGACCCATTCTACATTTAGTTTAGTGCATTTATAGACATGGGTCTAGTTATAGTCTTTGGCACTGATAAGCCAGTTTTTCCAGCACTATTTATTAAAGAGGCTACCTTCCTTCTAGCAAATATTTGGCTCATTTGTCAAAGATAAGGTGGCTGAGTGTGTTTGGAGTGGTTTCTGTATCTTTTACTCTGTTCTCTTTTATGATCCTCTGGTTTGTTGTTTTTTCCAGTACCATGTTGTTTTTATCACAGTACTTTGTAGCATAATTTAAGTCAGGGACTGTGATATCCTCTGCCTTGCTTTTGTTGCCAAGAATTGTTTTTGCTCTTCTAGGTTTCTTCCGGTTCCAAATAAATGGAATGTTTAATAACATACCATTTATTTATGCAAATAAATAGGAATGTTTTCTCCAGTTCTGTGTGGTATGATGATGGTATTTGATTAGAATTGTGTGTTACCTGTATAACAATTTTGGGAGTATTGCCATTTTCACTATGTTGGTTCTTCCTATCAATGAGCAGGGATATCTTTCCACTTTCTGATACCCTGTTGAGCTCCTTTTTCAGAACACCACAATGATATATGTGCACCTATGTTTATAGCAGCGCAGTGTGTAATAGCTAAATCTTTGAAACAACCCAAATGCTCATCAATCGAAGAATGGATAAAAAAAGACATGCTTTTATACTGTGGAGTACTACTCAGCCATAAAGAAGGATAAACGAGTCATTTCTAGATAAATTGATGCAAGATCATACTCGTTTAAGTGGAATACATGGAACTCATGTAAATATTGCAGTATCTTCTTAGTGTGTGAAACTGAAAGAGTAAACAAGGATCAAGATTGTACAATAGATATTGTGAAACAAGAAACAATTATTCAAAAGAAAAGAACTAGGAAGGGAGAAAGGGGAAAGGAATGGAAGAGGAATAAAGAGATTTAATAAAAGGAATAAAATGGAAACAAATCTTTGTAAATAGAGAAGTGAAGAGGGGATGAACGGAGGAGAGAGGACTGGAAAAAAGAGGAATCAAAATACATTATGTACAAATTCCCTATACCAATAAAATAAAGTTTGAAGGGGGAAGGCTGTCTGTCTGGGTTTTATTTTGTCTTTTTGAAACAAGGTCTTGCTATGCAATTCAGCCTGGCCTTGAGCTCACTTTGTGGTCCAGGCTGGTCACAAATTTGCAACAGTCCCCCTGCCTCAGCCTCCTGAGTGCTGGGATTACAGGCACATGTTACCATGCCATGCATGTTTGATTTTAATAAAAAAGAAAACACAGGTTGGAATTTTTAAAAATTACATCACTTGGTGTAAGCATATGAAGAAATGTATTCTTATACCTTGTAATCAGGTTTTCTACAATACAATTCAGCAGCATTTGCCACAATTTAAAATGTGTTCCCATTAACCTTACAAATTCGTATTTAGGAATCTTTTCTATGTGTATATAGAGTCTGTAAGAAAAAATGCATACACAGTTCAGGAAAAGAAAAACTGATATAAATATTTCAATACTAAATTTACTGAGACACCATGAGATTGAAACAAGTCTCTTTGGCCTCCACAATTACAAGAGATGCTCCAAGTGGTGGCCGTTCACTTCCAGACATTTATTAGTACAGCGTCTGCGGCTTGGGTGACTTTGGTTACTGAGATTCCTGCTCATGGGTTTTCAGTTTCTCCTCTAAGGGCCAGCAATAGTGGGTTTTCTGTGATATACGACGTTTGCTAGGGGCCCATATGAGGGTAACATCATCTGTTGAAAAACACAATTTTTCTTTTCCTAAAGTGTGTATACATTTTTTAGCAAATTCTATATATCTATACAAAAGTATAGATAGTACACAATCACATACTTGTTCCTGTTACTTAACCCAAGACTTCTCATTTGGTAAAACATTTTATGAAGCAGTATAGATGCACTTCATTCTATGGTTATTTTTAAATCATATATAATTTTCAAATAATACATGGCCTGGTACATAATAAATTTAAGTGAATAGATCAATGCTACATTGATATTTTATCACTGCTATTTCATTAGTTATTTGTGCATGCCTATATATAAATCATAAATAAAATGTCCACAAGTGGAAAACTATGTATTATAAAACAGTATATACATATACATTCATATGCACATTCATCTCCGAAGCAATATGTGCAAAACAGTAAACTCATAAAATATGTATTAACTGCATTTTTGAATGTATTCATGAATTGTGTGTCGTGAAAAAACAAAGAATGAATGCCACTAAACTTTGCAAGCATAACAATCTAAAGAACATAAAACTATGATCAGTGCCCTAAACTGTTCCACTGCTTCATTTATCATTTGAGCTTTGCCCTTTCTTGGCACACTAGAGAAGCTCCAAGGTTCCCAATGAAATCAGCACGCTTGATGCACACAACCACCACGTCTGGGCCACTGGACTTGAGTCAGTTCTAAGCAATTCATCCATCTGGATTTTCAGATTAGAAATGACAGCAGACAGTTCTTAATTTATATTTTACATATCATTTAGGATGCAAGAAATGTCCGCCTATTTTTTTTTTAAATGAGGATGTTGGACATGAGTTTGTTTCTTTTTTGGAAAGTTACCTTATTCCAACCCTGGCAGAAAGGAGTTCTGAACAAGATTATTTCATCATATTCTGACTAAGGAACTCATCTGAGAAACCTATAAAATTTTATATTCAATTAATATCATGCATTCAAATTAGTAACACCATGCTGACACCACAGGATTCTCTAAAAGGGTTTCCTGTCATACGCAACAGTTGCACCCCATGCCCAGGACTCCTGTTGGTGAACTAGTCCTCCACTGCCTTCCCTGTACGCCCAGCCAAGGCAGCCTCCACTTGAAAGCTCTCATCACACCTCTGCCTTAATGAAAGTACTGTAACAACCGTGACTAGGTGAGCATCTAGATCCCAAAAGAGACCGATTCCATGAAACTTTTCCCCCTATTCTACTACTAGGTAAAACTATAGCCTTCTACTTCTAACTCAAGGAAAATGCTGTAAAATAGGAAATCTTTTAAACTAATAAATGTAGAAAAAGTATGGGAAAAGAAAATTTTACCAAAGTTATCCTCTGTAAGATTCTGCCTAAGAAATAAGTGAATTTGGTAAGATTTTTTAAAATTTCACCCATTACAACAGTTGTTATAAAATCATTAACAGCAACAATGTCCTTAGTAAAAACCAGTATTTATTGAGTACTTGTATTTGCTGCACCCTTCCAGCAACTAGCTGTCTTGTTTTACAGACGAGGACTTTTAGGAGTTAGGAAAGTTGAGTACTTTTCCCCAAATCTGATACATTTCACTTCCAAACCCCAGTATATTCACCTTCTAAATGTGGCTGGTAAATTTTAACAGTCTTGTTATTAGAATCTAGTGACAATATCTTAAAGTATCATTTGTAACTTAAACCTTCTATTTCTCAAGAGGTAAATCAATGTACATACACACACGTATGATATACACACATACATGTTTAGATATGTGTATACACACACACACACACACACACTTTTTGACACAGGAATCAAACTCTGGGCTTTGCACATGCTAAGCATGGTATTTTACCACTGAATTACAATGCCATCGCATTTTACACACTCTTCATCCCTAACAAAGTATTTATCATTTTAATCTATTTCATTCACTACAGGATTAGAATTAGCACTAAAACAACACAGCTTTCATTTCACAAAACTTTAAAATATATGTGGTAATGATTTCTTTTAATGTTTACCCAAGTAAAACCATTTTAAGGCAAGAAAATTTAATGACTGCTTAAAAGGCATATGTGCATCTAAAGTTAATTCACAGTATTTTTAAAATATCTTTTCAAAACCAATGTGATGTGAATGAACACACATATATATAACATCATAAGCATGATAATTAGCAATTTTCCAGGGCCAAAAATGCTTCATAACTATGAACATACAACCTGTAAAATAATGAACGTTTTTACAAAATAAGATTTGTTTTTTGTTTTTTGTTTTTTTTTTTTTTGAGACAGACTATATTTAGCATGTGCACTGCCTACCAGGCTGGTGTTGAACTATGTATCTCGGTATGGCTTTGAACTCATGCAATTCTCCTGCCTCAGCTTCCCAAGCACAAGGGGTGCAAACCACACTCAGCATAAAACAATGCTTTTTTTAAAGCTTTTACTAGCTTGCTCATACCTATCTTTTGCTACCTATCATTATTTCATACTATCTACTACAGAAAAACTCTACTCTGAAATGTTGAACTTTTAACACTCATGTTTTTCATGCTATGAACGCAGAATATATTATAATATCTGAAACATGTTGATGTGAAAATTGAAACAAAAATACCAGGTTTTGAAGCAAATGCTATGCATGTCACATAGCTTCCAGCTTTGCAAAAAATTGCTATTTGATATTCAAAATCATTCAGAGAGGAAAACTGCTTGTCATTTTTTTCTTGAGTACACAATGTAAATTAAATCTATTTCCTCTGCCCATAGGATTAACTTGTGTTGTAAGAACCTTAATAAAGTTCACTTAAAGTTTAATTCAATAAAACTAGCCTCTGAACACTTTAATTTAGCCACAAACCTATTTCAGTCAACTTATGATTAAATTAAAAATCATCCAGGCAAATTGTAATTACTTTGTCATCCGAATTTCTCAAAAGCAGAAGCATATGTTTCTCATGATCTTGATATATTCCACTGTGTGTGTGCGTGCAAAATTAGAAGTTCTGTACAGTTCCATTCAACTAGCAATACACCTCTACAAAAAAATCTTTCCATATAGTCTCTCATGTAAAATTTGTCATTTCATGTCATTACAATGCAGCACAACATCAAAACCTGATTGGATTTTACTATTGTTACCTGTCTTTATGCATAGGTGAATGAACAGATATTGTATGGATATAAAATGTTTTGAAAGCACATACAAAAGTCTTGCTACTTCCTACTACATAAATACTGAATTTTTCCTTCTTTTATTAAATCTAAAACTACGGTGTTCATTTTATAAGAAATGATAAGGAATGACCACAGGAAACCTGATTCTCTTCAGTTCTACTGAATACAATGAATATGGCATTTATTGAAGATATCATTTTTCTTGCCCTTGGTATTCACTGGTGTGCTTCTTTTAAAAGCTGGTGAGAGAGTTAAACTCCCTACACCTTGTTAAAAACACAAAATCCTCTGCTCTGGGGTTGCTACTGCTGCAACTTCAAGAGAAGAACGAATGATTCTTATAAAAGCTATGGTCTGCAAACCGTTTTTTCTACAATCATTATCCTTTCACTTAACCACAGAGGATTAAGTGGATTTAAAAACATTTTCAAATTTTTACACTGTTAAAATTGTATTTTATAATATTAAGCATAGGGCATTATCACAAAAGTGTGTTTTTATAGCAATCTCAACCTTGCATTACATACAATTTTAGCAAGGCAGAATAAATACTAAAACTATAAAGTAATGTCATTTTAACAATTTCTAAGTAAAACAGAAGTACATTAATTAATCACAGAATTTTACAGAGCATAGTTGAGTGGCATAAAAGTCAATACAAAGGTTAATAGTATGCCTGGAAATAAAGAATTTGGTACTTTTTTTAACACAAAAAAACACATCAACCTGCATGTATCAGAGTACAGGCACATTAATTTAGTAAAAAATTCCAATACCTCATTCACAGAGAAACTCCTATGAGGTGGAATACAAGACCTATTACTAAAATACCTAGGCATCACTTTGCAGCCAAACCAAAAAAACAAAAAACAAAAAAACCCTAAAACATCAAAATTAATACTATAGGAAAACAGAACAAATCAGTATTTCTACCCAAAGGTACATAAATTAATCAAGAGAAAACATCAAACCAACCCAAACCAAGGGGCTTTTTACAAAACACGTTTTATTGTTCAAAGTGTCAAAAGTTCAGGAAGATGAAGAACAAATCAAGAAATTTCTCTAGAATAAAAGAGACGACAAGAAAATGTTAACCCCTAAAGCCAGATTAGATAATGGTCCAGAACACACAGGTGCGTGCCAGCCTCACACTAAGCCTGGAGTAAGATCTTCCAAATCAAGGTGCAGATTGATGCCAGCTTTCTGATTTTGATCACTGGCAATAAAGGACAGGTTCTTGTTCCTAGAAAATGCACACTTAGTTTGAAATGGTTCTCAAAATACTACAAAGAATGAATGCCACAGCAAATGGGGAAAACTTAAAAGCTGTGAAACTTAAGCTGTCTTATAGCTCTTTCTAGCAACATTTCTGTAAATTTAAAATTATTTCAAAGTAAAAATAAAAAAAATATTTTAAAGCTATAGCCAGAACGCTAAAAATCTAAACTCTTTGTATTCTTAAACTTCATACTGAGAACCACTAATGTCTAAATATTTTATAAACATAGCCTAAAATTATGGGCAAATTTAATTTTTCTGAAATCTATAGGTGTCAGTGACTTCGTGTGTGAAATTATAAAACTATGAGATTGTTTTTCCTTCAGTTATTTATAATCCAGACGTATGTATGTCAAAGGAAAATATCTCTGCCCTTCACATATACATTTGAAAGATATTTTTTTTTTGTCTTTTTCGTTTTTATCGGTACCAGGGATCAAACTCACAACTGCCTGCTTGCAAGGCAGGCGCTTATGCCGCTGAGCTAAATCCCCAGCCCCTGAAAGATATTTAAAATGTTGCTGTTTATTTTTTCCTTTCTTGGTCACTTAATGACTTAACGTTTTCTCAACTGTACAACCTATAATTGATTTTGTTTTAAAGCAGCCTTAAGTCAGAGTGTTGTCTATTTAGTGACTCTCTGATGTAAGCGTGAGAATTCTGCCAGGTACTGGTAATAAACTGTAGTTTGATAAAGCCCAGAGACTCATTTTACAGTATGTTTACTAACCGGTCGAACCTGATTATGGTGCCAGAGTCACTGAGTAAGATTCAGAGATGTAATGTAGAGGGAAGCTGTTAATTCCCTAGAAGCACACGTAGGCACAAAATAAACACAGAATTTTTGTATTTGGGAAAGATTACTAAAAGAGTCTGTTGTTACTTGCAATATATCACTAGGAACCATGAACAGCAGCATAGTAATTAGATATTTAATTATCCAATCAACAAAAATAAGACTTCTGAAATACTATAGATGTCAAGTAACAAAGGCTTTTGATGAAAATGACTTTCTTACATTTATTTTTGCATGCTTTTTTGATAAGTATCATGGATGCTGGTGTATTAATATCAAATTCATACATTGTAACCTGCCTATTCGTATGAGATCCACGCATTCAGGGTGTTATGGCCGTAGAGTGACCTGCCTATTATTCCAAGACTGAATTAGGTAGAAATTAAGAAGGAAATGCATTCACAGGAAACAACACAAAGGAATTCCAAATACTGTTTCTTTTCAAAATCAAATTATTGTAGCGCTTTATTTTCTATACAAATGACAGTTTAGAATTGGCTAACTATAGAAGATACCCATAATAAATCTAAGGTTAAAACATTCTTAAGTATATTAAATATAGGTCACAAATAGTTTGATGTGTTTTCATTTTTATTCATCACAATCACTTCAAGACCTTCCACAACTTCAGAGTGGGGGAAAATATTAAAGCTGCTTGGAGGAAGTACAAGTTGAATTAAGTCAAATTTTAGAAATAACATTTAAAATATTTTTCACAAGACAGGTATTTGATAAAGTATGTAAATTTCATACACTGTGGTACCATAGAGGGGAAACTCCCTGAAAAATTCTTATAAAAGTTCAAGATAAAAACTGCTCAAGTGGTGTGAAAGCAGAATAAACAGTTACATTTTGACACTCAGTAAGCTAATATATATTGCTCATCAAAACATTCAGCTGCAGAGAAAATATTAAAATGTAACGTAACAAAAGAAATAGCACCTTTCATGAAGTTCCTCAAAATAAGTGCAAAACTATTCTGAACTCTGAATGTCTAGATGAAAACACACCATAAAGAAGACAGTAAAACACCATCAAGTGATTTTGAAAAGTGTAATGTTACATGTTGATTACAATGTAAACAATACAGAACATTTTAAAGCAAAACTACACCTAGGTATCTACAGCAGGCAAAAGCTCTTTTGTTTTTTTCGTTACATATTCTCTCTCTAAACTTGGTCAGTGAATCAGCACACTTTAATAAAGAAGGGAAAATTTTTAAGGGACCTATCTAAGAATTAATTTTCAGGGTATCCTTTTATTAAACACAAGGACAGGCTTCCGGGAGAACATGGCGGACAGATAACAGCAACTACCGGAGGCTCTCTGAAAACTAGGCTCAGAAGCCAGGTATGGTGTGGACTAAAGAGACATAAGCAGGTGGAGTTATGCTCTGCTGACTCAGGAACGAACTCGGCTGAGAGAAACCAACTTGGAATGCAGTCCTGGTGCTAAAACAGGAACAGAAAAGCCTCGCTGCTGAGGCTGGACCCCACACCATTTGGGTTTCCCGCCGCGCGGTGGCTGGCTGCCTCTACGTCGGCTCGGCAAGGAGAGAGACGCACGGAAACTCTGAGAACGGGAGTCTGTGAACGGAGTCGAAAACAGGACAGGCAGGGAGGCATGTTCTGACTTGTGGCGAGGTGAGTGAGAGAAACTGACACTCCACCACAGTTTGACTCCAGCGGACTTTCTGGGCCCGGGCAGTCCTGCGGGAGCAGGGCGCGCTGGCGACTCCAGCCACACATTCCCCTGTCGGGCGGGATTGGTGAAAAGTGCCTGGCCTGCGTGACGCTGCCGGCGGACCCCGTAGGCTGGCCCAACCCAGATCCCAGAGCCTGACGGAGGCCGGGAGGGGCGGGCCCCCGCGTAGGCTGCCTGGTGTGCAGCAGTGAGTGGAAACACCTAACCGGCGCAATTCGATCAGGCTGTGGCTGACAGAGAGAGAAGCTAGGCCTCTCATATAAGCTTGCATATATAAGGAACAGAGAATATGGGAAGAGGCAGCAACAAGAAAGGCTCCTCGGCCCCCAATTCTGAGAAACAGGCAATACCAGACACCGCACCATTACACATAAGGCGCCATATAGAGAGCCTCATAGACCAATTCAGGAATGAAGTTATCAACGACCTGAAGCTAGAAGTATGCAAAATAGTTAGAGAAATACTAAGCACCACCCAAGAAAAAACAGATGGTGGAATGGAAGAACAGAAAAAGAGGGGAGAAGTGTTTGATGGAGAAAACAGGGAAAGCATAGAATACGTGAAGCAGGTTCAAAGGGACTACCAAGAAACTAAGAAGTCTATCGAAGACTGGCATAACAGCTTGAAAGAAACTAAGGACAGACTATCTGAACTGGAGGGCAGAATTGTAATATGGGAGAATGAAATGAAAAACTTCTTAAAAATAACAAAGAAACAAACAGCAATAATACAAAGACAAGAAGAAGATAAGAGGAGCCATAACTTAAGGATTAAGAACATAAAAGAAGAAGTAGGGACACAAACAAATGAACTACAAAAGCTACTCACAGAAATAATCCAGGAGAATTTTCCTAATTTAGCAAAAGGTAAAGATACTCAGATGTATGAGGCATACAGGACCCCAGCCACCTACAACCCTAACAGAGCAACACCCAGGCATATAATAATAAAAATTCCAGAAATTCAATACAAGAACAGAATATTAAAAGCTGTCAGAGACAAGAAGCAGACCACTTACAAGGGAGCACCCATCAGAATTACAGCAGATTTCTCTGCACAAACCATCAAATCACGAAGAGCATGGGGGGAAATAATTCAAGCTTTGAAAGATAATAATCTCCAGCCAAGATTGAGATATCCTGCACAACTGTCCCTCGAAATTGATGGAAAAACAAGGTGCTTCCAGGATAAAGAGGAACTGGGGGAATTTGCAACCACCAATTCAACTCTACAGAGAGTATTGCAGGATATTCTAAAAAAAGAAAAATACAAAGAATCCAGAAATAATGGAGGCCACAACGAATGGAGCAGAGAACAAAGTGAAGAAGACAAACTGACAGCTACTGACAGAATAAGAGCTCCACAGAAATGAGGCAGAGAAGATTGGATGATAGGAACAGCTATTTTGGAGAAAATGACATCTTAATAGGGAGCAAGACGATTTTCAGGAGAGAAGGTCAGCTTGAACCTCTGGTGGTACATGTATGTCATCCCATGCATGACTATACCATTTCAACCACAAGTGCTACAACCTGCCCAGGAGACAGTCATCCATATACACTGGTGGTACAAGTTGCCTGATGGGACAGTCATGAATGTACTAGTGATGGCGAGAATGTGTTTAAAACTTCCCTAAAGTTTATTTGGTGGAGTGTGAGAGTGCAACCACTCCATATGTGTGGCATGTGGTTTTTATGTTTGCAAAACTAGTTGTTTTTCTTCAAAAGATTCTTAAAAATAAATATATTAACTGACAAAAAAAAAAAAAAAAAAAAAAAAATAAACACAAGGACAGAAGCTTATTCTGGCAAGAACTTTGTGCTAGTCAATGTAATTCAGAATAAAATGAGTCTGTTTCATATCAGATATGGAAGGGGATTATCATAACATGATTTTTATAAGATAATTCCACAGTCTGGAGCAGTCTTTCCCAAACAGAGATTTGAGTACACGATTCAGATCAGATATATTTTTTTAACCAGTGGGGGAAAAGTATAAACTTCATTCTTTTCTAATTTCTAGAAATCCTTATAATTGAAAATGTTGCCTTTAAATAGTTAATTTAAGTAAAAACAATTTTTTCCTAAAAATTAATTTCAATGGTCTAAAAATATGTTCAGAGAATATTTTTCTGGGGCTTCAGGTATAGCTCAGTGGTGGAGCGCTTGCCTGGTATGCATGAAGCCCTTTGGTTTTCTATCTCCAGAAAAAAAAATACATTGTGACATCTTGAATAGTTTTGGTTTATGCTGCTATTATTTTATACTAAATGTCTTACTATAGCAAATATTGTTATTTATCATACATAATGGCTTGTAACTTGAAAAACAGATTGCAAGTTTCAACATATCAGTAAGTTATTGTAGTTTTCTATTTTCATTTGTAAGTATCACATAAGCGTCACTGGCAGGTGTCATAATATTGTTACTGAATTAATTTCTAAACATTGATTTAAAAAGCGTGGAGCATATGTTGCAAAAAATTAAATGAAACTAACAAAACTTTCCCCCCACATATTACATCCAATTATTTTCTAAGTGATCAAGAACTACCCAGGAGTTGATAACACTTGCACAGTTTTTGTAAAAAAAATAGACTTGACACAATATGAAGACAAATATTGGTAAACACCATGTGTTTTGAATTATATTTTAAGAAACAATACAATCTGTGATCTTTCATGGAGTTTTTTATTCTTGTTATTAGAACTTGGACTCAAGTAATCCTGGTTATTCTGGAAAAAGCACCTTGTTCGTAGGGATCTTTAATCATCCTTTTCTATAATCACCTCTCCATGAAGCACCTTTCTTCTTTGACGCAACATATGAAAATAGAGCTGTGGAAACACTTGATTGAAAAAAGAAAACAAAAAAAATAAGCTATTGTTTTCAACTGTTTATGCTCAAAAACTGCTAAATATCGCAAAGTTTGAGTGTACGTTCGTTGTGCATTGTTGCCACCTCCTACCATTTACGGAGCTAAGGAAAAGCGTGTTAATGGAGGCCCATACATCACATCCCTATCTACTGAAATGCCACAGCTCAAGTTTTATTTATTATTTTTTAGAAAACTTAGAATTTTGATAAATATACCTTCAAATCTCCTGGAAGCTCATGCTTCAACTCTGAATTTAGCAATGCTTTGAAATACTATGCCAAGGAAAGCAGGTCCCAAATTGCCTCCTTTCCTGTCCATCAGCTGTAGTCTGCATGTATGTGAACGTCCCAGCACACACACACCCAAGGTCATCTTCCCCCTTCACAAACGGCCGCCCCCTGACATCTGTGCTGCACACACTGTGATGTGGTTGGCAATCAGGATAACAGAGGAGGGATTAGGCCTGTACAGGCTTGAGACGTGATCTCAGCACTCGCTGGGCAGCTAATGCCACAGTCCCGGAATGTGCCACAAAATGGGGAATCCTGGAGGAGCCAGAACAGGGTCCTCTAAATAGGCCTACAGTAGATGCTCCTGAAAGCTGAGCTAAGGGAAATCTGTTACACACAAACACATAAATTTACATGATCATACTCATACAAATGGTCATCTGCCCAAATTTGGAGAGTATTTTGAGGCAATCTGAACCAGTGATTTCAATCACAGTATAAATGCTGATCCATAAACAGAATACCAGCTGTAAACCATATAAACATAAAAATAATAAACAGAGTAACCAAATCAATGCCCTTTTCACAGAACAAGTTTTGAATATCTAATTTAGGCAATTTTTGTAAAAATTTATTTTCAGAACTTAAACAGCAAAACTTCACAACAGTTATTTTTTAAATTTAGGTACCTCCTATATTGAACAATGTAACAATCATATTATATCTCTAACCTAAATATATCCAGGTTATGTAATTTTAGCTAACAGACCAGTTACTATAAAAACTTCCATAATAATGCTGAGTAAGCTGGGTGTGGTGGCTCAGGCCTATAATCCCAGCACTCGGGAGGCTGAGGCAGGATTGTTGTGAGTTCGAGACCAGCCTGGGCTACAAAGTGAGCTCAAGGCCAGCCTGAAGTGCATAGTGAGACCCTGTCTCAAAAAAAGACCAAAAAAAAAAAAAAAAAAAAAAAATCCTGAGTAGTTCAGTAGAAGATACAGGCTTGAGTTCAAATCTTGGTATTACCAGGTGGTTGATTTTTTTATGCAATTCACTCAACCTCTCTCATCCAGAATGCTCTCACTGGTGAATGGGAGACACCATTTGTTCTGAGTACAAAAAATTACTGAAAAAGCACATTTAATACCTGTAATTAGCAAAGGATTTAATATGCAAAGTAAACTTGGTTGCTACTTCTGCTGATATCAATAAGAAATGAAAACACAATCCTTGCTGACTGGCCCTCGGAGAAGTGGAACTATCAGTAGCTGCATGGTAAGTTGGGAAGTTGTTGCTGGCACAGGCCAGTGTCTACACCAGTATACCTAACAACACAGACAAAAGACACTGGTTTAAACCGATAACCCTCACTACTTTGGAGGCGGAGGCCGGCTGAGATGCTGCAAATTCAAGGCCAGCCTGAGCAACTCGGCAAGATCTTGTCTCAAAATCCAATTTTAAAAGGG